ATTCGATTTCGATTTCGAATTTCGAGCGACCGTTGATGAATGAACCACGAATGTTGCCGAAAAAGCACGCGGAAAATCTGTAGATTCGAGATACTACTACTGCTGCTATGAGTCAGGGAAGGGGGTGGCGACGACGTGGGGTTCTTTTTTTCGTTAAATTTAAATTTTTTTAGTGCTGCGGACGCTGCGGGAAATTGGTTCTACATGTGTAGTGATAAAACCGAATGGTGAAAAATATTAAACAGAACAATTCTTAAAACACGGACGAAAATGTAGCCGGACCGTCGTCGCGCGGCGCAAACGAGGAAAGAAACAAACACGCGTCGTCGAGCTGAAAACGGCAGCAGCCCAAAACTACCGACGCGAGAGAGAGTGAGTATGAGAGAAGAGCGAGAAGCAGCAAAAAGCAAGAGAGCAAGAAGCACAGGGCTGTGCAAAACGGAGCAGAGTGTGACAAACGCATTTCTAATAAGAGAGTGACATGCCGGGCAGGCCGTCTGCTGTCTTGTAAAACGATGCGAAGTGGGAGGGAGAAGGGGAAGGATAGGCTGGGTAGTTATGCTGAGCTGTGCTCTTTGCACGTGCCAAAGAGAGGGAAAGAGAGAGATAGAGAGAGGTGGTGCTGACGTCGCAAATGTTTGTGCATATTTTATGCTTACGTGACTTTTGGACACATTATGATGGTTTAGACATGGGATTACACACACGTAACACGAATATTGCTCCTTCTTACATACGTAACGTAGATAGACATACAATTGGTCATACGTAAGCTTTTGTCGACTTTTGTTTACACAATATTTAACACAAGCATTTCTTGGCAATTGCAAAAGTCCACAAAAGCCGGAAGCGAGATACTAAAAGCCGGTTTAAGAATATCAAATGAATATGCGAAAAAAAAATTGCATATCTTAAATGTTGAGCAAATTGTTGTAGTAATCTAAAAGCAAGATATTGCATGTTTTCGCAATAGATATGATTATATTATTTTTAGGCATGTTTTTTCAGAATCTGAATCTGCTAGTTTAATACGCATTGACCCCCCACTAAGTAAACAATTGAGGAACATTTGCATGGAAAGTTTTTCATAGTGAATCAATTGAGAGAATCGATACTTTTGCATGTACGTTAGAGTGTACGTGAGTATGTAGATAAAAACATAAATGTGTAAAAAAAAGCAATACAAAAAAATGCAGCGTTAAAAAAAAAATAGCAAATAAATGCCGCGTGTGAAATTTGGCAACAGTTGCTATTTTTTTGGGCGTGTTATTGTGGAGTGGGATGCGGAAGATGAATGAGATGAGATGAAGGAAGATCGTGTTCAATGTTTAACGAATTTAAATTGCGTTCTATTAAAAATAATGAAATCTACATTACAAATACATTGAAAGAGGTTTGCCGTAACTGAGTGAGAGAGAGAGAGAGAGATACAAAACGAAAGAGAGCAGCGCATTTGACGGATAACAGTCGGAATGATGGAGGAGACTGACATAATCGCCACTGGCAAGCATGTTGTTATTTTGTTTTTATTTTGGCTGCGCGAGTAAACACTAAAGAGGGATAGCGAGAGGGGAAGAGAGAAATATATAGAGAGAGAGAGCAAGGAAAGCAACAACATAAGCAGCTGAGCAAAAAGCGACAGCCGCTTTGTCGCTGCAGCTGAAAACAAAAACAACGATAACAGCAGCAGCTGCAAAATAACAACAAAAGCGACAAGTGGTGGCCCCCATCACTCTGTTGGAGGGGGGAATCGGGTGAGCCGAAGTCAAAGAGAGAGAGAGAGAGCGCACCGATTGGATTGGGCTGCGCATTGAAAAAGACCGGTATGACCACGCAAAAAGCAAGCAGTAGCAGCGAATGAGAGAAAAGACAAAACCGAATAAGCAGACAAGCTTCCTCTCTCTACGTCTCGCTCTCTCTCTCTTGTTTGTACCTGAAATATAAGTGTGAGGCACACATACAAGCAAAACATCACGTAGGCTGCTGACGTGCTTTTGTTGAGGGCAGCGTGAAAAACGAGGTTAACGCAAACATCGACACACACACACACACACACGCATATCATCGCCTGATATGCGAAACGCGTTCAAAACAACAAAGTGGAAGGGCGACAAGAGAGCAAAGCAAAACGAAAGAAACAAAAACTACATTTAATGGAGCTTTGTTTAAAAAGAAAAAAAAGCAAAACAAAAACAAGCACAAGACATAAATTTGTGTTTAAATGTGGCTGCGATTTCTTTTCTTTTACTCAAAAAACATTACATTACGACAGCACAGCGTTGCCATATGCAAGAAAAACGTTGCGCTTACGTTCGAGCATCGTTACATTTACATACACACACACAGCAGGCAGGCCAAGTGTGTGTGTGGGTGGAAACAGGAGGAGAGATGTGCGTGAGAAGCTGCACGTACGCATTAATTTTATTCTTTTTGTTTCTGTTGTTGTTTTATTTACAAAATATAAGGCTTTCGCATGGATCTTGCAACAAACAACACCACACGGCGACCAACGCATTGCGGCAACCACCCACAAAGTGCTCAAAAATTTTTGATGACTCAGCTAACATTGTAGCAAAAAAAAAAATAAAACTTTCATTGCTGAGCAAATAAATTATTATTATAGGCTGTGCAACCAACGCCTGTCTCTCTGCCACTACCACACCATACACCCCTTCTCCTAAACGACGCGCTATTAACGACTACAATTTATACGCATTCAGTTAACTCGCTGATAAACGTGATTTTGATTGCTCATTTTTTTCGTCAATTTTGTTTTTTCATCATCCTCATCCTCTGTTGCTGCTGTTGCTGCTGTTGCTGCAGTCGCAGCGCGGTTGGGCGCTCAGCCGCAACACGTCAGCAGTAGAAGCCAGGCTCGAACTCGGTCAGCGCTCGAGTGGGTGAACGTAGGGGGAGGGGCTGGAGTGGGGTGCTGTGTGCGGAGAGAGGAAAAGAGAGAGAGAGAGAAGGAGAGCAGGCGGCCTCATCTCGCGCGCTCTTCGCTTTGTCTTTATGTTCGTTGTTCATTTTGTTTGCTCGCCTCGCTTTGGCTGTCGTTCTATTTTGGGTTTCTGCGGCTGCAGCGCCAAAGTGCAATAAACGTCATCAAGGTTATATGTTGCAGTTGCGGCTGCAGTTGCAGTTGTAGTTGCTTGCTGCTGCTGCTGCTGTTTTCAGCGCTAGTTTCGCTTTACAGGTTATTAACACTTTGATCCGTTTTAATTTGTTGTTAAGCTCTTTTCGCTTGTGTTTGTTTGTTGCTCACTGTTTGCACACCAGTTTTGAAAAGCTCGCACTATGAATCATTCATGTATTTATTGCCTTGCCTGCTCCCTCAACAACAACAACTACTCAACTATAGCAACATCTGCATATGGCCATCTCGCTCGCACATATCTATGTTATGCATGTATACCATTAAAATGCAAATGAATTTCGTCAATTTGTCAATTCCGGAAATAAGCCTCGCCGCGCAGCTAACCCAAAAGCTACGAAAAAAAATATATAAAATAAAAAAAATTCATTTCACGCTGCTGCCCACACAACTTCTCCTCTCTGTCTTTTTCCCCCTCTACCCCTTCAACTAGACAATATTCTGAGAAAGTTTCTTCTGGGCAGCTGTTTATATGCATAAATGCATACACATTTACCGTCGCTTGCTTCCAGATGTTTATGGATCTACAGATACTGTGCGCCGCAGAGAGAGAGAGAGAGAGAGAGTGGGGGGAATGCACTCACGTTCTATCTTATCGCTAGCACTGTTTTTGCTGTTTACTCAGCTCAAGATAACCCAATAATTTATCACTTTCCAATATTTTCGTAGTTGTCATAAAGGAAATTCTTAATTGGAAATACACATAGATAATGCAAGCGCTACTAATTAAATTTATTCGGGAATATTGTTGAATCTGTCTGATGCTCTCATATGCATTTTAAATGAAATTCACTTACTTATAAATTTCTTAAATGTTTTAAAAATGAGTATGAACTCTTAAAAAAAAAAATACATAATATATATATAAAGTTGAATCACACATTAAATTTAATTAACATATTTCATATAAATATATATATTTTTTTTTTTAAATTGATGTTAATCAACAATGTCACGTGTTTGTTGTACCATAAGTGAAATGATAACTGCATTAATTATTATAAGTATATATATTAATTATATTATCAACTTTAAGGAAATATCTTTTGCACACTTATTTTAATGATTAGCAATAGGCCTAATCAAACGCTAACGTGCAACAATTAATGCGAGAAAAACAACTGAAATGCAAAAAAAAATAAGATGTACTTAATAACTAAAATAAATCCCTTGAGGATGCCCAGAGCAACAAAAGCAACTAAAAATCCATCTATACATATACATATGTATGGGAATGTGTGTGTATGTGTGAGCTAGGCACATGTAGAATGTTCTAGGAATAAGGCGAGTTCAACATTATTCAATGGATTGTTGCCAGGGGCCCCAGCTGTTTAACCGAAGCACTAAAAATACAGCATGAAAATGTATGTGGCTGTGTGTGTGTATGTGTCTGTTTTCCATTTCTATTCCACACACACATCCATACATACACACACACACGCACGCACGTAATCAAAGGCAAGTGCAATGCGTTTCCAGAACATTCATCGCAACAACAACGAGAAGAGCGTTAGCGGCATAGAAAAGGTAACGTCAAAGCGGAAAAAGAAAACGAAGAAGAAGCAGAAAAGTAACTAACACACCAGGCAGGGTAAAGGGATGAAGGGCACTCATATGACCCCATCTCCCTCACTCTTTCCTATAGTGCAGTGCAGGGCACTGCAGCTGCAAAATAAAAGTTTGAATGCACAGTGGAGCAACAGTCGATGCGAATGCATTGAAATCAAATGGACAAGGGAAAGCCATAAGAGAGCGAGAGAGAAGGCGCGCGAAAGAGTGTGGAGAGCCAAAGGAGTAAGAAAATATAAGAAAAAAAAGAAGAAAAAACTTGAAATTCAACACTCACCTGATTGACTTTGGCTGCAGCTGTTGTCGGTGTTGCTGCAGGAGACATTGCTGCCGCCTACGCCGCTGTCCGCGGAGCCGCTTGCGTTGTTATTGCCGCTACTGCTGCTGCTGCCGCCGCCGGCGCTCTGCCGCAGCGACGCAAACTCCTTTGCAGCAGTAGTAACAGCAGCAGCTGTTGTGCTGGCATTTTTCTCCTCTAAAATGCGTTCAACCATCATTTTTTGGCACTCTTCTCACAGTCTTTTCGAGCAGAACTTTTTTTTCCGGTCTAACAGCTGCAAATGTGTCTGCAACCCGCTTCCGCTCCCTCGTCGCTAATAAGAAACAATGTTGACGTCAACGTCGCTGTTGCTGCGCTGCTGCGATGTTCTCTTCTCGCTCTCTCTGCGCCGTTTAGATGCTGCTGCTATTGTTGTTGTTGCGCTCATTCAAAATGGTGGCTGTTTAAAGATTTGTCGCTGCTGCTGCTGGCTGCTCTGCCAAGAAATTTAGTTGTGTGAATTTGAATTCTTGCCACTGCAGTGTTGCTATCGATGATGTTGTTGTTGTGCGGTCGGCTTCGTTGCAAATTGCGCAGCATCAAAAATTGTCACAGCAAAATACAAATTGTCATCCACTGTGCTGCAGCAGCTGCTCTGCTCTGTTGACGTTGGCTGCGCTGCTCGGTTGTCGGTCGGTTGTTGTTGGTAGTTGATGTTGTTGATGGTGTTGGGTACGGATTTTCTCATCACATCGGCAAAGCGAACAAAAAAATTGAATATTTCTTCTTTTTTTATTTTTTCGTTTTTAAATGATTTTCCTTGGTTATTCTTTTTCTGCTTTTCACCTTTCCTTTGTGGGGCTATCTTCTATTGGGCTTGACTGTGTTTGTTGTTGTTGCTGTTGTTGTAGTAGTTGCAGTAAAATTTTCTATTGATATTGCAAAATTGTTGTTGGTTATTGCCTGGGACTAACTGTTGGTGGTGTTTGGTCGTTGTAGCTGTTAAAAATTTTCTGCTGGTTACAACACAAAAAAAATCGCTGAAATAGCGGACAAAAGCCGTTTTCTTTGCGTTTTCGCTTTAATTTATCTCTTCTAGCTACCGATCCATTTTTTAACGTTCGAAGATGATTTCCGACTGAATAAAATTAGCGATGCATCACCTACAACTAATCGAAACATCGATATATTTTCAACAGTTATCGATGTTATATCAATGCTGACAAGTTAAACTCGATATTTAATGAAGGCGAATTAAACGTATTGAACAGGTTTTATTCCAACGATACTGAGTTTTTTCTGTAATGTTTTCATATTGTGTATCAAATTTGGTTTCGCTGATATGCATTTAAGTTCTATCACACAAATGCTTACCGAAACTGTAAGTAAGTTCGTTAAGTGTGGAGTGAATCTGTTATTTGAGTGGTAAACTATAAGTGGACCACTTTCCAACACATATTTAACGCTCTTTGAATTTAAAACTGCGCATGAATATGAAAAATAATCGTTTTCGCTGAAATCACTTTTATAAATGCTGATAACGCGCCTTTCAAGTTTCTCCGATAAGATTTTATGATATGCTCCGCCCCAATTGCAGCCCGCCTTGTGAAGTGGGTGGAGTCACAACCATTTCGCAGCCACCAATCAGATTTATCAGAACCTGCTCAAATGACAGCTAAGAAAAGCGCCTGCGTAAATCAACAAAGCGCCAAAGAATAGTTTGCTTTGAAACAATTGCTCAGCATCAGCTGAAGTGTTTCCAAAATTTAGTTTCTTTTCGCTTCGCATTAGCAGCGCTACAAATAGTATAAACACAGGAAAAAACAAAAAAAAAAGAAGCAAAAAACGCTCGCAACTTTTCTCAATTATCAGTTGTAATTGAATCTTTCGGTTGCAATGGCCGACGATAATCTTGGCCAGGGCCAGGGCCAAATTAACGCCAAGCGTGCACGCATCGCTGTCACCTCAAAGATTGCCAAACCAGTCGAAGCAAAGGGCTCCAATCGGGTGCCCAAATGTGCCCGTTGCAGAAATCACGGCATCATCTCCGAGCTGCGAGGCCACAAGAAACTGTGCACCTACAAGAGCTGCAAGTGCGCCAAGTGTGTCCTCATCTTCGAGAGGCAACGCATTATGGCTGCCCAGGTGAGCGCCCCTCATTCACAGATCCCCTTCTATCCTATCTTTTATCAAAGTAGACTTTTTTATTTAGAAACTAACTGGCAAAAAGTTAACTTAAATTGCCAAGAAAATATCAATCTGAAATTGAGTTTTTTCTGTAGAGCTAAAAAATATAGAGCATATTTTGGATTCAGGCATTTTAAACTTGTATATTATTATTATTTTTTCATTAATATTGTTTTCTACATTTTAAATTTGTAGCCAATAAATTTTAATTTTATTAATTTCTGTGGCAAGAAAATGTCAAACTGAAATTGAGTTGTTGTTTTTTTTTGTAGAGCTAAAAATTTAGATTTTATTTTGGATTCAGGCTTGTTAAACTTTTGTATTTTTTTTTTTTTATTATTATTGTTTTGCACATTTTAAATTTCAATTGTTTTTGAGTTGTTTTTTTTTCTGTATAGCTAAAAATGCGGTTTAAAATTTGAATTGAACTCGCCTTTTTAATTTTAAACCAATTAATTTTAATTTGATTAATTTTCGTGAGTTATTATTTTCAGTAGTCCTGAAAGAAGGGCATTTTCCACTTATATATTTTATTTTATTTTTTGAACTATTACTATTTTCTACATTTAAAATTTGAATTGAACTCGTCTTTTTAATTTTAAGCCAATTAATTTTAAATTTATTAATTTTTGTGTATTTTATTTTTTTAAAACTATTACTATTTTCTACATTTAAAATTTGAATTGAAATGAATTCTATTTTAAACCAATTAATTTTAATTTATTAATTTCAGCTATATTTGTTTAAGGTACTGGACATTTAACAAATTTTTCTTTCATAAATAACTTTATTTTGAAATGTTCTATATAAACTTTTAAATTTTTAATGTTTTAGAGTAAATAAATAAATGATTGCTGTACCAAAACTGTTCAAGCCTTTTTTTTATGTTGCTTTGCACTTATTTAGCTAATCATCTTATAAACTAAAATTAATTCTTATTGTTTATGAAATTGTTATTCGCTTAAATATTAAAATTTATTTTGAGTTCCGTATTATTTCACATAGATATCGAAATGAATTCGATTTCAATTTAAAGATGTTTAATCTTGCTCGCTGATTGATAGCTCTTGCTATAATTATACGCCTTGCCACCCTTTCAGCCTTGCTTCATCTTGTTGCAAGTGGCATGTGGAACATACGCCTTTCACATAATAATAGTTATTATTCTATTAGTATTGTCTTTAGATTAAGCATCGCATTGCTCTAATTTGAAAGATAAACAATTCCTCAGGCAATCTTCCCCCTCCACGTCCAACTCCAACTCCACGTCCAACTCCACCTCCCCGGTTAAAGACAAACAAATGAAATACGAAGTTCTGTCCAGATTTGTGTTTAGCCTGCTTCTGGTGCTGGGTTTGGTTAATGTTCTAACTGATGAGGATGATGATGATGATGATGATGATGATGATGGAAAGTTGTCAAAGCGTACGAACAAATCGACCAAAAATATCCGCTTACCAAATGTTTACACAAGTGTTGCCAGGATTCGTATTTCAAGCGGGGGAAAACTGAATGCGTCTTTCTTGATTCCATTTAAATTGGAGATTTGAAATCGCTGTGATTTCGACTGTTTGTGATTTTGATTGTTCTCTAAATATAAGTCGGAATGCTGAGATTAGTTGGAAAGCTCTGCCTTTAAAATTGTGGTTCTTATTGCTATCGGAAATCGATATTTATCGATATTTGCGAAACGGAGGCAGCTATCTATCAAATGAAGTAAGCTAAACCCGGCGTAGACTGGAAATTGTATTCCAAATTTAAAGTCTCTAGCTCTGTTCAAATAGACAGACGGACATGGCTGGATCGACTCTGTTTTTGATCTTCATCAGGAATATACTATATACTTTATGGGATAGGAAATGTCTCTTTCTACACAAATGGGTTTAGGGTAAAAATGTATTCCCAGCTATAAAAATAAATCAAAATAAATTTTAAAAAATAAAAAAATAGAATTACATATTTCTAGAGATGAAATTTGGAAATTTGTTGATTATTTTTACACATTAATAATAATCATTTATTATACCAGTTTCTAGAAATACTCGATCTACTTAAAATATTAGTAATAATTTGTGGAACTACGTAAAAATATCAAAATCCCATTCCAATTCACTCAATTACTGATTGATTATATTTGGTGTTTCTGGATTTGAGAACACCCTCTCTGCATGCATACGCTGCTCGTGTGATGCCCAAAGGAATTGCTGTCCGTTGAATTGTTGTCTGCTGTTTGCACAACGCAAAGTCAAACAGAGTTTGTGGAGAGTCGCCTCCGACACTTGTCGCATATTAATTTCAATTGGGCGAATGCCATTTGGCCATCGTTGCAGGTTGCCCTGAAGCGTCAGCAGGCGGTGGAGGATGCGATTGCATTGCGCCTGGTGGCCAATAAGACGGGTCGCAAAATCGATGCACTGCCGCCGGGCAGCATTTTTGGTTTAACAGTGACACAGCCCAAGGAGCAAGAACAGCAACTGCAGCCAGCGGCGGCAAACGCAGATGTTTCGCAGGAGGAGCCGCTGGAGGAGGAGTCGCCGCTGGCGGCACAGGCGCAACTGGAGCCGGAGGCATTGGTTGTGCCACAGGATCTGAGTGGCAAGCGACGCGAGCAGGTCTCCCAAACGGCCATCGATATGTTGGCGCAACTGTTTCCACAGCGCAAACGATCCGTGCTGGAGCTGGTGCTCAAGCGTTGCGACTTGGATCTGATACGCGCCATCGAGAATGTTTCGCCGCCGGCTGAGCAGCCATCCGTTGAGCAGCTCCTGCAGCAGCAGCAGCAGCAGCAACAGTTGTTGCAGCCACCGCTGACGCCAACGGCGCCTGCAACGCTGCCCCAATCCTTGCAGCTAGCTTGGCCGGCACGCAGCAGCGCCTTCAGGCCAGTCATCGCGGAGCAGGTAAGCCAATCCACACCAGCTTTTTGGCTGCTGCCCAACTGAGACTCGTTTATTCCCCGTGTTTTGCAGTTTGCCGGCAAATCTTCGACGATTTGCGCGTACCCCAAGTGGTTTGTGCCCCTGTCCTTTCCGGTCACCATGGGCCACCTGTCCAATCTGGCGCCGCGCTGCACACTGCCCAACTGCAACTGCCTGGAGAGCTATCAGTTTCATTAGCAACCCTTTCCTTCTGCTGCAGAGTATATCAATTGGAATGCTCACTTCAAAGTAGCAATTTGCAGAAATTTCTTTTCAAAAATGTTATTTTTTCCTAAAAACCCTTTTCAAATATACCTAAAATTTTTTTTAAATTTTTCTAAAGAAAGCATTTAATTTTAAATATTATTATTTCTGAATTTCCGATCTAAAACAAAAATGTACTCAATTATTATATTATTATTATTTCAATTATTGCGGAAAAGTTTTCTAAACGCTTTTCTTGAGAATTCCATTATTTTAGCTGTTTTTATCCATATTTGCCGAGTTTATGATTTCCACACAAAATATATCAGAATATAACCGAATAAATGTAGTTTTTATATAAGATTAGCTTTAAACAGCAGCAAAATGTGCTTCAAATCAGAGATGATCTAATAAATAGCAAAAGTTGCAAAGATATTGGAAATGTTTGGGAAACCAGTCGAGATATATACGTGCAACATTTGGTGTCTCTTTTGTGATATTTATGTTATTACTTTTTATTTGATATTATTTACTTTATTTCAACTTTCTAAATCATTTTTTACGGGTATTTTCCATATTCAAAACAAATCATTCTTATTTAAAATCAATTAAATTTATTAAAAATAAATACAAAAAAAAAGTCTTAAAACTGGGTTAGCTTATGACGGGTTTGCAAGTCTGCTCCGGCTCCACCTGGACATCCTCCTCCTCGTCGTCATCATCTTCCTCATCCTCGGACAGATACATGCGATCCTCATCATCGCTCTGCGTCTGCTGCACATTCCGGCTGGCTGCCGACTGTGCGTAGGCGGAGCTGCTGCTGCTGCTATTCGAACTGGGCGTGGCAGCTGTGGCAGTGGCAGCAACGGAGGCATTTGCATTGGCGCTGCGCTTGGTTTGGTTGGCGCGCCGCCATTTGGCGCGACGATTCTGGAACCAGGTCTTCACCTGGCGATCCGTCAGCTTCAGCTGCAGCGCCAAATGGCGACGCTCCTCCGGCGACAGATATTTCGAGCTGGAGAAACGATTCTCGAGATTTTTCGTCTGCTGCGATGTGAACCGTATTTGGCCCCCCTTCCGCTTCACCCCAAAGTTGGACATATAGAAACTGGCCGCGGGATAGGCTGCATTGCAGTAGAGGGCGGCGGCGGCAGTTGCCGGATTGCTGAAGCCTGCAACCAAATAGATAAAATGTATACAAAATAAATAAATTAATTAAATTCAATTAAACTAAGTAAATCGTTGGAATTTTCGTGTTAATATTAACTGTGCTGAAATCTATAAAAAAGAACAAATAATTATGTAAAATTTGCTTTTAGGAGAAACATCTTTAAACTTTTGCATTATTTATATTATTTATTTATATTAATTCGTAGATCGAGCATTTTGTTGAAGCTTTATTTATGACTTTGGGCTCTTTATATACAAATTATTGTAATTTAATTACTTTTAATAACCTACAAAATAAGACTGTGAAAATTATACTATTAGAAAAATGATCGATGTGCACTTTAAAAGTGGTTTGCTTTGTATATCTGTAATAATGATATAATTTTATAAATTTTTATTGTCATATTTTAACTTGTCACATCTACTTTATATATATATTGCTATTATTATGATTATTATTATTATTAGTATTATCACATCAACTATGTACTTTTTTTAAAAATTATTTTCTACATTTCTAGAAATTCTTCAATCCAAACAAACTTTTTGTTCTTCCAAAGCTAATGTAAACTTTACAATGTAAAAGCGAATCAAAAGCTCGCTCAATTCTGATTGGTCGCTTTGCTTGAGCTTTGCGTCTCGCTTGCACTCATCAAAGTGCAATCGGTTGAGCTACTTCAGCTTTGCATGCATATCGATTGGGGACGAATGGGTAACGCCCACTTAGAAATGGAGGCACCACTCGAACAGTTGGCCGTTTGCTGATTTTCTGACGGCAATTGAGGGATAATCAATTGGCATAATTGTTATCAGGCACCTGGACGACAACTAATTCGATTGTATATTTGGTTCGCATAATGGAAGAGTGTCGAGTGGATGGCGTGATAAGGTTCGTTGTGCAAAAACACACAAAAAACACACAAAAAACACTCACAAAAAAAGAAGAAGCCAAAAAGCCGATTGTCATTTGATGACGAAAGCTCGAAATCAATTCAAATTGCACTGGCACTCTTCCACAGGGACTCTCGCTGTGATAACTAACCATATTTAGACGGACTGACCTCAGCGCATTTGCCGAAATAGTACTGAATATCTATAAATAAATGCTCGACTGAACATATCATAAAATGTAATAGACGATTGCGATTTAATGTCATAATTTAAATTGTACAAATACACTTATTAACGTTTATTTATATTAAGTGGCGTATTGTGCGATAAGCCCATAACTGAAAAACCCCTCACTTTTCACGCTGCTCAGTTTGCACTGGTTTTTTGTATTTTTTATTTTGTTTTGTTTTTGTTTTTTTTTTTTTTTACCGGATTCCCGTACTTGAGAACAATTTGTTGTTAATCGTTCAAATATTGAATGAAGAGGCGACGACACTTGTACCCCAAAATATTAAATCGAGGAACCCGAGTGCCCAGTTAGACGACAGCAGACGCGCTTATCTCGATCTGAATCGAATGGCAATTGTCGAATTGTCGCCAGAAGATGATGGACAGCGCCTATTAATCGCCACTAATAGCATTTTTCGTTTAGATAAGCCTTTAAATATTACCCAAAGATTGCGACACGAACTTAAAATGCTCTGTTCCGCTCTGGCTCTGGCTCTGGCATTACCTGACTAAAATATTGATAAATTCTGTTATAAGCATGACTGAACATTTGTGACTTATATTCCAACTAAACATATTATGGCATTGTTTATCATAATCTAACTTAAGCATAGCAGTCGAGATAAATCGGGGATCTGGTATGAACATGACTATACATTTTTTGATATATTTTTAAACTAAATATGTTATAAATTTGCTTATCATAAGCTAGTCCTTTTGAATATTGATATTATATTGTATTAGACATTAAATTGATATTTTATTAGACTCAAATCATACGATTCTAGATATTTGAACGTCTCTTTTCTCATGGCTCTTTATAATCTTTATATATATCTATAGATATATATATATATAGATATCATTGATATCAGTTTCCAGTCAAGTTTTCGTGAATTAAGCCCTACTCATTCCGAATTAAGCTGAAAACGGTAAGCATATAGCACATTAATCCGCAAGATTAACACATTCGACTGTCACATTTCCATGTCACAGTCTTTTCCACAAATTGTGTATACCTTTAGCTGACTGCTGACTGCTGACTGCTGACTGGGCTCTCACCTCAATTTCAAATATTTGTCATTTTGATAAGGCACCCGAAAATAATGCGAGTTATTTAACAACACGACAAGGGCTTTTGGGTTATTGTGGTGCGTTTGGAAGGGTGTTTAGCTCACTCTCTAACCCATATGGCTGGCAGACCCGGTTCTATAATCTGGCTCCACACATTGCACTGGGAACTGCATACAGTGAGTGGGAGTGGCAAGAGGAGTGGCAGGGGAGTAATTTAAGTGGTCTTTGGCGCCAACACTTGACTTTGACAAACATCAACGCACATTAATCATGTTCGGGATCTACATGGTTGTACCCCCCATCATATTTGGGTATTTCAATTGATTATATTTTCTTTCTTTTAAATATGGTCTTTGATTTGAATGCGCAGTAAGCAAGGACGTCGGTTATTTAAGTGCAGCTTGGTTTGATCGATATCCATTTGATAAATGGGTAGTTTGTAGTTTGAAAGGGATTAAGTATATCTATATTGAGTCCAAGTTCATTGACTTGAACTTGGATGAGTCAATGCCCTTAGTAACTTAATGTTAATTAATTATTTTTAAATTTTGAATCATTTAGCCTTTGAGTGAGTCACACTGTTCAAGTTTAATAATTTTCCATTTCAGATTGAACTTTTAAGTATTGTAAAGTGAGTTCCCAATATTTGAGTTAATTTTCTTTCAATATAAATATAATATAAACAAATATAAATATTATTTATTATCAAATTGTGAATATTTTTATTAGATATGTTGCAGTTTGGAATTTGCCCTGGCAGTTTAGCCTTAATTATTAATTATTTACTTATATCACTCATTCATTATGTGACTCTGACTCATATCCGGTATTTCATAACTCTGCATGATCGAATGATACCTTTTAGTAGCCATTAAAAACTTTGACTTTGCTATCAAACATACACTCATTTGGGGATTAATATTTATATTGCAGACATAGTTCTGAACAATATAAATTGTTTATAAGTTTTGAAAAAGATCACAACTTCTAAAAAGGATATTCTTCAATTTTAATTTTAAAAATCAGTTTAAATTTTTGCTTATCCAAAGTAAGAAATTCTAAATCCTTTTATTTAACATTAAGTACGATTAAGTAAAAAAAAGATATAGATCTTACCTTCGCAATCCAGGAACGGGCTATATTGATCACAATAGGCAGCTGGTTGTGCTGCGGCTGCTGCTGCGACGGCAGCGGCTTGAAAGTGTGTCATGAAGTGGGAAGAATTCTTCTGCAGATTCAGCATCTGCTGATAGAATAACGAGGCGGGATCTGAGTAAACGGGACTGAAGCGCATCGTTGTCGGCGTCAACAGTGTGCCCGCACTCTGCTCCAGATTCTTGAGCGCATATTGGGCGGCGACTGCGTCGCGTGACAGATCATATATGGATGCTGGGCTGGTTGAGGATGTGGGTGTGAAGGCTGTGACTGGTCCTGGGCCAGGACTCGACTGCGACTGGGATTGTGTTTGTGTTTGAGTTTGTGGTTTTTTTGTGGCTTCACTGATTTGTGTTTTATGCTCCAAAATGTTATCAATGGAGAATGCCGATTTGTTGGCCTTAATCGTATTGTTATCCATGTTCTTCAGATTGTTAGGTATATTTATGCTGTTGTTGTTGTTGTTGTTGGGTTTATTCATTTATTCATTCGGAAGGCGATCGCAGTGCGCCGAGGAACGGCAGCGAACTATTTAAACGGGGCAGCGACGCGACTTGAACGGACGCAGACGATGAACTAATTGGTTTGGACTGTGCGCAGGGCCCAATAAATTGTACTAAATCAGATTTCACAGAATATAATAGATTGTACATATACATATAATGTTGTGCTAATGGGTAGATATCTATATTAACAATAATATAACCGACGGCCAATGTAGATACGAATGTACATAGATAATGAATAAGCTACTATCATTGATAAGGTCGCTCGGCACAGTCGGCTCACTCGGCTCTCGTTTGGGATCGGCCATCGGTTTTCTTTTTTTTTTTTTTTTTTTTTTTTTTTTGGCTGGTAGCTGGTGGCAGACCCAATCGCCGATCCACCAGTCATATAAATCACAACACTCGGGACTTATTAAACACACTGCTAACGGCAATGTCTGTTGCCATCTCGTTCGCACCACACGAACAGTGTCGGTACTTTTGATCGAGTAATTGTTAATCACCCGTTTATCGGTATCGCTCGGACGTCGTAGTTTGTCGTTTGAGTTGTCGTCCCCGTCGTCGTTTGCTGCCACTTCTCTCATCCTCCTCGCTGTTCTTATCCTCATAATTGCACTTCTGTTCAAGCTGTTCTCTCAGTTGTGCTACTGTTCGAGAATTGGGAAAATCAACGATCTCTTGATTTGTAGTGTATATAAGAAGACCAGAAATATAACCGATTTTTTCATCAAGTTATTCTAAAACTAATCATATATGAACCATGTTTTTCTCAAATTTATACTATGATTGCCTAATTCTCTAAACAAATACTTTTCCTGCATGTTCTATTTATTATCTCAAATTCATTTTTAACCATCCAAATAAAACTCGTTTTCCAAATTTATTTATGAGCTATTTCTTAAAATGATTCTACAATTTGAAAATTATAAAAATACTATTCAAAATAATTATAGTTGTTTATTAAAAATAGCTCAAATAGAGCATCTAAAAGTCGGGCACTCTATGTATACCATATATATACTACACCCGCGTTATATACATGAATTCATTTATTGTAGTTGTAAACAAATTAAAATTACCAATAGACTCTCACCGGTTCGGAGGTGCCCCCGAAGAACTTTTCACCCCGCCGCTACCCACGAATGTCGTCATCGCCATCGCTTTTGATTGAGTAATCGAGTTGCTGCGATGATATGAGCCTCTGCTAACCAGTCCAGTGTGTGTGCGAGTGTGTGTGTGTGTGTGTGTGTGTGCGTATACTTTTCGGCAGTTGGAACTTTCGAAACAATTTATGCGTTTGTATAACTGCATTGAGCGAGGGGCGGGAATGTTGTGCGGCACGGGGATGAGGTAGTCTCTTATCTGCCGTACTCGGGGTCCCCTTAAAGCCTTTGAGATGATGGATTACTTTTGATTTTGGGCATTGGCGTTCCCGATAAAATATACAAAATAAATGCGCCTAATTGTTGTTATTGTCTACTCGCTACCTGAGAACGATATTGTTTTCAGGTCGCCATTATATCTTTTAGATACAAGTATCTACTGAATTTCATAGGGAAAAAACTCAGAAGCGCTTGTTAAAGTTAGATTTCCAACTAGAGTTGCAGAAGATGCGTCCTAAGATGTTTTCAATAATTTGAGGCATTTCTTGTCTACTTAGATAGTTAAACGACTCCTGTATTTTTCGAATATTTATTTAAATATTTCCTGTTGAACAAAAAACTTTTGATTATCAGATTATTTATTTGTTTTCTTTCGAATTTAATTTGATTATTTTTCACAATAATTTTAAAAATACCGCACCATTCCCGATAAACTGTAAGTTCCACATAATCGGAACATGCTCGCAAACCCATTAAAAATTCACTGAAATAATAATTCAATGAGCAATTCTAAAGTACTCAAGGGTTCTTTTTTTTTTTAGATTTTATATGGTTTCATAAAACGTAGAACTATAGTTAGGCTTGGTGATTCAATTTGTAGCATTTCGAAACGGCTAATAAAAGAATCGCTTGGCAATAACAATAAAAAGATGATAGCTCAACTGAGCACTTATTGAAATACTAGATATTTAAAGGCATGATAAATTCGTTGTCGATGATATTGATAAATGCACAAGCCGACAACATAAACGAGTAAGAAATGGCACTTTATTTTCAAAGCTTAAATAATCACAACTAGATATATTTATCAATGAGAAAGCTAGGTAGACATAGTGCTCTAATTTCGAATATACAAGAACAGTCTATTGACTGCTTGCCTAATATGACAAATCCTACATTCAATTCAAAATCTACATTTTGCTCATGGTTTTTTGCACCATTTTGTTTTTGAATGAATGAATCACAATAAGTATTTAATGTGCTTAGTGGATGACAATTGCTGCCTTCAAGATTGCTGCATAGGCAAGCGGCAGCAACAACAAAATGTGCTTAAACAAATTACCAAATAATGAACCTTGATAAAAAATCGAAATTGTTTCGAATGAAACGGAGAAATAAGGCAAACACAGAACACAAATATTGGCTGGGTGATAAATATAAATGTACTCGATTCGGGGGAATTGATCGGTGTGGCCCAAATGCTAGTTGGCAAATAAATGATAATGTTTTTGTCGTTGGGTCGGCTTAAGTTCGTCAAGTGACACTAAATTATTAGCAATTATCAGAGACAAACGGTTCGAAACGACTTCAAAATTGGGTATAAATTTGCAGTACAATAAAAGGAAGAGCTCTTCAAATTTATTATGTGTCTCAAATTGAAGTCCAGGCCATGTGATAAGAAGCTTCAAAAATATAATTTTGATAGGCACACTACGATAATTGGCTTGTTTCACATTTTGAATGATCGTCAAAGGCGTTGGCCGTTAACCAATACATCAAATATCAATCATTAATGTTAAGAAATCAATAATTTGGCTCTTTATTTATATAACTTTATTCATTCTCATGCTTCACCATCGCATTTTACATACATACATATTTATATATGTTCAATTGATTTCTGTTTCTTACACTTTGTCATTAGATATTTATATATATATTTATTTAATTGTTGTGTTTTGTGTAATGTTGAGGCATTACACTTGTAAACTAATTGATTAAATTGTTTGCGCAGCATTTTGAATTACTTGTTTCATAACATTTATTTATTAATGCATACGAATAAATATTCATATTTTATTTTTGTAAATATAGCACTAAGTTGCTGCATGTAATATTTAAGCAGTTTTTATTTATTGAATTAAATCAGTTATTGTATTTGCTTTTGTGTACAGTACATATTTATTTATATTCTTTTTCTTTTTCATTTATATATATTTAAATGTTTCACAAGTTGTTCAATGTTTCATTTTTCGCGTGTGTTTTGAGAGTTGGTTTTGAGTATTTTGCTTGGCTTCTTGTGTGAAATTACATAAATTAAAATGCAAAATAAATAAATTATACTACAATTTCACACATAACTAGGCATGCACACATTAAGTTTACAGTTTACAGTTTACAGTTTCAAGTTTAAATTCATATTTGTTTTGTTTTTTTTTTTCTGCATAAGATTAGAATGGATTTTTGTTTTGTTGTTGTTTTTGGTTTGAAAAGCACAACACGTTACCATGCTGACAAAGTTTTGAGTATTGGTGGTTAAAATTAAGCAGCCTAGGCATACAATAAAATTAGTTTAATTAGTAAGAAAATTCGAGTAGCAAAAATGAGTATAGTTAAAGTTAGGAGTTAGTTAGGAGATGTTGACCCTCTCAACGTTGACCTTTGTATAAATACAAATTCAAGTACATATGTAATTAAGTAAGTTAGGATAGGTTAATAACGTTTATATATATACATATATATATATATATATATATATATATATATATATATATATATAGGTATGCTCATTGGTATTGGTTAGTTTGTTTTAGACCTAAGCGGTGTAGCTATCAAAGCTCTCTAGACCAGATTGGTCACATGTGTGGTGTCCATGTGCTTTATTAAGACGTGTATAAAGGACATCTCCTTGCGCGCATTCTCCAGTATCACCTTGGGATCATCCGAAGTGCAGCGCAAGCAGTTTGGCGCAAATACCATGGCCAGATTCGATGAATCCATTTTGGTGCAGGTAACCACCTCCGGTACGGAGAATTGTTGCAAAAAGTGTATTAAATACGTTAGGACCTGTTCAATGAAAAACCAAATTAATTAAGTGATAATTAAAAGATTGATTATCTAAACTGACCAATTGATTGATTTGTGGCAACTTATTAACTATTTCTTTGGCTTTATCGGGATCCTCGGTATTCACGCAATCCTCATAATAATCATCCGGTATAAGCGGATCGTACAGTTCGCGATACCACAGCTTAAATAGACTAGCGGGCGCATGTGCATCAACTGTTGAACAAATATAGCATTAAGCATATAAGTAAACTGTGTTATAAACTTATTGACAACTTACTCATAGTGTTCTTATAATCAGGAACATCCCACCGATCCAAGCGATTCTTCATGCAATTGACCTCATCCACATCGGCGGATACACGAAAAATGCCCTCCGTTTGTTTGCCATTGAGCAGCAACACCTGCCACAGATCAAGCACCAAGATTGTTAAGCAATTGCATGCTTGAATTAAGGTCGAGTATTACTTACATGCTCGGCGAGCGTTGTTTGTATCCATGGTAATTTGCGCCCTGGATATTTATCCTTTTGCAGCTCCATTATCTCGGAGAGTGTATTGCCAAACATGCTGTTCCGGAGGATTTGTTGCTAAATACAAATAATACAATGATTAATTTGTCAAATAATTAAGTTATTTTGAATAAACCCAAACGCTTACCCGCGCCTGTTCCACTTCGTCCTCGGTGGGCTTCTTGGCCAAGCGACGGCCGCTGCTGCCAATGCGATCCAGACGACGACAGCAAACAGTCGCATAATGCGAGATCTGAACGTGTATGGGCCATTTGCAGACCTCCAGATAGCCAGTGGCAAACGAGGGATCACGATGACGATTCACGTAGCTGATTAAAAGGAAAACAGAGATTTACTTAAACAGTTCAAAAGGATATTGGGTAAAGGTAATTGCACTCACTTGAGCAGCGTGGGCTGAAATGTGGGCGAGGGCGGCACAAAGGATAAACAGATGGCCATCAGCTCCCAGCCGCGTATGAGTGACTCGCGCTTGGGATTCTCCGTGGTCTGGCGACACAGTTGCACATAAAGCTCATCGCGTAATCTGCAAGAGAAATTCAATTTGTATAATTAATTAAAGGAGCAACTTGAAAAGAATTTAATTTTGTTATCAAATAAATCATGACAAATTCTAATTTTATAATCTTCGTATTGTTATTTGACTTACTGCTGCTGTGGCAGGGAGGCGGTAATGATGTCAATGGCCACCGAGTTGAGGCTCATGCCGAGGCGCGCCTTGCGATCTCCCATGTAGATTTGCACCAGCTTGAACAGCTCAATGGCCGTCTTCTTGTCGGCTTTGTCGCGTGAGAGGGCCAACATGGGCCGACTGATGGCCTCCGCCGTCCAGCTGAGCATGTCGCGCACGGACGCCTTTTTGCGAAAGATGCCCTTGGAGTGCAGATTCAGATTGTCGGCGGCAAACTTCTCAATATCACATTCCTTCATGCAGGCCAACGTTGTGGCGCCGGGCGCACGTTCGCTGGGCGGAAAAATCTGCTGTATGGTGGGCTTTAGCGACGGTGGCGCCAACTTATGATTGACGCCACGGCTTAAACTGCTGCCGCCCGCCGACGACTGTGCTGTATTCGCAGTGGCCAAGTGTTGTTGTAGCTGTTGCGATTGCTGCTGCGATTGTTGCTGCGAGTGTTGCTGCTGCTGGCCATGATTGGGCTCATCTTTGGTTAGCTGACCGGCGGCTAGGCGCGAGATTTGACGATTGGGCGAGGGCAATGTCTGTGATTGCTTCTGTTTGGCGCTCGACGCATCGCTGGCATCCAAGTGCAGCAACTGCTGCTGCTGTTGCTGTTGCTGATGTGGCGGCGGCGGTGGCTGGCCCAACCCATGTGCATGACCGCCAAACGGATACGATGGCGTATTCGAGTAGAGCTGCTGGTTGTGCTGATGGTTGTACGGATGATGGCCCTGACCCGACGACGAGGAGGGACTGTGCGAGACGGTGTCATAGTACGAGATCTGATAGCGGGGCTTCGGCTTGGGCGCCGCAACTGTCTCCGTATTGCCGCCAATGCCCTCCAGCACGGCCTCAACGTTGTCGGAGCTGGCAATGCAAAAATAAATACATATTTAATAAGCATAGCATGAGTTTGGTTAGAGTTGAGTTATAGCTTACATATCTTCGCGTCCAGCTGGATCGTAGGGCGGATACTGATAGGCATAGTAGGAGACGCTGTCGCCCATATTGGCATAGTCATCGATCATGCCATAATTGTGCTCCAAGTAGCCGCCATGCGTATCTGAGCCACCATCCGAATCCTCATTGTCCGGCTCATGGCCCGACAGCGAATGCTCCGACTGACTATCCGAGTGATACGAATCCGAGTCACCGGCACCATCGCCATCGGCACCATAATCGTAGCGACCAAAAAGCTTCGCCTGCTCGATGATGTAGTGCTTAAGTGGCAGCAGATGTGGCATCTCCTGGCCACAGTTGCTATACAGCGGCGAAATGTTGCCATTGTCGTACTCCACATCGCTGTTGTCCGCCTGCAGATGCTGATGATGCTGCTGGTGCGACTTGGAGCGACGCGAGTCACGCTTCTCACCGGCGTTCTGTAGGGGATGATAGCCCTGTCGCTTATCCAGGCTGGAGCTGGCGCTGTGCCTCAACGAACCCTGGCCGGGAAAATGATGCGTTTGCGATCGATTAGCTGTGGAGTTATTCGATTTCTGTCGCCTGGCCGCCGAGTCATTGGAGCCCCTCGATGAGTGCGTCAGCATGCCGAGATTATCGGAGCCAGCGCTCGGTGAAATCGGCGCCGTTTTCCCCAGCGACATGCGCTCCAAACTGAGCAGATCTAGGGGGCCACAGCTACTGGGCTCCTGTATGCGAGGCGAATGCTGCTGCTGCAGTTGCAATTGCGGCGGCGGATTTGTGGAGCTGGTTTTTGCCTGACGCGAACTCTTCGTCTGCGGACTGATGGGACTCTGGGGACTGGAGTCGCTCGAGTGCTTCTTGTGGCCGCTGCTGTTGCTGCCAGCGGTGCTGGTCGCCGTATTGCTGCCACTGGCCGCACCACCGCCATGGCCCTTCGCATTGGTCGTGTGACGGCGTCGGCAGAGCGGTGTATTCTCCACAGACTTGAAGTATTTCTCGTGCATTGAATCATCGCTGGCGGCACCACCATAACCACCACCACCACCACCACCACCACCGCCGCCTCCGCCGGCGCCGATGCCACCACTGCCGTTTGCCTCAGCGCTGCTCTTGCGATAGGATTTGCTGTGATGTCCAGCGGCGGTCGGATTAAGGGAGGACAGAAAGCTGCCGGAACGCGCCAGCGACACCTTGTATTCGCGATCTGCAATCGTAAAGATAAAATATAAGAGTTCTATTCGAGCTGCATTTAAATTTTAATATTTACCGCCCATAGCTGCTGCAAAGGATTTGCCGGAAGAGGGAATCACGCTGGGCACGCCTCCTCCTCCTCCTCCTCCTCCACCACGTTGTGCGCTGCGTTGTTGTTGCTGCTGCTGCTGCTGTTGTTGTTGTTGGTGTTGTTGTGCGTAGTTGTACTGACGATCGGCATCTGGTGATATCTTCTTCTTCTGCGCCTGTGGCGTATGTATCGAATGTGTGGGTGAGGCAATATCGGATGACTTGGAGGAGCAATAGCCCTGCATGTGGCTGGGCAGTAGCTGATGATCAAAGTACTTGTTGCTATCAACGACGGCAACACTACCACCAACATACGATGAGGACGAGGACGAGCCATGCGGTAAATTATGTGAACTGGTGCTCTCTTGCAACATTTCAAAGCTGATACCGGAAACCGAGAGAGCAAAAGCAAATGATTTTTAATTATGCGTGTGTACGTGTGTGTGGCATGTGAAGCATGTGTGTGTGTGTGTGATGCGAAATATAGGCTAACACAATCAATAACATAATAATTACAATCAGAAATCAGTTGAACTAACCAGCAAACTAAATTACAACTCGACTAAATTATACTTTATACTAATCGAATCCATCTCATTTGTAATCTCAATATTTCAATACCAACAACTGGATTTAGGTCTGCTTTTAAGCTATATTGCTCTATAGCTATCTCAATTAAATGCGATTTTTAACAATACTTGATTGGTAGAGATTGGTATCTTGGGCACAGTTTCCATACTTTAAACTTATAATTTGTTTGTCAGGTTTTGTAACTCATTGAATGAAACCTCTTCGACCCCATAAAGTATATACATATATATTATTGATCAGTATTCCTAGCAGAGTCCATATAGCTATGTCCATTTATCCGTATATTTCTCCTTTCTTATCTTGATTAAACTTGGAATACACATCTGCAGTCAATACACGTCGTTGCCAGCTGAATCGTATAACTTTATCATCCAATTGTCATAGGAGCGATCGAACGAAGGATGAAAAACGTATTTGTTTACCAAGTACTCCTTACCAAACTCACCAGCTATGCGTACTCATGTGCTACTCACATTTGGACAACTATATCATATAGCTTCCATAGGTAAAATCGGACTCAAGATGGTTTCTATTAAGAACAACTTTCTTGTTCACCAAATTATCCTAAGCAGACTTTAAATGATTAACATTGGAATACTTTCATATTGGAATGCAGCTTTCATAGCAATTATAAATCGGTTTTTTAGATGTCAGCAATTTGATTGCGGTCTACAATGATATATAATCATTGGCCTAAAATAGGCGTTCCTTCTTGTTTTTTTTTATGGTCATTCACTGCAATTGTTGAGATTATGCGACAAAAAGATTTGAAAGCAAGCATTTTACAAATATTGCGTATACACCTAGTAAACCAAGCATTAGCTTTATATTATAGACTGCAAATCCTGTCCGAGCAGTATTATCAACACTTACGCGCCATTATCCTTGCCACTGCGTTGCTGTTTCTGCAATGAGCCCAGTCGCAATGCATCACTGGCAACGGGGGGTGCACCACCATTGGAGGCATCATTGAAGCGACGATAGCCATGCGCACTGGACAGACTCGAATCGCTTGACTTGCCCGATTCCTTGTAGTGATTGCAAGAGTCTGTAAAAAAAGATGATGATGATGATGAGTCACAAAAGGGGAATTCAATGACGTCACACGCTCTGCTTACCTTGCGACCGTCGGGAGGCGTAGGCCGGTTGATGCGGCTGCTGCTGCTGCTGCGGCGACTGTTGCATGTCCATCGAACGGGATGAGTCACCGGTGCCGACGCTGCAAGTGAAATGTAAATCAATGAAAATAATACCATACAAATTTCACCATTTTCGCGCTCACCGAAAACTTTGACGGCCCCGTGGACTAGAGATCATTTCAGAGTTGGTCGCCGTCGCTGGGCTGCTGCCCAGTTTCTCCTCGGAGCTGGCGACAACGCCATTGCCACGCTGTCCGCCACGCCCCTTCTTATTCGCAGCCGACATGGGCGATGGCTGCTGTTGCTGCTGCTGATGCTGCGGCGGTTGCTTCTGCGGCGTTGTCTGCTGCTCCCGTCGCTCGCTGGGATCAGTGTTCTGTTTGAGCGTCTGCAGCTTGGCCAGCGGAATGATGTCACACTTGCTCGGCCGATGCCAAACGGTCTTCTGCGTGGCCGCATTATAGTAATAGAAGCGCTGCGTATTCGTATCAAACAATTCCCACCATTGCGATGAGTCGGTGCGCTTAATTGGCACATCCTGTCCACGTCCACGGAAAGAGACAAATTGAGAATGAATTCAAGCGAATCAGTTGACTAAATCTCATATATAGCATATATATATATCATATATAGCATATATCATAGCTGCGTTTATCAACGACCCAAATAGTGTAGGTGTGTGTGAGTGATGTGCGTGCGTGTGTGTGTGTGTGTGTGTGTGTGGGAGGTGTTATGAATAATTATGTGTGTGTTCAAATCGTCGAGTGTCGAGTGAATTATGCGGCTATTGAGTGTTATTCACTTAATCCAATCGCTTTACTTAGTCAGGGTATTGAATAACGAATATTTAGCAAGAGTTTATTGAAAGTTAATACGCAGTAATAACAATGTGGAAAATATTGTTAAATTGAAATATTGATTTGTATTTAAGAAATTCATTTTGATTTCCATTTACTTCGATTTACTTTTATCGATTTAGAAAAAGTAAATTCCAAATAATTCCAAACTCGATTTTAGATCTTGTTTTAAGTATTTTTAAATTAGGCTAAAATATTTATTGGTTTTTCCTGGTATTTTATTTTCATCCCTAATAATATAATTGGGGGGTTTCATGCACTGCGACCAAGTTAGATCTGTTTAGCTCTTCTTCTACTGAGAATTCTGTATCCCATGAGCCCAATGAATAGTGTATCTTCTGCTGGCCAAGTTCATGCAATCAAATATGATTTTCGTTTGAGGATTGCTCCGCATTGTCACAAAATCAAAAGAACATCGCCTGATTTTAACTAGTTCAGCTAGTTGACCTTCAAGTCTACAGTTTCAGATAATATCAGTCTCGATTTGGCGTGTGTTATATTCGCATTCCTAAGTAATTAATTTCACTCTGTTAAACAATCCGCCCGAATAGCATAACACACATGTACACATATTTTCCCATTAATTAATATTTCTCAGAGTTTTTCAATTGCATAAATAGAACACCGCCTTTAATATCAAATGTCAATTTCAGCATCAGCAAAAAAGCAGAGTACGCTTTGCATCCAATATCTGTCAAAAGTTATAAGCACGTTTGCAAATTTCCCCTATTTATATTGCATACATATATTTCCAGAGAACTGACGTAAGTTGTACCCTCCCCCACCCCAACCCTATTCCATGACTTGACTATAGAAATTATCTCAACGATTCTGGTGCAAAACGGTGTTTTTTTTTTTCTTTTTAATTGACTTTTAACTGAAGTGTTCTGCTTGATTTCGCCTTAATCAGCAATTGTGGAGCCCAAAGCAATCAGCTGCATCTTTTGAGTTATGCTTTCGTTGTTGTTGCAACGTGGGTTTTATAATCGGCTCATCAACTCTTAAGAGCGCTTGACAGAAACTCAAGTTTTCTTTTTGACCAGGCCCACATTTTCAGCTCACATACAAACCATCTCTCTCTCTCTCTCTCTCTCTACCAACCATGTATACCTGTCTCTCTCTGTCCCTATGGCGAAGTCACGGCTGCATGTTGCTACCAAGCTGACCTTGAACTTTTTAGCTGCAGCTGCGCGCCACAGTCAGTTGCAGGCTGCAAACAGAGGCCGAAAGACAGGCCCTGACCCAGGCTCACATGTATTTCTCTTTTAATCTGCAGCATTGTTGTTGTTGTTCTTGTTGTTGTTGCTGTTGTTGCTGCTGTTGTTGCTGCTGTTGTTGCTGCTGTTGTTGATGTCGTTTTGTGGTTTGATAACACAGCCGCACACAATACAATGCCGTCCGCCCACCCACTCTACCCAAAACACACATATTACATTGAAAGCTTTCAGCTCGGCTGCTTTTCATTTCTGGTTTTCATTTCCATTTCCATTTCAAGCCTCAACTGTGTCGCGCGACGCAGTTGCATAATTTTCAGTGGGCGCGGCCAACGCGTTGATTGGGACAAGGCTGCTGCTGCTTGCTGCCAGCAGAGGCAAGCAGAGCTAACTATAGCATCAGCATCATCGTTACGCTTTTTGCATTGTTGCGCTTCCAACTGTCAGGCAGACAGTCAGCCAGTCAGTCAGTCAGTCATCCATTCAGGCATTGCAGCCGGACAGCCATCGCTTAAGTAGGTCTATTTCACTCTGGCGCCTTCCCCTTTGAACCACTATCCCGCCCCACTTCGTTTGGCTTTTTCTTTTTTCTCAGCGTGTGCCACATGCTGCAGCTGAACGAAGAAGCAGTGACAGCAGCAGCCACAACAAAACTAACACAAATACGAACATTTATTTGCAGCACTTTGATGTTTGAATGCTCTTGCTTTTGTTGCAGTAAATATTAGACAAGACTAAGAAGAGTATTATATAATATAATAAGAGTAGTATATATATTTATTTTAAAAGATTATCGATTTATAATTAACAATAAAAAGCAAGCTCGATAGATATAATAAAGAGATTTGATTTAACTAAATACTCTCAGTAATAGAAATATTTTCTAAGGATACTGAAATGTGGTACAAAACTTTCTCCGAAGAAATTCAGAGTATTTATTTTTTACAGATTTTGTATATTCTGACCAACAATAGTTAATAAGTCAGTACAAAACTTGGAGTTAACGATTTATTCATTTATTGCTGAGCAATGGCAATTGGCAATGTTCAAAGTATCCTCCATAAAATGAGAGTATATTAAATAAAAGTATGGACTGATGGCTATGTCTCCGTATTCTGCCTCCGACACGTCCTCAATTTGGCCTTGTGCGATATACCGAATATTTTGTAATTATGGAAATACAACAACAACAACAACAACACCAATAACAACAATTATAAGAGAAACAACAACAACAAACAATGGGGCTACATCTTTATCTCATTGATGGAATTTGTGTTGTGCTTCCATTTATGAAAATGAAATTAGAACAACGCACATTGGTCGAATAATTTTGAGGAAAATCTGTCAAAATTAATATGCATGGATTATATTTATGAATGTGCATAGTATTTGTGGCAGAGAGTACAAAAACAACATACAAATAAGATAAAAACATAAGAAACTGAAAAGATTTATAATTATTAGTCATAAGCGAATACGCACAACATTTAAATATGAGTCAAATTCCCAACTAAAGGAACATTTCAATAACAACATATATTTATATAATCACACATGACAAATGTACTTCTTTGATATGCAGAAAATAACAAAGTACATAAATTTGGCTGCACTTTGGTCTTCAAATTGCACAAGTTTAGATCTATTTGAAACATCTCTCAAGCGTAACTCAATTAAAATTGTATTTATTTCTGCTACGCTTGAATTTTGTAAACTTTATCTCAATGAATTCTATTCTTAGCCATCTGAAGTTTCGTTGTTTTAATTGCTTAAATTCCGTGACTTCAGCAAAATAATAAAAAAAAAGAAAGATAGAAATAGCACAATTGCTTTTGGGTAATGCGCATTCCAAAAGCATTAAAAGTTCATTAAATTTGCTGCTTTTGGTTCGCATTGTTTTGCTCTGACTTATTGAAAAATAATTTTAGCTTTTAATCAGTGGCAATATATACATGAATCTTATACGCTTGAAGCATGAAGCACGCACAATTCTAATCAGCGAATGGGGCCGGTCCGCCTATCAGCGTTTGTCTGCCTATTGCCGAGGTCAGTAATGGTCCGCTCCCAACCAACCACCCCCTCCCCAAACCCCAATCCCATTAGCTCCACATAAATGGCCAGCACATCTGTGAATCATGCTCCGGCCACATAAAAAAAAGAGCCAGAGATGAAAAAATAAATGAAACGTACACTCAAATTCGTTCATAAACATCAAGCTTTTTTTTCATGTGCTGTTGTTGTTTATAAATTAGGTCATCATCGATATTTAAAAAAAAAATAGATAGAAAAGGAAAACTAAACATAAAGAAAACAAACTTCAAGCGCGGCACAGACCTAAAAATAACCGGGGCGATAACATCTGACTGCAATAACGACATCAAAAAAACAACAAACAAACAAAAAATAAATTCACATTTTTCTTTTTTTTGTCTATTTATTTCTTTTTGCAAAATCAATTTGAAATGTGTCACCAGTCGGGAAAATGGAATGTCAAGCATGGAATAGCTAATAAATATTATTGTGCATCATTTTATACGAGTATTTGTATCTGGCTAGCCCAGCGTCTGTCTGTCTGCAAAAATATACTTAAAATTTCTTTTTTTTGTGATTCAGCAACACAAAATTAAAGCAAAATAATTTTTAAATAAAAGAACAACATTCAGGCTAATTATGATTATAGTTTCATTGGAACTACATTCCAAATTGCTTGTAAACATAACAAATGCAGACAGAATGGAATTTAATGAGATTCTTTATTGGTCATTTGAGAGCAGTTTTTATCGTAATTTAAATATCAAAAACTTGTCGCATAGTTTGCCATATACCATAACATTTGTAGGGTGGTAGAAAGTCGTATAGACTCGATTGCAACATTTGGTTAAATGTGGTCGATTGATAACGAATTGAGTTAATGGCGCGTGCAGAGTTGTCGACATTATTTCAATTAAGCTTTCAAAAGTGAATGATATATATAGAAACTATATATATGAGTATATCCATATATGTGATCTGCCAGACATACTATGATAATTATAAAACTGGTAGACATATTTAAAAATTAACATATGTATGTGCCTAACATACAAAAATAATCCCCATTAATGACACCATCAATTATAATTAATGAAATTTTATGTGAATTATAGAATTCAAAGAAATCTTTGACAATGCATACTAAAAATAAAGCCATGTAAGTCCCAAATTTTTGTCGGTGGAGTTTCTTAAGACCCCATTGATCTGTGTATAAAGTTTCATTCATGTCGCAAGCGTGCCACATATGAAACCAATTCGATTGACTCATTCACTTGTGGCAACGGAAACTGATAGCTATTGCAACAAACATTTAACGAATTTGAATGACAAACAGTTTGATTTATAGTACAGTTCTAGTTGGCGAAAGAGAATCTCTTATATTGGCTATCAATCATATCAATGAAGTTAACTTTTCATTGGACATATTTTAAACGTCATAAATAAGTCGTCAAATTTCCTGTAACATGTAAAACTAAGAAGCGAATTCCATTAGCGATATTTATGCGCATTTAATTGCCACTGTAATTGCCAATAAATTTATGCAGGCCATGCAACAGCTTGGCCAGGCTCATAACCCACTTGGCCACAAAAACAAACAGGAAGTTGTAGAGGCCAAAAACGATAATAGCGATAGCTAATACGATAGTCTAACGATATATGTACGTATAATGAAAAGAAAACCAAACAACAAATTGAAATATTTTGACGATTGCGTAGCACGGCCCCCAAAACCATAGGCACCCATAGGCACATTTGGAGGAGTGGGGGGGGATAGCACCCCTCCCCGCCACGCTGCACGCTGCACGGCTGAAGAGTTTGGACTGAATTGGCGGACGCACGTAAGCATTATCGTTGCCTGCTTCTCGTCTCTTGCTGCGTTTTGTAACACTAAACGAGCGTGTGGGCAACTTTTCTGTGCTTCTTTCTTAACCGGAAGTTTTACAAAGGCAAATGAGCAAAAAGTATGAAAAAAAAGAAAAAGAAAGAAATAGCAGACCGACAGCGAGGGGAAGTAAGCCAAGAGTTATAATAAAAAGTTTAAGCATCGAGCTTAGATGAAGCACGACTTCTGAATGCCCTGTAATTGTGTAATTGTACCCGGCATCTAAAATTTAATTGTGTTTGGCAGAATTGTTGAGATCTTAATAGTTTATCATAAGCAATTATGCAGATTTTAATCAATTTTAATTATCAAAAATGACCAGTAAAATAATATAAATAAATGACAAATAAATAAATATGGCATTTTGCTTATAATAGCCAATAGACCAGTTTTCGAAATAAGTTTACAGGGCATCACAAATAGACAGTGGACTCAACTTGCTGTGCATAAATTTCAAATCACGTACAATGAACGTAGCAATTGTTGCTGTCTTTGTCATTACGCTGCTTGCTGGTGACACCAAAAAAAAAAAAGAGCAGCAGCAGCAGCAGTGGCAAGAAGAAGCAGAAAATATCCGAAGAAGCGCCGCAGCGACGACGTCATTAAAACAAAAAGCTGCCAAAGGCAAAAACTTTGAAAGCGGCGACAACACAAAAAAGTTGTTGCTAATTTAAAGCGCGTCCGCAGCTGGGTGGGCGTGCAAGGGAGAGTGAGATAGAACGAGAGAAAGAGAGAGGGAGAATGAGAGAGAGAGTGAGAGTGAGAGTGAGGGCAGGGTGAACGAGTTAAAAAAGAGTGCGTGTTTGTGTGTGTCAGCATTTTGTTCCTTTTGTTGTAGTCTGTTGTGCCCTGTGCACGCTGAGCTGCATCAAATGAATAGATTATATTGTGCAGCTAAAAGGATTCTTCATTCACTTCCTCATGGCAACTTGACAATAACTGCAGCGTCATCTGCGTCGGCGCCAGCAGCACTGCTGCAGTCGAATTTAGGGCATATGTTTAGGGTTATGCTCTGTTTAGGGCATTTTCATTTTTAGATGACGTTTGTGTGCGACAAAAAATAAGTATATAATTCAAAATATATCAATGTTTATTAATACACGTGCTATGTAAATATATACAGCTATCTCTCTGTCAATTCATTAATCGATATACAGTGTCTCAGACCTTATTTCGACCAGTATTTGCCAAAATTGTAATTGCCTGCCACAAACGAATTATACATTATTTTTCAAAAATTCCAAAGACCGGTGGAAGGTACATACATATATTAACCATCAAAATGAATAAATGATCCCAATAAACTGGGGTGTTCCCACCTGCTCGGTAGTGTACCTTAATTTATGATCAATGCTTATTTCGAATGGACACCTGAGTGCAAAACAACAAGGCACCAAACAAGATTTTCACCGAACAGGAAGAGCGAAGTATCATCAGGAAAATAAGGGAAAATTCTAAGCTATCGGCTCCAAAACTGACTCAACAGGTGCAGGATGAAATGGGGAAAAAGTGCAGTGTGGAAACTGTGCACGGCGGAGGAAGTGTCATGGTATGGGCATGTATCTCGGCAGCCGGTGTCGGAAATTTTGTGTTTATTGAAACAACAATGGACATAAATCTGTACCTCAATAAATTAAAGGAAAATTTACTCGAAAGTGCCGAGAAGGTAGGAATCCGATGTACTTTCCGGTTCTTCCAGGACCACGACCCTAAGCCCCCCATGATAATTCCACCGGCCCAGCCTCTAGATTTAAATGATATTGAAATTTAAATTATATGGGCTCTGCTGGAAAATAACAACCGGAATCACAGCATATCCAACAAACAGGATCTCAAAAATGCTCTGCTGGATGAGTGGAGCAAAATTAGCCCAGAAACTAAACTTGTTAAGGCTAAAGGATATCATACTACATATAATATCATCTATATGTTACATATATTATTATATGTTACATATTAACATCCTCATATTAATTAACTAATTAATATTTTCATAAAAACTTTCTTTATCAAACGTGATATAACATGTAAGAAATTGGCATTTCAACATTTTGCGTTCGTTTTCTTGTCTACGCTTTATAACACTTTAAATTTATTGCTAGACACCAGTCGAAATAAGGTCTGAGACACTGTATATAAGGCTAATGAATGCAAATCACAGTGTATTAAAAGCAGCGACTTGTGCAAATGGCGTATCAGTTGACGTTCACTTCCTGCAGCGTAGCACGCGGTTACACAGCGAACCAGGCACAAGTGTTGGGAAGTGTAGGCGATGACTCAAAAGAGAGCGAGAGTGACAAAAATCCAAAAACCGATGGGCAAACACACAAACACACACACAAGCACACGCACAGAGACTTACACAGACAGGAAGGAATGCGAAGAGAGTGCATGCAGAAGGCTTCGCTGTGCGACTGCATAATGTGCACACACACATATCTGTGTGTGTGTGTGTATAGCTGTTAAAAAGGGTCGCAATAAATCACTGCGCAAAATGGACAATAAAACCAAAGTGAAGCCAAAGGCAAAGCAAGCGCCGTTTGCAGTATGTCGCTGGGCAAAAAAAAAAAATGTGCTGCACAGTGCATGCGAAACCTTTTCATTAAGGCCATACACGCAACCAGACACAGAACACACACACACACACACACACACACACACACACACACAGCACACACACACGCACACACACACGCACACACACACACACACACGCACACACATACACACCAATAGCAGCGAAACGAGGACGCAGTTGAGGACATCATTGCAGGGCAACAACAAAATCAATGAAGTTTTCACTACTTCCGGCAGCAGTGCAAGAAAAAGGCAGCAACAAAGCCACTGGCAGACCTTCTGTTAGCTGTGGGTGTGTGTGTGTTTGCCTTACAGCTTTTGCCTTGGCCAGACGTCTCAAGTTATTAGCCAGCGACACCTTTCGCTAATGCCGCATTAGCCAAACACGAACATATGCAATGAAAGGGGGCGCTAAATAAAGCTACCGAAAAGAGGTGTGCAAACAAAGTGCAGTAGCAGCAGTCTCCCTCCCTCCCTCTCTCTCTGTCGCTCTCCATTTCTCTTTGCCTCTGATGATGTGTGCTCAGCTCAGAAAGCAAAAGTTTGTGCAGGAACGCAATGAAATAAAGTAGGGTATTACACATGTATGTTTGTATGTATGTATTAGCTATGATAAGTAAACGCTTATATTGAAAATGAATGATGTATATATGAGCCATTTATCTTTTCTTAGACATTTTTATATTAATATGCGCAATGTATCTATTCTTAGACATTAGTATCTTTGACTATGTACTACGTAAAACAAGAGAATTAACTTAACAAAATGTCTATATAATATTTGATTTCACTATTAAATATTTATTTGAAAAGCCAATGAATAATGTAAATGTGAGAGATTAATTGATGAGTCAATTACATATTGAAAATACTTTTTATTGCTTTTAGTTGAAATTACAATACTATTTTATATTATTTGAATTTTTTAGCCCACTTTCTGCTAACCCATGCAATAATCCATTCGATATGGCCATGCCCTATGGCAATCGATCGAGTGTTACGCAAAGAATTCCTCAATTAATATTACAATTTTTGTGAATAAAATTAATTAACATGGTTCACGCCATTGACGAACTGGGTCAAACAATTTTCCATATGCATCTATATGTACATATATATATATCTATATATATATATAAACACATACGTATATTTTGCTGTAAAATTTGCAAAACAAGTGACCCAAGTCAATTGAGCAAAGGCCAAACAAGAAATACAAACTCGACAAGTTTGCACAACGATGAAGACTGAATACACTTAAAGACTTTTTCATTATTTAAATATATGTATATATATTTCTACATGCTCAAAAAAAGTATTGTTCAACGAAAATATTCTGGATACAATATGATTTCCTTGCAAAGGCCTTGATAAGCCAGGGTTGCAACATAAATGCTAAAATAATACTACCGACTGCAATGGCATAATAAAAAAAGCTGATAAACCCAACGAGTTCATTAGCCCCCACGCTGCCAATTGCGACATTTGGCAATTAGCCTGTGAGTGTTAATGAAGCGCACTGTACACACACACACACAAATATACACACACATGTGTGTAAATAATATAATTAATTTGATTGTTTATTGACTATAAACGTAAATGATTCGTTTACTTACCTCGGGTGGATCCCAGACACACTCGCCAGTTGTTAGATTGGCGTACATATGCTCCTTGGTCCGTGGCTCGATAATTTCTACCCATTCTATTCTGTAATCCAGAAAGAGATATACACAAACACACACACACACACACACATATACACAGACAGAGATTAGGAGTGTGTGTGTGAGTGAGTGAGGGTGTGTGCATTAGAAAACGTAACATAAATAAAGATATTAACATGCTGCTATTTTAAAGTTAAATGGCATCTCTGGTATGCAGCACAAGATGCACCGTCAAAAGTACAACTTATAACAACAACAACAGCAACAGTAACAAAATTTGGCGCACACGCACCCAAAATTTCATTCAATGCTTCAGTCATCCATTCATTCATTAAAGCAAAAAACCCGCAAAGATCTATTGCAAAAGAGGAACAAGCAAACCAAAAAACGCCCAAAAATAAAAATACCACCCACTATCCAAAAAAAAAAAAGAAGTTCCACCCAAATTGCCCTGTGCGTGAATCGTCGTCGCCCTTTAAGTATGTGTGTGTGCGTTGGTTTTCCCCCATGGTTTCCTTGTTTTGGCCTTTTCTCCACACACACACACACGCAATCATACAAATATATATTTTGTCAAACATTTTCCGGTTTTTCCTTATTCGAAGCTGCAGTTGAGAACGCCGCGCCGTCCTTCCACATACATATACACAGAGAGCGGTCGCTCTCTCTTCTATCTGTCTCTCTCCCTCTCTTTTGTCTCTCTCTCTCTCTCTCTCTCTCTTTTGCACTCAATCGCTCTTTTCGTGTATATGTATGTACTTGAACGGCCGCGGGTGCCAAACAAAAACGACGCTTGTTGCCGCGCCTTGCAAGAAAATCGATTTTGCAGGCTAAACTGCATACATTTTTGGGGCCACAACCAGCATTCAATTAAGCGAAAGGAGCTGGAGGAGCAATGCAACCCACACACACACAAGCACGAACGCACGCACCCAGGCACACACACACACGCACACACAAATTCACAGACAGCTGCGGCTGGCATAGCCAGCTAGCCCTAAACGGGGAGGGGCTCTCTTGCTCTTGCATTGTGTATAATATTTTCGCACTTCCCCACACATAAAACAACAGTTTTAAACCAACTTATTAAGCAAAACAAATTTACGCCCGTTGTTGTTGCTCTTTCATTTGTATACACATTTCGACATATTTCGCTTGGCTTGGTGCTTGTGCTGCTGGTAGCTAGTTTGTCTTGTTGTTGCTGTTGTTATTGTTATTATATCCAGTGCTAGTTATAGTGTAACGGCACACACCTTTCACAACTTGAACTCATTTTTTCAACGCTTTATTACGCTCGGCGGTCGTCGGTCGCTGTCTCCTTTTGCTATTTCTGCAGCTGCTGCTTCTTTTTTTCTTTCTTTACACATGCACCCCACTATTAATATTTGTGTTCCACTACTACAACTCCACTTTATTTTCCGGATTCGGGGGCTAGCTGGCAGCGAAATGCAATTTTTCTTGCTTTCGATTGATTTTTACTCCCACTTGAACTCCTTTTTCACATTGCCTTTGCCACGGACGCGTGGTCAACACTTTCACAATTATGATATAATTTACAGGCCATATTTTCGCTTTGCTTTTCGCTTGCACAAATGCATTTTCTTTTCCAACTATTTATGTGGCCGCGTTTATAATTAAAAATAATTCATCCGTTCTGCATTCACACGCCGCCACCACTGTTAACGAACTGTAAAACGTCAGCTGTTTTCGTTTGAGAACACAATCGATAAAAATATTAAATCGATTTAAAAATTGCTATCGACTCTGTTAAATTTTAACATAACTGTAATTGCCAGGTGTTTTCGTCTGTTAACAAGCAAGGTTTTATCGAAAGCAACGTCTGTTTGAGAGGTATTCCATTTAAATCAAATTTTAGGAAGTCCAATTTTCTAATAGGATAACACATAATATAATATTCTGCGCGCTGGCACATGCAAATCTAATTCAACGCTGCTGCTACTTTGTTTGCTTTGTTCCAAGAGCAAGTGTGGCCAAATCAAAACAAATTTGTACATTGTTATCGTTTCTTGTAAGTTACACTTGGCCACATTTAAGTAACCGTTAAATGAAGTCTTTACTACAGTTTGTAAATAAATTTCTCGAGGAAGAAACCAGTTTACTGCTAAACAAAACTGTCAGATAATTTTCATATATTTTACGTTCATTGAATTTTATTGAAATTTTGCGAGTTAATACAAAAACGAAAACGGAAATTATTGCAATTAACATTAAAAACGCCCGCTCACCATTACAATGCCATTGAAAAAGGTTTGCTTAATACTATGGTTAACTGATTTTTACAATTACTATAAGAGTGTCTCGGTTCTTGTCTACAAAAATGTAAAATAATAGTCACATTTAAAATTGCATAATTCTAGACAATTCTAGACAAGTGATGTTAGAGTATGACGTACATATTGTTTCGAGAAATTCTCATGCATAAAATGTTTTTGGTTGTTTTTTCTTTTTGTTGGTTGTTGGTTTGTTCTTTTTTTTTTAATTGTTTAACCGGCATCCGACGTAATAATTTTGAATAATTATGCTTTTGTATGCTTGAAATTTTATTGCATTTTATGTAATTAAATATATATAACGTACATCTACATCACGAATCACAGCAAAACTTTATATTATTTTTTATTCCTTTTCATATATTTATGATAAGCTTTTGATTTTGTTTAGAAGTGTTTGAAACTATATAAACCGATAAAAGTTAGAAAAATCGGGCACATTTATCAGTGCTGTTATTATTGTAAGTTCCAGAAAGAGGTGGCAATAAACCAATGGAGGAGAAGGAGGAACTGAAAAAACTTCAATAAGGAAATAAGCTTGAAAATGTCTATTTAAGCTGTTTGCTTCGTAGTTCGGTTGATTGAGATTTTTATTTGTAAATATATATATATATATTTATATACTCGTAGGTAAGTATGTCAGTGCACGTATAAAAGGTATTCAATTCATATCCATGTATATATGTATATATATATTTGCTTTTATCTTTTTTTTTTGTTTTTTTTTTATAACGTTTGTTTTTGTTTTTGTTTTTTTATTGTGACAAAAAAATAAACATTTTCTTCTACTAATAAAATTCTAGAAAAGCACAACACCTTTATAATGGTCTTTTGGAAATACCATTTACATTTATGTAGATTAAAAATAAATACACACACATTTTACATACATATATATATGTATTAGTATATACTAGGTATCAAGAATTGTTTTTTGTTTGGTTTTTTCTCTTCACTTTTATGCATAGCATTTAATAGGGATTGAAACATTATTGTTTTTGTTTTTTTTTGTTTGTTTTTTTTGGGCGCATTCAGAAAAGTGCTCGTCGTTGTTGTTTCTGTTCTTCTCCTTGTGATTATAATTGGCAAAGTCAGCTTTCGCTTAAAACGGACCCAAAAAAGCCATGCGTAACCTTTATTTTCTGGGTGGGTACCGGAAACTGTAGAACCGTGTTCTAGTTGTTGTATTTATAGCAGCATATAGTTAATTCGAAATAATATAGATACAAAAAAACAAAACAAAAAAACGAACTCCTGCTATAAGCAAAACTCATCGTCTATGCTCGTGTTATAGTTAGTTATTTAGTACTGTCTGAAAAATGCTAATCTATTTAAGTTTAGAATATATTGTATGTATGCTCTATATATGCATTTGTCACAAAAAATCAATGCCATATATATATATGTGATATAAAAACGTTTTTGAGTTAGTTTCAATGGTTTGATACGAATGGAGGGCAGGAATCATTTCAATTTACTTGGTATTCTGTATTGTTATGTTTAAAGTTTGTTTTTTTTTTTTTGTTTTTTGTTTCTTTTGTATATTACTTGTCAATGTTTGTCATAGTTATTGTTATTATTGTTATTTTTGCGTGCTGCTTAGTACTAGCACATGTATATTGTTAAAAACGTACGGATTTTTACAGGCTAGTTGAGTGCATGTAAATATCGTATGCAAATACATATTTGAAGATACACCATAATAATAGGTAGAAGAAAACTCTATATAGATCGATATAGATATACACATAATATATATGTAAATCCATATATACTTATATATACATATATATAACTACATATATGCATCTGATGCTCGGCCAGCGTGCTACTTTTAATAGACAAGTCACATTGATTCAAATTCAAGGAGGTTTTTGGTGTAAGTACTAGATGTATATGCAATTGTGTGTACGTATTTATACCATATAACATGCGAGCATGATAAACACGTTCTGTTATTTCATCGAGAAAAAAGGCAAAAACTACTTGAGCTGGAGCTGGTGCTGCCGGAGCCCTGCCTGCAAGAGTAGAGTATTGCTTCCGTTTCCTGTCTTCTGTCCGGTAATAATGTAATAATACACTAAATGTACGTATGTATGCGTATTTTGTATAAATGTATTTTTGCATATTTAGCAATTGCATAATGACGCACACGTCTACGACAATACAGTTAAATAAGCCCACCAATATATGTATATGTATGTATATATGTATGTATGTATGTATGTAAGTATGTATGTATGTATTGTATTACGACTCTAAATTCATATTCATGTTATGCAAGTGTTTTATCGCTCTTTTTTTTTTGTATATATACTATAATTATGTTGTTTTGCGTTAAACGTTCATTCCTCATTCAGTTTGTGAATTTTGTTTTTTTGTTTTTGTTGGTTTTAGTCGATTTTAAAGATTGCTTATATGTTTCAAAGTTAGTTGCTTCGTTTATATATATATATTTATATATGTATATAGTAATGTTTACTAATTTAAAAATGTTTAAACAGTTGAAACGCAAGAATTGAAGGAGTTGAATATCCATTTTTTTTCTTTCATTTAGTTAGTTTCCATTTTTTTGTTTTTGTTTTGCTTAGTGCAAAAAGAAGAAGAACTTCTTCAGTGGGTTCAGTTCGTAAAATATACAAATATATTTTTGTTGTAAGTATAAAATTAAAATGCAATGCAAATATTATGTATGTATGTATGTATATATATATATGTATGTATATATAAGAAAACGGATAGCATAAACAAGTACAAATATTATTGTATTTTTAAATTGTTTTTTTTGTTGTTGTTTCTTTTTGTGTGTTTAATTTGCAGTTATAGCGTTAATTAATATGTATGTATGTGTGTGTGTGTGTGTGTGTGTATGTGGACAGCAACATTTTAAAATACACCATTTAGTAAAGGTATGTTTGTTTTGTATGTATTTATAGTAATGCACTCATTTTCTATGGAGCTGTTACATCTAATGCAAGGAAATTATAAGCACAGGCGGCAGTTGAGCTCCAAAACGTTAACCGAATAACTTTATTGACCCATTATTATTTTGTGTAGGTTTTTGTTTGTTTTTTTTTCTTTCTTTTTTTTCTGCACTATACTCACTGCCTGCAGAACAGTAGTAAATGATTTTGAGTTCACATTTCTAACACATTTAGCAAAACTATCGATGATCGATATCGATAATTATGCCCATTATATATATAGATATATATATATATATTTATATATAGTACTTATGTATGTATGAAATCTTGGTGGTATGATTATTTGATTATAATTACATTGTTAGAATTTACTGTGTTAACCATTACCATTACTTACATACAACTACCGCCTAATTTAGTACTACGACAAGCTATTGAAGTGACCTGGCTTAAAGGGAAGCGATTTGGCAGTTGGATTCGTTGCGCGTTAATTCAATTATTCATTATAGGCTAACTGTGAGTGTGTGTGTGTTTTTTTGTTGTTGTTTTCTTTTCCTTAGTTGTGTGTGCTCCATTGTTTGCTGCACCTGGACGACGTGGCGAAAGCGTTTGGTTATTGGTGTTGATTTTGCTGTTGTATTTGTTGCTAGGTTTGCCCTAAGCAGCCTGACTCTGCTGCGAACTAGCGCCGGTTGCTGCAACTGCCACTGTTGGATTATTGCTGACTGCCGCAGCAGTGTTGCCAGCACTGCTCGACGCCGCAACAGCGCCAGTTGCCTGCGCCTGCGGCTGTTGATGATCGGCACTGTCAAAATAGTCCGAGGCATTGCCACGACAAATGGGGCAAGTGCGATTCGACTGCAAAATAGAGAACAAAAACAAATAATTATTATTAATCAATTAAATCAACAATTAATATTTAAAAAGAAAAATACAAATTATAGTTCCCGTAAATGCCACTGTCAATTCTTCGGTTAACCGAGTGGTTAACGGGGCAAGAATACAATCACAGTGAATTCCTGCTTGTCTAATGGGAGAAGGGTCACTAAATACAGCAATACCGAGGTGCGAGGCCTAAACCAAATTGACACCCAAATGCGGGAAGAGTTTTTCAACTTGGCATGTAGTTGCGTTATACAACGAGGTCACCGTGACCCACAGATTGGAAGTCGTTTAGGTAGACGGGACTACAAAGCAAGGAGGAAGTTCACTACCAAACAGTATCTTCAAATTGGTATCTGCGGAATTCGTGTTCCAAGGGGACACATATTGACGCTAAAATGAATTCCTGGGCTGGCACCCTGAGATTAAGCCAATGGCTTACGTTAGACACATTTACTTATGTCCATTGTTCCGCTTTGGCAACACCTCAAGTAAGGCAGGACAAATCGATCAATTTAATAAACGGTGCCAACTGGCTTTGGAAATTCTTCAAATTACAGAGTGTCAACAATTTACAATTGCAATGATTGAATTTAAAAATATGAATTGTTTAATACTTACGCGCAGCCATTTGTCCACACACTTGGCATGGAATTCATGGGAGCAGGGCAAGACGCGCAGCATCTGCCGGAGCTCAAAGTCACACATGCAGACCACACAGGAGGATTGATCGCCTGTTGGGGAGCAGAGATGAAAAGCAATCAGAATACACAGTTTATATGCATATTATTTGAGATGTTATTGTAATTTCAAAAAATCATAGATTGGAGTAAAAATAGATTGAAGAGTTACATCTTTAAATTAATTAATAAAACATTACATTAACAACTTAAAAAATATTTTAATTATAACCATTTGCATTGCCAAATTTTCTAAGAATTGTGAAAAATTGGTTCCCAAAAATACAAATTTCAATCTCATTTGAAATGGACAATTAGATTTGGCTTTGACTTACCGTTATGCGCTTCCGGATTGTACTTGTAGCTGGGCAGCTGATCAATCTCGTTGCGTGTGAGACCGCGTGGCTTGGCCTCACCCAAACGCTCGGCCAGACTGAGCAGGGCTTCATAGTTCTCCGTCTCGTTGGTGTCCGCCGAGCTCAGATCGTGTTGGTTATAAGGTGAGAGCGGGAACATGGCGCTGCAAACAAGAGATTAGAGATTACCGCACACACTTGACAGAGCCGAGAGATTCACTTACAGGAAATTGAGCAAGAAGCCCGGATTGATAATGCCAGCGGTGGTTTGGATTTGCACAGGCGCCTGGTGGGCGGCCAGCGATTGCGGCGGCAGGACATGCCGATGAGGACCATGATTTGCCGGCCAGAAGCGCGGCAGGCGCCGATGTGGCGGGAATGTGCGTCGTTCCGACGATATTATTATCTGCTGCGGTGCCGCCGACATCTGGGTCACATGGGCAGCGGCTGCTGCTGCCGCAACGGCGGCATTGGAATGTAGCTGGGCGGCTGCTGCGGCGGCGGCCGCGCTCATCGAGGCGATATGGATGTGGCTCGCCGCCGGCAGCTGATGTGCATGCGGATGCGTATGCGGATGTGAATGCGGATGTGAGTGGGGATGCGGATGCGGCGCCTGTGCGCCAACGGGCACAGATGCGGCTGCAGCTGCTGCTGCTGCCGCCGCTGCTGCTGCGGCCGCCTGATGGCCATCCAAATGATGTGCACTGGGCGGCTCCAGTGTCAAATTGGCCACCGCTATGGCGGTGACGTCGCGCTGCTGCTGCTGTGCCGTAATCGTCGCCTGCTGAATCATGTGCTGAGCAGCGGCCGCAGCGGCCGCCACCTGTGTGGGCGTGGGCACCTGTGCCACCTGCAGTGGTGCGGCAGCCAGGCCGGCGGGTGCCGCGGAGAAGGGTTGCGTATAGATACCGTGCAGATGGCAGGGTGCGAGGCGGGCCTGCGCCGGCAGAGGATACGTGCAGAAGGAGGCCCAGATGGGCTCGTGACGCAGCGCCAGATTGAGGTCAACCATAAGCGAGGTGGGCGGTGGTGGCGGTGCTGATGCTGCTGCTGCAGCTGCGGCGGCGGCAGCTGCTGCTGCAACTACGGCCTGCTGATGTGAGGACGCTTGCTGCGGTGCCTGTTGCACCTGTTGCATCATGGCGCCCACCGTGCTGCTGCTTGACGGGCCGCCAGCATTACCCCCGCCCCCTCCGCCATTGCCCACACTTGGGCCATTGCCAGCCAGATCCCAGGGCGAGCGATGCGTATGCGGGTGCTGTGTGGGGTGGCCACCATGTGGATGGGGACCAACCTGCTGCTGCTGTTGTTGTTGCTGCTGCTGCTGCTGCTGCTGCTGCTGTTGTTGTTGCTGTTGTTGCTGCGACGCATAATGCGACGGCGGCTGATGATGATGCATCGGATGGTAGCCGGGCTGAGGCTGCTGCTGCTGCTGTGATGCATATTGCTGTGGATGCGGTGCCTGCTGCAGCTGCTGCTGAGTGGAAGTGGCCACATCGCGCAGTCTCGGTCGACGTAGCGGTGGACTGCCTTGTTGCATCTGCAACAGAGGTATACAAATAGTGCATTAAAATTAAAATAGATTTAAATATTTAAATAAAAATATTCTAGTTCTCGATCGGTTAGTCTTACGAAAGCTATATATATGTTATATCGGATTTTTACAAAATTGCTGCTTAACAATTATAATTTTTCAAGAAATTATTTTAAAGATTAGTTTTACATAAGTTTCTTCCAATTTTAACTATATAATATAGTTGCGTATAGTATTTGAACTAAAAATTGGCAAATATTTCTTGAAATATATAACAGATTTTTGCTTGAAAATAAGAACTAAAATCTAGCTGGTAATTGGTGAATTTGGATAAGATTTTTTAAAACAAACAAAACATTCGACAGATCATCCATCAAATCTACAAATCTGTACATGTAGAGTTGGCTCACAACTTTCCACAGCGATAACTTTTACAAAATTTAATCGATTTTCAAAAGCGATCCCTTCTTTTAAGCATAGTTTCAGATCTTCCCTAAAGATGAGTTCTACTTTGCCTACTCCGATGTGTCTCATATACGCTATAACAATACTATATACATATACAGTATATATTCATAGTAGCTCACCATGACGCGCGGTGAGCGGCGCAGTTCATAAATAGCTGGCGGCGATTGGCTGGGTCGTCCCGAGATGCGACGACGCTTCCGCGATGGACTATCGGAGTTGAGGCCATTGGGTCCGAGACCGTTGTTCAGCGAGAGCGTTGAGCCCGACAGGCCGGAGCCTGAGGGCGCATCTCCCATGAGACCAGGTCCAGCGGAGGATGTGGATGCACCATTGTTGTTGTTGTTGTTGTTATTGTTGCCATAACCATTGCCCATGTGCTGATAATGGGCACCATTACGTCCGTATCCGCCACCATTGCGTCCAAAACTATAGCCGCCATCGGATCTATTCTCCAGACCAGGATCCGAGTTGCTGGTTGCCAAAGTGCTGCAAGTTGTCGAAGGCATTAATAATTATAAGAGGAGTATTGGATATATATATATATATATATTTATTGCAGATTTTAATGAAGATGATGAACTGACTTGTTGCTAACTCACATTATTGTTCAGATTCCTATCGTAGCTGCCGTTATGGCGACGATTGTTGTTGTTGTGGCCATTGCCCGAATTATTATTGTTACCGTTGATGTTGTTGTTGTTATTGTTGTTGTTGCCGTTGTTGATGTGATGTTGCTGTTGATAAGCGGGACATGCGCGACGGTAATTCATATAATCGGGATTATTGCTGACATTGCTCAACCCATTTCCATTGGCAATGTTGTAGTTGCGATTGTTGTTGTTGTTATTATTGTTGTAATTGCGCTGGTTGTGGTGTCCCACCTGTGGTCCAGTGGGTCCTTGGCTGTGGCTATTGATGGGTGCATTATTGGATGCGTGGTTAATATGAGTATCAGTCAATTGGTTGAAATTTATCATAAGAAGCGACGGCGACAATTGTTGTTGTTGTAGTTGTTGGGTTTGAGATCGTCGATGTTGTTGTGGTTGTTGTCGTTGTGAACACATTTGTTGTGGTTGTTGTTGTGGCGCAGACGACCCATGAGGAATTATATCGGTACAAGAATTGACATTCACAACATCAGTAGAGTTACTATTTGTTGTTGTATTGTTGGTTGAAAGTTGTTGCGGTTGTTGAATTTGAATTCGTACGTGTTAGCGGGAGGGATTGGCGATTAGTCGGTTGTTGTTGTTGTTGTGATTGTGATTGTAATTGTTGTTGTGGGTGGTGGTGGTGTGAATGAAGACTGTGACTGTGACTGTGGTTGTTGCTGTTGTTGTTGTTGTTGTGATGATGGGTGCTGTGATATTGATGATTGTGATTTTGATTGAAATTATGCGATTGGTTATTGTTGTTACTGATGTTGATGAAATTCTGATTAGCTGGAAAGGAGAGCAGTAGGGGCGTGGGACGGCGCTGCTGATTATATGGCGGTGCTGGTGTGGTCGTGGTCGTGGTGGGTGTTGGTGTTGGTGGGGCGGCAACAGTTAAACATAAGCGTGCTGGATTCAGTCTGACAACGGACACGGACATTGAACCAAAAGCGTGCGGCGGCTGCACACTGTGGCACATCGTTGTATCATAGTAGCTGTGATAATAGCTGTGATTCACAATTGGACTCGGATTGGGATTATTATTGGGTGATGTCGGATTGGGATTGTGGTTTTCGTTGTTTATGGTACGAATACTACTACTCAGATTATTGCTAGTGTTAACAGTGCAATCGTTGTTGTTGTTGTGTGCAGTGTTGGTAATTGTATGATGATAGCTGTTATTGTTAACGTTACTGTTACTGATACTGTTATTGTTACTGTTATTACTGTTACTGTTATACTGTGTGTGGTGGTTATGGGCTTGTGACTGATGACTGAGTGAATTTGTATTGTGATTGAGGTTAAGGCTGTTGTTGTGATGATGCGTTTTGCTATTGTTATAAATACAAGTTCCGCTAGAATTACTTGTTTGTACATCGCTGGATTTTCGATTTAGGTTTGCATTTGCGTTTTTTTTTTTTTGGTTTTTTTTTTCAGATAATATGTAATACATATAATAAGATAATGTATAATATATATATTCGGTTTTACGAGATACATTTGAAAATTGTTCAATCAAATCAATGCAGTAGCAGTGTGGTGGTAGTATAAACACAACCCATATATAGTTATTTTTGTATGCATATACATGTACAGGTAGTAGGTAGTAGTAGTAGTGTATATATGCAGTAGTGGTAGCCACACATATACGTTATTTATATAGTTTTTTTTTTTTATTATTATTTTGCAGTTTTTTCGGTTTTTTTTTTATGAAGAAGAAAGAAAAACGAAAAAGATAAAAATAATATATATGTAAATGGCAAAATGCAATAATTAGATTATTAGTTTAATATAGATATATATAATATATATATATATGTAATTATATAATATCAATATATACACACACATATAGTTTATAATAATATAATGGCAATGCGTGTATATGTAGCGAGAATTGTTGCTGTTAATATTATTTACTAATTAACTACATATACACACATATACAATATGCATTTAGTAGAAACAAATACGTACTAATTTTGCACATCATGTATTTTTTCAGCTTTATTTTTTTTTGCTTTGTTTTTTCTCATTGTCTTTGTTGTACTTATGCATTTTAAATATAAATTTTTGTTAGTTTGCTATTTTAATTATTTATTTGTTTGGCTTTCGCTTTAATGCACACTACGCTTACAAAAAAAATAACGTAAAAAAAAATTCAAAAATTAAACAACAAATGCGAGTATCACAGTTTTTAGGACACTTTTCAACGCAACGCTTTCACTAGCTAAACATGAGAGATAGATAGAGAGAGAGTTATATGTACTTATAAGAAAGAGAGAGAGAGAGTGCTGTACATGCTCAAAAATATATAAAAGATAACGTAAAAACGTAAACCGTTATTTCAAGTACGAATACTCGTTTTCAAAAGCTTGAGAGAGCATGTGAGTGCGGCGCTCTGAAGAATCAGCTTTTGGCACGCAACGCACAACGTAGTCGTCAACGTAAACGTAAACGTAAGCACAACAGCATGCGTATGCAAAGCTTAAGAGAATATTTGTTTGTTTGGGGTGACACACAGATCGAGTGATCGAGATTATACTATATTGTACATACACACACACACGCACACATACGCACGCACACACGCACACAGCAGCATTTTGAGTGGGCGTGGGGGCCAAAAGCACCATACAAAAAATACGTTAACGTTTAACACTTACGCACTAATTGCAAAAGCTGCGACTGCAACTCAATTCGGTTGTGTCCAAAACTTAAGAGGAGAAATTATATAGAGTATATGCTAAATACTTAACTATTTTAACAGAGTGTGGCAAAGTTCAAAAATATTTTATAATTGATTTTGCTTTGATTTGTTTTTGTTGCGCTCACACACACACACACACAATGACATATTGAATAAAGTAGTATTAATAAGAGAAAACAATAATGAAATATACGGAAAAATAATAGTAACGCATTTACTATATATGTAGAGAGTTGATTTTTATAACAAGTAGCATTGGTTTTTGATTTTTTGTTTGGATTTTTCTAGTTAGGTACATTTAAACTGTTCATTAAACATTCTAAGCCGCAGTGTGCATAATGCAAATAAATAAGTAAAACATTAAGCTGAGTTTCTTGATCATTAACTATGGTTTTTGTCAACGTTTTCATATATATTTATATATATATATGTATTAAAAATTTTGTTCCGGCACCACAAAATGCAGTTAAGCGATAATACAATGTACACCAATCTAGAATGTATATCAATAACAATCAACAAACTCAACTAAAATGCATTATCATTCATAAAATGTTGAATCGAAAGAAATATTACAACTAAGTATTTACTGTACGGTTTGGATAAAGAGGAAATTTTGTAACTAAATTTATATACTTGGCTTGCACTTTGACGGTTGCATTTTAATATAATCACACGGTTTTAAACATCACAATATTTGTTGTTAAAGTTTTAAATTGGTTTTTTTTTTTTTTTTTTTTTTTGTAAAGTTTATTTAGCACAAACGTGAAGCAAAACTATGCGCAAAACAAAAAATAATTTAACGGGTAGGTCAAAGTATAAGAATAAATATTAAATAAAAAAAAATTGTGAGAAACAAACGGAAGCTCAAAATGAGCTTTTCTACGTTTTTTTTTATTTAGTGGTAGTTCCTCTTTAACTAGTTCGCGTATTTTGTTGTTGTTGTTGTATTATGAATATGCATGAAAAGCACCTGTAATCAGGAAACACGCAATCCTTTTTCCTATCAGAATACATTTCTTGTATTTCCAAAATGTTTTCGTCACACTGTGACTCATATATTGATTCATCAGAAATTCCTGATTCTAGAGTCATTTTGACTGAACTTGTTCTACGTCTCACGAATTTTACATTTTTTAATACCAATATATATGGTACAAAAATCTTCAAGCAAACAGTGTATTATGCATTATTTAAATTTTTTGAAAACTTATTAACGAAACTCCCTTTATGGCTCTATACTAAATATCCATAACCAAAACCGTTTTAAGTACACAAAAGAATTACATACACACGTAGCATTAAACTAGTTTTGTAAATAAAGCAAAAATAATGTAAATGCAAAATTGCAATTGTAAAAAGTATGTTTTTTTTTTTATCAACTACGAGTACGAGTACAAGATTACACAATTTTGAATTGAATATTTGGCGAGTAGTAGCACTCGGGGGCCAAGAAAATCGCTGGTCCAGAGTTAGCAAAATATATATTGTTATAGTTTTGTTGTTGTTGTTTGTTGATGATGTTGGCATGCTTGGTAATTCCATTAAGCGCGCTTTACATATGTACGAGAGTATGTAAAAGTATTTAGTAAGTACGTAAATTAAGAAGCTTTTTGGTTTTTGGACAAAGAAACAACTACTAAAAACTTAGGACATTTGCTACGTATAAAGTTTTTGTTTGCCATTTTCAAGTGCTCTTCATGCATTTTCATTGGTTTTATTTTTCAGAATGTTTTTTTTTTTTTTTTTTGGTTTTTTGGAACTTTTTAATGTTAGAGTATGGTTGATAAAAATTAACGAGTTTCTGATATGTTGTTTTCAGTTAGATGTAAATATATATGTATCTACTATGGAATTTTGCCTGGTAAGTATACATACATATTTGTAATTGAAGCGGTTAGAAAAATGTACATACGATATACATTAAGGAATGTATTTTATATTATTATTATTAATAATATTTTTGGAGCAAAACGAAAGTTGTGTGTAATTTGGGTTTTTGTATGTAAATGCAGAGATAATAGATACAACGATAATTAGTAGGTAGAGGTAATACATATGTGCCAATTGACGAAAACAAAACATAAAAAATGTACAGTACGGAAAGAGAACGAAAATTACAAATGAACACGAATATAAAAGTAGTAGTAGTAAACATCAAAACAGATGCAGGCAGGCAACTAACACTGTGCAACACTGTTGGCACTGTTTTGCATAAAGAGAGTTTAAGAGAGTGTGGGTGTGATGTGTGAGCTTTATGCATAAGCTCGCTCTCTTTATGCTTGTTTGTTGTTGTTAGTGCAGCCTGCATCTGCTTTGTTGCCGATGCAAGTTTCTGTTTTTTTAGTGCTTCGAAAATTCAACGGTTAAGGGGCCAAACAATAGTTTTGGCTGCGTTTTGCTTTTTCTGTTATGATTATTCAATTTTCTTTTGGACAAAACACGCGATTAATTACAAAATTCTCCCTTTAGCCTAAAAGCGATTTTCATTCTTATTTGAGGTGTAGTTACGTAGAAGTAGTTAGATATATATAGATAGAGAGACAGAGAGAGATAGATAGATAGAAGAGTAGAGCAAACTGTTCTATAGTTGTCGTGGGGAGCGTGGGAACGAGTTACAAGGATGTTGTTGTTATTATTATGGCAGATCGTTGGCAAAGTTCGGTGTGGGATAAACGGCGGGATAAAGGGCTTCTGGGTTGGGGGGGTACTTCAAATTCGCTTTTATGTCACTTAAAGCTAACGTAATTTCTTTTCTTTTTTTTTTTTGTCTTTTTTCTTTTATTTTTAAATACCATAAGCTGCACGGCTCTTACCAATTTGAGTTTCTGCCATCGATTGCATCTTTATTGGCATTGTTGTTGTTGTTTCCGCTGTTGTTGCTGCCACCGTTGTTGATGCTGTTGTCATTATTGTGGCGATTCAGATTGACATTGCACCAGGGACTATGACCCGGCACAAGGCCATTGTTGTTATTATTCCTTTGCTGCTGCTGTTGTTGCTGCTGCTGCTGTTGTTGCTGCTGCTGTTGTTGCTGCTGTCCGTGGAGATGCGGCGAGAAGAGAATGCGTCCGCGATGCGAACGAGCCGAGGAGGAATTACGCGAAAATGGCCGACGGCTGTTGCCCGAATGATTCGCATTGGAGTTCAGCATTGTTGTTGCTGCTGCCTGCTGATGCTGCTGCTTGAGACTTACTTGTTGTTGTTGTTGTGTTTTTGACAGTTTATTCGGGGGTTATTGCAACTTTTTTGCTTTGTTCATTTAGCTGCAAGTTGTACAAGAGGAAAAACGGTAACGTTTGCGTATTTAAAAAATTAGCAACTTGAACTATGTTAAAGTTACGCGTGTTTTTTAAAGCCGCGCCCGCGTTCCAGCAGTACAAGAAAGCAAAATAGAATATATAAAAAAAACAACCAACAGCCAACATGCTCAAACTTAAGTAAATATCCAAAAATAAACAAAAAGGAAAAAACCAAACGCAAAACAAATACAAAACATTTATGCGGATAGGGGAATATACACTAGTACTTACTTAGGAAAGAGTGTTTATGTGTATGTGTGTGTAGTGGTAATTATGTAAAGGAGTAAAAGAGTATATATATAAATATGTATATATTTTATTTTTTCGTAAATAAAACAGCAACAATTTGAGTTTTGTTTTTAACAGTGTAGCTTTAATAGATTTGTCAATAATAAAAATGGAACTGATCGATCGAGAGAGATACGTGCGTGGTTAGGTTAGTCTCTGAGAACTAAATAGAGTACACAATATGCCCGATTTGTGGGGTGGAAAGAAGTTCTTTTCATACATAGCTAGGTGTTATATATTTAAAATGCATGTGTATGTGTGTTGTTGTTGTGTGTATGTAAACATGATAATAATAATAAACAAAACACATTATTAGTAAATGTTCTCATTTTTTTTTTGTCTGAGTGGTGGGAGTTTGATTACAAAATGTTCTTATCAGCTTTGTTTGAAATCGTTAGTACTATTGAGAGCTTCAAAGCTTAAGAGAGAGAGAATAACACTTATCTTACATGTGTAGATATGTATAGTATTTATATATTTTTGTATGTGCATCTAAAAGCGACAGTCCAACTTTGATAATATACATATAAAGCTATTACAATGGCTTTTCAGCTATCACAGCACATTACAGTGGTTATAAAACTATTCAGTCTTTATGTTAACAATGATTTCTAGTTTAGTACAAACATCCAAATAATTGAATAAACTTAATTTAACAACAAAGATATAAATATTTCCAATTCACGATTGCATGATAATAAATGATTAAAAATGTATATGATTTTGTATAAATTTTAAAATGTAAATTATAAATACATTCATCATTCAAACACATCTGCATTTGAGTAGTTCTAATTTCCAAGCGACCACCACTGCATCTATATCATTTTTTACCCATACATTGATCAATGTTAAATCTCGACTCTATCGTTTTTGGACATTATGAGCAGTTTATGTTTGATTAATGCATATAAATATTGTTGCATGTTGTTCATTATAAGGTAGGTTTAGTTTACAATATATCAAAGTTGTTCTGTATTCCGTATATACATGTATGTGAATATGTGCAAAAACAAACAGTGTGTGTGTTGTGTTGTTGTTGTTGTCGAATGATATATGTATGGGGTTAGAGCAGTATTGGAACCAAAGAACGTAGGACAAATACAATAAAAATATTACAAGTGAGCTTAATAGGACGTGCGAAATGAAAGGTAAACAGTTGTGCTTTAACACAGTTTAGTTTGTCTAAGATAAATCTTAATTTAATATTTGTTCAATTTTTCATTTCGCATAGCCTACAATGTATATCAAATAGTACATATTTCAAATAGTAAATAACATGTTTATAAAATTTACAAAAACAAAGCTTACAAACTAAAGCCGAGAACTGTTGCCAAGTTGCAGTTGAATGTTGTTGATGGTTGTTGGAGTTGTAGTAGTAGTTTTTGTTGTTGTTGTGGTTGTTGTTGGTAAGATTATTTTTGGATGGCAGTACGAGGAATAACACTTCATATATGTATAGATATATAAGTTGGCATATGGAGGCGAGCGAGCGATAGCTCTCTTTATATATAGTTTGTTTTTTTGGTTTTAACATGAGCTTGAGGTTGAGGTGTGTGCAGATTGCGCTTGCAGTTGTTGCAGTTACAGTTGGTCAGTGAGATACAGATACAGATACAAATACACGCGCGGCAATTATGGCAGTCTTATGTGATAAAGTATATATCGTACTTAGTATACATTTCGGTTTAGTTTCAATTTATATATATATATAAATATTTTTTTTTGTTTTTACATGTGGGATAGAGTCAATAGAAAAACACTTGATGATCGCTTTTCATTGAGAGAGACGTGTATATTTTGTGTGTTAAGAAGCGGGCACGTCTGGCCGCGGCCATTAACAAATGCAAATTTACCACCAAAACCAGCAATAAAATATTTGTATGTATGCTAAAAACAAAGAAAATAAAAGTAAAAGAAACATTTGCAATTACATTCAATTTTTTTTTTTTTTGAGACTAATTTACTTTTTTGTTTGGGTTTTTTTTTAGTTAGGTTAGTAAATACAAGAGACATACTACAGTGATCGCTCGCAAATGAAAACATTTAGAAATAATAATTATTATAACACATATCTCATATTAAAAGCAATATTTTAGAGCTTAGATAAATAAATTGTTTGCATATTAGAAACAAATTTGATACATAAGCGTTACAATTTGCGAGTGATCACTGTGAATATGTAATATGTGTTGTGTTGTTGAACGCATGTAGGAATGAATATATAGATATGTATATAAAGCGTGGTTTTAATTGCCAAATATTAAAATGCACATGGTTATGTAAAACTATTAAACAACTATTTAAGATAAGCAAGCAGTTAAAATTTTATAATCATGTACGTATATATGTACGTATGCTTGTTTGTTTGTATGTACACACTACAGCAGTCATCCAACAAATTGAACTTTAGCTCTTGCATACATATGTATATTTTATTTTCTCCTATTTAATGTATGTTTATATTCATGGATAGCATTTATGTAAAAAGGCATTTCTAATGTGGCATGTAAGTGTGGGTGTTTTCGTGTTTGTGGCCGAGGGTCACATAAAGTTGAACACACTTTGCCACCCTCTCGAAATTAAAAACAATAAATTATCAAAAAGGAAAATATGTATATTTCTATAAAAATGTACATATGTATGCATATACATCACATTTGCTTTATACTCTCGCCAGTTCAAAGCCACATTATAATGGGAGAGGAGAGTGAGAAGAGATAAGTAAAGCAAACTAAACAGACGGACAAACACACAACACACACACACGACGTCAATGAGCAATGAGCAAGAAAAGAGAAAAGCAAAAACCCACCTAACAAAGTCTCGCGTCTCGCTGTCTCTTGTTGTTGCTATTGCGTAGTCATGGTAGTCCAACTTCAACGGCGATTGCTCTTTTTTGACACACACACAATTTATATACAAACACATATATACATCGATTATATGAATATGTGAATATGTATACTATAAAAATGTTTGCTGCTGTCTTTTGTTAATTCTGCATTTACAGAATTATTATGATCGTTCCACAATATTGCTGATGATATTTGTACATTATAGACACTGACGCGCACACACACACCAGTAGCACAACGAGATTGCAAAATAAGACGGGGGAAAAAATAAATAATTTTACACATGAACGCGAGCGAGAAAAATACCAGCACGAGAGCTCGCTTGAACAGACAAAGAGGTAGTGTGGTAAAATGCTCAGAGACTCAGACAGACCATTTATTTGCTCCCCCGTTTGCTTGAACTCTTACTCTCTTGTGTGTGTGTGTCATTCTCTCTCTCTATTTTTCTTTCATTGTGTGTTTGTGTGTGGAGGGGAGCCAAAGCGTATCAATTGTAAATGCGTTGCGAGTATACATAGATATGGGTAAAAAAGAAAAAAAAATCGAAACTCTGTGGCCCACAGAGGCTTTGAACCGCTCCCCTATGGTCATAGCTCACTTAAATCAACACAAGTTCACATATGTATAAGTGCGTGTGTGTGTGTACACATGCATTCAGGCACACATACATACATACATACGTACGTATGTATTTGAATTCACAATGACAACCACTTCGTCACCATTCAGATAAAAACTGGCATTAAACAATTGCGTTTTATATAATATCACTACGTAAATGCGTATACATTGACGAGCACAATTTGCATTACACAAAAGCTCAAGTAAAATTCTACTTTAAAAAACAATTTACACTTGGTTTAAAATGTATCTTGAATTTTTTTTATGGGAGTTTACCTCTGTGATTCTCGACCAGACAAAGCGCTGTATATGTATGCATGAATGTATCTTTTACTGTATTAACGCGGTCACACTGTCAGTGCCTTCGATATTTCATGAGCATAGTTGCATGCAGACATATCGAATGGCTTAATGCAATTAATCAACCCTGCTATGCAACTCATCGTATGCTCATTGCTGACATCGATACATTTTCGTCAATAAAAAAATTAATCGATGCAAGAACGCCATTGAAAATACACCTAAGTAACTTGTGAATTCATACGTTTGCTTTTGCAACAAATTCACTAAACAATTTGACAACTTATCACTGAACATCGCATCAAGTTAAAGCGGAACTGCAAAATGTAAGTACAACGAACATTTTCACGGCGCCATTCAATGATAAAGTGCTTTTTTATTTGGTTCTTTAGGGCGCGTGCCCGGTCTCCCACCGCCGAGGGCGAAAAGGAAAATAAAGAGAAGGATATTAAAGAGAAGGATGCTAAAGCCGCAGCTACATCGAACTCGTCGCGCAGAGAGAGGGAACGCAAGCGACGTGGCTCCGCCTCCTCAAGCAGCGACTCCAGCAGAAGGTACAATTAATTCCCATACAACCGGCACACCTAAAAAGAAAAAATATGAACAAAATCTTGTCAAAATGTGTAAAATCGGCAAAAGAATGCGACTACAAGCTCATTTAGTAGAAATTAAATTAACAAATCCACTATACTTGGATGACTTGACTTTTTTAACATGCCCTTATAAGGATCGAACGATAAGTTATTTAAGCATCTAATTTACCATATATGTTTATATTTAAATTAAATGTTTTTCCATTTCATTCTCATTCTCTACTCAGCTCATCGGGCAGCACCTCGTCGCGGAGTAGCTCTGGGTCAGATTCACGCTCAAGCTCGAGCAGCTCCAGCGACTCATCCAGCTCGTCGAGCTCATCGACCAGCGATTCCGATCGCAGCGGGAAGAATCGTCGTCGTGCCGCGATCGCCGCCAGCAAGGATGCATCCCGTTCGCCAAGACGTACCACCAAATCCCCGAGGGCCAATAGCAAGGTGCGCAAGGAAACGGAACGCGAGCGCACGGATCGTGATCGGGATCGGGATCGTGTGCAGCGCAGTCGCAGCCGTTCCCGGGATCGTGCACGTCGCAGTTCCAATGATCGTGGAGGCGTCGCCAGTGGCGCAACTGCTGCTGGTGCTGGTGGCGAGGCGAATAACGTAAATAAACGTGAACGTTCCCGTTCCGGCAGTCGCTCGCGTTCACCACGTCGTCGTGGTGGTGGCGGTGCTGGGCGCGGCACTATCGAACGCACTCCGCCCCCCAAGCGTAGGGAGCGCTCGCGCACCCGCAGTCGAAGCCGTTCGCGCTCACCCACCCCAAAGCCGGTGCGCATCCATGTGGGTCGTCTCACACGCAACGTGACCAAGGATCATGTCCTGGAGATCTTCAGCAGCTTTGGCACCGTCAAGAATGTGGAATTTCCCACAGATCGTTATCATCCGAATTTTGGACGCGGCATGGCCTATGTAGAGTACGCCACCGCCGAGGATTGTGAGTCCGCCATGAAGCACATGGATGGCGGGCAGATCGATGGTCAGGAGATCACAGTATCGCCCGTCATTGTGCCAAAGCAGCGACCGCCAATACGTCGACCATCGCCCCAGATGCGCCGTCCCCAAGGCAACCGATGGCGTTCCCCGCCCCAATTCAATCGATTCAATAATCGAGGCGGCGGCGGTCGACGCAGTTCACCAATGCGTGGTCGACGCAACTCTCCCCGGCGTCGCTCACGTTCCCCGATTCGTCGCCGTCGTCGCAGCAATAGCTCGGATAGCTCCCGTTGATGAAGTTCATATTTATATATATAGTAAACAACTACTCCTATTGGTAAATGACATCAGCGAGAAACCACAACTAATAATGCACTTCATTTCAAACTTATGTAAAATCGGAAAAAACAAAAATATTTTAAAATTAGACACGAAATATATTAAAATACAAACACAAAACCTTTGAGAAATTTTGAAACAGGAAGGTAAAATTGTACTTAACATAAAAGGGAAATTTTACTCAAGATGTCTGTGTAGCAAACAATATAAGGCATTTGGTAAAATACTTATTTTTCTCATAGTAATAAGTGAGCTTAAAAGGTCTTCATAATCCAACAATAATATATATATTTTCTTCTAACTATAAAGTTTTTGTTCTACATAAAATGCAATTAAGTCCTTTATATAGATAAAGATTTTTATACAGAAAGGGTAATTATTCCTAACATAAAGGGAAAATTTTACTGAATATGATATGTTAAGCAACAAATAGAAAAAAAAAACAACAGAGGATTTTATAAACGACGTATTTTTTTCATATTAATTAGTGTGCTTAAAAGGTTCTTACAACATATATATTTCCTTTTAATTGTAGACAGTTTTTACTATAGATAAAATGCACATGAGTCCCTTATTACTAGTGTATAAAAGAACATTCATTGTCCTTCAGCGGACAGCCCTGTGGATGGTGTAGTTTGAAGAAACAGGGTCGTTTCTTAACCGTCACCAATTTGCCGGCGACTTGAGTCGCAGTTGCAGCCCTGGGCTTGCGTATGCCAATTTGATCAGTGCCACAAAACTCAAATACTTCATGCTTGTTTCTCAGCAGCGTTTTTATGCCACCACACTCGGATTTGATGCCGCTGAGCTCCTCTTTGCTGAGACCCTGTGCAATGTCCCGCATTGACAACTGTTTCCCCGGTAGCCAGCAGTTATCACTTGTTCTGCTTTCATTACCCAGTAGCTGGCGAAAGATTTTCAATACGAGTGCATCTAAAATGCTCTTCTCGACTTGTGTGCAGTTTCTCACGCTCTCCATTTTCTCACGTAGCTTCACCGAATCCGCCCCATTTTCTAGGCCCGTTTTGTGCTTTTGCAGTTCTTGCTGTACAAAGTATTCCAGATTTTGGAAGGATTTTGCTGTTTGTTTTAGACCAATCAGCGCCAAGCGCTTGGTGCTGGGTATTTTAAGGCGATCCTGCAGCGTTTCAAAGCCACATTCATCGGAAATTTGACGAGCGTAGAGTACAAAATCCTGATAGGCGCTGATGCCAGTGTTGCGGCGCTGAAATTTTCGACCGGAAAGCTCAAACGGACAGCAGGGCAGCAGAAAAAAGCTTGTCTTCAGACGCGCTGCGAGCACTGGCAACCACGGCGAAAGCTCATCGGAATGATTGCCAATTAGCCAATCGATGCCCGGGAAGTCCAAGCGAAAGCTCTTTGGTTCCACTGTTTGCTCTAGGAGGCAAGCAGCGGTTTCCGCCGGATAAAGCGACCACAGCTTACGTCTGCGCACATCGTAACCGTATCCCTTGTAGCCCTCCGCATTGAGCACGTGCACTAGAAGTCCATTACCACAGCCCAGATCGGCAAATGCCTGTGGCTCCGATTGTGTGCAGCTCCACAATGTGATTAGATAGGCGGCAATCGCCAGGTCCTCGTAGATGAACTTTAACGGATCTGTGGACTCATTGGCTGTTTGCCAATATTGCAGTAAGCGTTGCGCGTGTTTTTGCTTCAGGGATTTGTACAGATCATTATACTTTTCCATGTCCAGCAGACGCAACGATTTCTGTGCGCCTTCCGCACGTTTGCTTTGTGACCAGCTGCAGAGCTTTGGCTTAAGCACAAACTCTGCCCAGCCCCGAGGGCTTTGCTTCGATTCTTCTTCCGATTCCAGTCGCTGCTTTAATATGACAACTTCCAGCTGGCCGCCAATTAAATGCACGGCGAAATCATCAAAGGCTTCCGCGTCTACAAAATGGCATTCATAGCTTTGCTTGGCAAAATCTATAAGAATTTATTTTAAATTATGTTCCATTAGTTGTGAAACATTTCTCACCCACAATTCCAGTGGCCAGAATATTTGTGGCCATCTTTTTGGTCAGCATTTTGTAGCTGATATTGAAGCCCTCACATGTTCTCGCTTTGGGAGCTGTGTGTAGCTGCTGTTGCAGTTCATCCTCGGTGGATTCGCATAGATTGCCCTGCTTGTGCTTTTGTACTTGTGTTATGAGCACCTCAAATATCTTTTTATTCAAGGCATGATAGTTTTTTATTAATATTGCAATGGACTGCCAGAATTGCGCCTCGTCGATCTGCTCAGCTGCCATTTTGCAATATTTACCAACACTTTGAGGCTAGTATGTTATTCGCCAAAAGCACGAGCAAAGCAAAATATTTCAATTGACATAAATGTAGATAAATCGCAAGTAGAGAGTTATTTTATACTTTAGTTGCCCATACACATAGTAAATAAGCCAATTAAACGCAATTTCACTGATATCATACTTAATCATTTTTTACACAATAAACAATTTATTTTTGCTCGTGATTTTTTGCGTGCACAGGTTATGTGCTGCATACCCCGCCTAACCACATACCTGTTGCGTAACGCAGCTGATTGGAGTAGAAGGCAACAGAGGAACACGCAGCAGTAACATAATTATCAATTATTTTCCTTGTGTTTCCTATTCCTGTTGCAAATACCCTTTCCGTTGATCATTCGTAAACATGTCTTTCCTGCGCAAATCTGTTAAACTGTTAAATGCCGCCAGCGCGGCAAGACAAAATGTCAAAATGGTGTGTATTCTAATTGGAAAACACAAGTCAGATCACAAGTTAATTGTTGCTATTATTTTCCTGCTTTTAGCTGTGTGCAGGAAGCGCACAATGCAATTACAGTTCCAGTGGACAGGCAGCGGAGATTTCTCCATTTCCCGGCGCTCGCGATGCCCCCTTCATAAACAATTTGAAGCTGATGATGCCCGAGGACTATGCCCCAATACCGATTTATCGGGTATTGGATCGTGATGGTTATCTGCTCAGTGAGCAGGAGGATCCACAGCTCAGCCAGGAGGTGGTCGAGAAAATGTTCCGCGACATGGTGCAGCTCGCTACAATGGACAAGATTCTGTACGAGTCGCAGCGGCAGGGACGAATCTCCTTCTACATGACCAACTCGGGCGAGGAGGCGTCACACATTGGCAGCGCAGCTGCCCTGGAAATGCGCGACCTCATCTATGGCCAATATCGAGAGGCGGGTGTGCTGGTCTGGCGCGGCTTTCGTATCGATCAGTTTGTCGATCAGTGCTATGGCAACGATGACGATATGGGACGCGGCAAACAAATGCCTGTGCATTACGGCTCCAAGGAGCTGAACTTTGTAACCATCTCCAGTCCGCTGTGTGAGTGGCTAATTTTAGATTTATTATTTTCCATTTAATACTCACAATTGGTCGATTTCCTCTGGTTAGCAACCCAAATACCTCAGGCTGTGGGCGCTGCCTACGCCTTGAAAATGAAGCCCAACAACGATGCCTGCGTCGTTTGCTATTTTGGAGAGGGCGCCGCTTCCGAGGGAGATGCACATGCTGCCTTTAATTTTGCAGCCACACTTGAATGTCCCGTCATTCTCTTCTGGTGAGTCTAGCTTGATTCGCTTTATTCTTTTCACATATGACTGTCAATTTTATGTTCCATTAGCCGCAACAATGGCTTTGCCATATCGACGCCGTCGAATGAGCAATACAGAGGCGATGGCATCGCTGGTCGTGGTCCGATGGGTTATGGCATTGCCACGATACGCGTTGATGGCACCGACGTATTTGCCGTGTACAATGCAATAAAGAAAGCACGGGAATATGTGCTGCGCGAGAATAAACCGATTGTGTTCGAGACGATGGCCTATCGTGTGGGCCATCATTCCACGTCGGATGACAGCACCGCTTATCGTTCAGCGGAGGAGATCGAGGTGTGGAACACAGTGGAGCATCCCATCTCGAAGCTGAAGAGCTATATGGTGCACAAGGGCTGGTTCAATGAGCAGCAGGAAAAGGAGTTCGTGAGCGGAGTGCGCAAGCAGGTCCTCAAGCAAATCTCCATCTCGGAGAAGAAACTTAAGCCCAATTGGCGTGAGATGTTCGAGGGTGTCTACGATCAAATGCCCGAGCATCTGCAGCAGCAGCAGCGCGAGCTGGAGCAGCACATCGAATCGCACAAGCAATTCTATCCGCTGAAGAGCTTTAAGCAGTAGCCAGCAACGGCAACCACCAAATATCAAAAAAAATATCCTACAAAAACTTAACCGGGGTGTCAATCGAAATGTGCATTTATTAAGTTTAAGCAAATATGTTATTCTGTTTTCCTTTATAATAAAAGAATTGTATAAGGTTTCAAACCAAATTTGTCATTGTTGCTAAATAGTTAGAGGAGACGCGTTAATGCTGGTTAAATATTTGATTTCTTTTATTGTGAGGCATGCCATGCAAAACCGTTGTAATTTACAAATGCAACATATATTTTCTCGAGCATTTAGCTTAGCTTTAATTACAAGTTGTATGCTTTGGAAAAGGTATTACAATTTATTAGTTTGGTTTACGTACAAAATACAAATACAATACACAGGAAAAAAAAACAATACCTTTTTTTATAATTAGGCGTATTCCTGCAAACGAGTAAAATGAATTGAATTCAAAACAAATTGAAAAATGAAGATTTTGTAAATTAGAAACTTCGAAATTAGCTGCCATTGTTATGTTTCTTTTGATTTTTGACTACACTAACAAATATTAAAATATTTTAAGTTGCTAGCTTTCAGCTTGCTTTTTTGTTTACAATCCGATTTAAGAAATATTTTCAATCTCATTCAGCTTGCATAAGTACGCTAAAGGCCGGCTAACACACTTTGTTATCTTCAAATTTAAACTTCATTAGTTTAACAGAATATTTAAAAATTTGGTATATTGGCTTAAAAACAATCAATAAATTTACTAAACAATTGCGCTTGCAGGAACACATTTGTAATATGTATGTTATATATATATATATTTACTTTCGACTTAACGCACATGTGAAGGTGAAGAAGCTATCTAACATAATCCTAACTCATATTAAACGCAACAAGAAGGATATTCGCTTAAGCTTGGCTGGAATGTGTGGGTGTGGATCAGGATCAGTTGGTGCGCAGCTGATAGTCACCGTTCTGTGTGATGTAGCGCACCCAGGGCAGCGCCTGGTAACCGCTCTTCTCAATGATTTTCAGATAGCGCACTTGGATGCCCGACGTGGTAAAGTAGGGTATCTCGAAGCGCACCTGTATCGGCGGCTTACCCTCGGTATTGTCCTCACTCTCGACGCTGGGCAGGCCAAAGTGGGCACGCATTAGGTACTCCTTGCCGCCGGGAAATGATTTCACCGTCCATATGATGGCATTCTGTTCGGGCGCATATTTGCAGCTGCCAATTGTTGTTTTGAATTTCGGTGAGTCCGCATCTGCCGGCACTGGTATAACAATTTCCACATTATTTGCCGTCGATCTGCGCTTAAATTGAGATTTTGCCTTAATCATGTACTCAACGCGCGAATGGGCATGTCGTTCAATCACCGATTCAATCCAGATCAGTGGCTTCACCTGCTCGAGAAGAAGAATGAAAGTTTTAACTTTTTGATTGTGGCAGATCCCAAATTCAATTTCTACTTACATGCGTGTTGAGGCGATAGGACATCAGCTCAAATTCTCCATCTGGTGGTATGAACGAGATTGTGCGATCGTTTTCGAAACGGGACAGACGCACACACTGATGGAACTTCACATCCTCCAGCTCGACGGACTTGGATTTGCCACGGCCGGTGCTCTCGAAGAGCACCTTATCGTTGAGGCCCAAACGCAGCTCTGGCATGCCCGAAAGATAGACACGCATTTTGATGGCGCCAACGATTTCGCTGCGCAGAACATTGCCATTGGCATTGGCCAGCAGATTGACCGACTCGATGACATCGAGGAATACCTCATTTTTGCGATATTTAATGCCCTCGGAACGCCAGGAGACGGCGTTCGTGACGGCGACGGGTATGCGCGGCTGCAGCTCAAGTTTGTGACATTCCTGTGTGATATATTCCTGCAGGATTTTCGAGTCCGTCGTCTGCGGATAGCCAAAGTCAATGAGCTCGTCGAGCAGCTCGTATATGATGACAAAATTATCCCGTATAGACTCCTCCTCCAGCTCCTTGAAGTATTCGACAAACACCTGTGCGATTTTGTGCAGAAATACAAAGACCAATGCAATATTCACATTCTTATTGCGCGGCGTCGTCGACACAATGTACAAGTTATTTGTCTTAATGTACGCAAATGTTGTTTCTGTCGTTTGCAGGATGGGCGTGACGAGACCCTCCTCTTCACGTTCCATGAGCAGCGGCATAAATTTATCGATCACCGCCATGTCAATGTTGTCGCCGCGATAATTGCGGGATATCAACACCTTGCCCTTCACGTCCAGCACAAATATGGCTGATGAAGACATTTTTCCTTGATTTTTTTTTGTTGTATTTTTGTGTGTTGGCCTAAAATCTTCCAGATGCCACTTGTTTTTGTTGGCCCAGAAAAATAAATATAAATGTAACACAGTTCGGGCTGTATTTGCGAGTCTGTGAAGTGGATGATTAAATTTAAAACACCTTGCAGCGACTCGTATGCACTTATATTGCATGCATTTCTATTGAAAATATTTGAATTTTGTCATTTAACCATACGAATGGAATTAAAGTTTAGTCACACGAAAATTACTTACGTCGTCGACTGGTGCTTCTTCTTTATACTCTATACGTTCACCTAGGGACTTTTGGTCATTTTACAGCACTAAAATTGGAGTAATGAGTACAAATTGACATAGATGATTGACTGCTCAAGATTACCTCTGAAATACTTGACCGCTTTTATTTGTTTTGCGCATCTACGTTTTTTAGTGTACATTAAAAGTCGAGAAACAGTGTTGCTCAAGGCAAATAACAATTTAAGTGGATACAACTTTGACGTCACAACTATTGGGCAATCGCAAAGAGACTATCGATAGTTACTCCCAGAGAAACCTTTTACGATGTAGTATTCTTCTAGGTATACACATCACTAAGTAAAAGTATCGAATAAGACGCTGCTCCTACAAATGTAAGAAAAATAAACAAAAGGGGCGAAAATACTTAAGAAATTTGGAGCATGCAAATGAATCCGAGTATTACAATCGAGAGAAAACGCGTTGATTGCAACGCATTACCCAAAGGCTGGCAGCGTGAGGAAGTACACAGAAAATCGAGCTGCAATTCGGGCGTTGATGTTTTCTACTACAGGTAACCAAGCAAGTAAATTACTCGGCTGATCATTAAGCAAGCGCAGGTACACACGGTGAAGGTGAAACCTGGCAAACTAACGTTAACTGTAATTTACACACAAACACACACACAGAAACACATCTGCGACTGCACGTGCGATAACGAATACGTTGTACTCACTCTCACTATTTTTTGTTTTATGACATTTACCACACACAAACACACACACCCACACATACGCACACGCACAAACACCCACCCCCACCAACCAAAAATCCAACAAAAAACTATCCCCCACCCAACCAATTTGGATGTGTACGCAGCCCGACAGGCAAAAGAATTGAAAGCAAACCGCAATTAGCACGCCAATTGAGCGCCGAGATGTTTGACATAAGTAACTTTGATTTTCAAACCGGCAAAATGCAGTTGCAACGGCAAATGCCCTCCCCGTCGATATCGCTGTATCGATGCAATGCAGCAGGCGCCATTATTAGCAATGCCAGCCTGGGTGGCAACGCAGCCAATGCACTCAAACGCAAATATAGTCGAGCTCAGGCTCAAGGCTCTAACATCAACATCAGCAACGTCAGCAGCAACAGCAGCAGCAACAACAACAACAATCACACCAGCAGCAACATCGGCATTGCAGCATCAATAACAGCAACAGGAATATCGCCATCAGCAGCAGCAGCAAATACAACGACAACAACAGCAGCGGCTGCAGCTAATCTGCGCCAGCAACAACAACACCAACAGCAACAGCAGCAACAACAACAATTTGAATTCAGGTAGAGCCAAGCTGAATGGTCCTTGGCTCCACGAGCTGCTGCATGCGTCTGATCTTTTTGCAATTTTTATATGCTAACACCACAAAATTTCAACAATCACAACAATTGGCCTTTTATTTTAATTTGTTACTGTCAATCATTTGTAATTCTGCATTTACTTTTATACTTCTCTCCTTCAATTTGTGCATGTTCTCTAAAATATCTCAATTGTTGCTTGCCTTTGTTATTTCTACTTAATGTGTTAAATAACAGACTGTTGGTAATTGCTTCTATTTTATATTAGAATTGATTTTCTTTCGTCTTTCACACCAAATGTACAACTATTTTGAACAACGATATAAATTTGCTTAGACATTGGAAACGCTTTGAAGTTCTGAAGTAAATTCTTCATGCTAGAAATTTCACAACTGTTTTGTGGTTCATTATGTGTGATTGTAATTTATTGTTGCCTTTACAGCCGCGCTCTGCGCACAGATGTCTCACTGGTGCCGCCCATACGACAGACAGCCTCCATCTTCAAGCAGCCGGTGACTGTGGTGCGCAATCACGAGCCCAGCAAGGTGAAGCACGATGCCAAGCACGGTGGCCAGGAGAAGCCCAAGCAGCTGTTCTGGGAGAAGCGATTGGAGCGCTTGCGTGCCTGCCATGACAACGGCGAGGAACTGGACGAGATATCACTGCCAAAGACCATACGCACCGTCGGTCCCAATGTCAACGAACAGACGGTTCTACAATCTGTGGCCACGGCCCTCCATATGCTCAATGCCGGTGTTCACGGCCAGAGTTCGACCAAGGCTGAGCTCACAAAGAATGCGATGGCATTTATGAATCCCGAACAGCCGCTGATGCATGCGGTTATCATCTCAGAGGACGACATACGCAAGCAGGAGGATCGCGTAGGCGTGGCACGCCGAAAACTACAGGATGCGCTCAAGACATGAGTGTCCGAGCGAAAGGAACATTCAGTCTTAGATATTCCAGTACGGCTAACATATATTGTATAACTATAATCACTTCCAATTTATAAGTTTAGTCCATTGCTTGATTTCCGTTTCCTCTTCAAATCAATGTGGAAAACATTTAATACTAAGATTAGATTTTTAATAAATACTATTTTAGTCAAGCAAAAAAACACACATATAAAAATGTTGAACATCTTTGAGATTAGCATATCCCATATATTTAGAAACACACAGTGGACGCTCGAGACTTGTTTTAATTTTGAATACAATTTGATTGGAGTTTGAAAATTGCTACGAATCTAATTGCAAGAGGACCACTATGCACCACTTAATATTACTAAGTTATTTAAGTAAGTTATAAATAACGTTAACAGCGTCAGTTACACGTTTTATTACGCTTTGGTTGCTGCTTTCTGGTTTCTAACACACAATTTAACATAGGGGTAGGTAAATAGTTTAAAACCGAATGACAAATGTAGGGCGCATTCTTGTAATATACGTAAATAAATCGTATATACAATTATGCGTGTAATCTAAGTGAGTTGCTTATGGACACTTCTCTTTGAATGCTTTAAATATACATAGACAATTGGAATCTATAACTGTACAGCGCTTTGTTACTAATCCAGTACCTCCTCCAATTCATCGTCCTCATAGTCGACGCCATCGTAATCCGCTGACGAGCGTGTTAACTGCAAATACAACGAATATACAAGGATTTTACACAATGTAATTTTGATATATTTTTTAGAGATTTGTATTTACCTGGGTGTAAAGTCCACGCCAAGCTGCAAATGCGCCCATTGCCAGGACAGCGCCTACACCGGCGACAATTTTTGTGTTTAGCTCCGTTTCCACAAATTTACGCTCCGACGGCGTCAGAGTACTGTCCGTGTAACTGGAGCCTTTCGTTAGTTTTGTCGAACTATAGCATTCGTTGCGGAAAATGTCCTTGGTGATGCGATTGATGAAATTAACTAGATTTTGACAGCCTTTTATGTGATTCTGCAGCGGATTGTTGGGCAGTGTTATTTTAAAGATAATGGCCAGATAACTGTAGACAATGGCATCCAATTCGCTGTACGTATCGCCAAAGAACCAAACCTTGCGACCCAACTTGCGCGAAAGCAAGTTTACGCACTTTTTGGCATTGACAACGAGCTGCAAACATAATTTTGGATAATGTTGTTAAGAGTTTAAAGATTAAGTATAGGATATATTCTTAACTTACATAGTCACCATCATGCTTTTCCAGCTTATCGTTAATATCGAAACCCCCCAGAACCTGAACCACATCGCAGGCTTCGCGCTGATACGTTGACGGGTAGTAGAAGTTGAATGGAAATGGTGTGCGCTTTGCATACAGACCACGTGTGGTCGTATCATAGTTGTGGGGATCACCGTACAGGAAGTAATGGTAGTAGGCATGCAACTGTGTAAATACCCAGTTCGAGTATGTGGTGGACAGGTGCTTTTGTTTCGTATTTAAATGCGCATCCACTGGATAACCCTGAAAGAAATTTCAAATTTCAATTACGCTCTTGGTCATGTGTACAAAAAAAAGAAAACAACAAAATAAGTTGAGCTATCAGCCAATGCCTATAAATAGGTTCAACAGGTTCATTCAACCCGGGCTGGGTGCTGTGTTGTATTGTTCACCTTAAGATCCAGCACGCGTTTGATCTCCTTATATCCAATAAATTTATCATTGCCTATTTGTAGATAGGGCAATTTACCAGCACCGGAACGCAATGGATTCGCATTTGTTTCAATGTCCATGGGACAGCGGGTGAAGCGTAACAGGCACTGTTTTGCAATTTCACCAAAAGACAATACGTTGATTAATACATATTTATTGATATCGCTGATAGGAGTTGCGGCTGATTATGATGCAACTAAACTTACCAAGGCACGCATACATTCGAAATCAATGGACGGCAGCCCCCATTCGCCCTTATACACAAGGAGCTTGGAGCCCAACTGCATTATTAATTTGCTCTTTTTTATGATACTGCTACTTGTTGTGATTGATTCAGCAATGCGCACGCAATTGCATTGTAGAGATGTATTAATCAAAAATAAATATATCTGCCAAAATGTGCCGGACGATTCGGAGAGAGAATTTTGACTAACACTCACGGCCAGTGTGACTGTACACTTGCAATGTACATAATACCAAATGTATTTGTATTTAATTTCTTGCGAATAGTATTTTGACAGTGGCCGTTTTTGGCGCCAAAATGAAAAATGCATTTAACGTGTGAGAAAGATTGTGCACAATCAAATTAAACGTTGATACTGTGTACATACATTTCTCTAAAGTTATCTGCACACCAACGGAAAACATGGGGTTCATTAGTTTTGCTTGTGTATGTAAAATCGATTACGTACGAAAAATATGGTCACACTGCTGATGTATACCTGCCGTGAGCAACTTATTGCAGCGCACATAAAGTAAATAAGTAAATAATCCCACAATATGTCACTAGTAAATTACGGTAGCAGCTCCAACTCAGAAGGCGAGGAGACAGAGGAAACACCGGCCGCTCCAGTGATTCGCAAGAGGTAATCTTATCTACTGTAAATATACAATGACTTGTGACAATTTAAAGGCGCATAGACCGGCATTACCCACAGCTGCCTCTTTGTTGGGCGCTAAGGTAGCAAAACCCCTAGTTGAGGAGGATGAGGCAGATGACTTTGAGAATGCGGCTTTGCATGGAGGGCGGATACGCAGCTTTAAGCATGAGCGCGGCAATTGGGCAACTTTTGTGTATGTGTCAGCTGGGGACTGTGCCGAGCAGCTGGAGGACTTTCAGTTGGAGGCCATCGAAAGACTGGCGCCACAAATTGAGCTGCACGCCAATGAATCATTGCATCTGAGCTTGAGCAAGACTGTCGTTCTGCAATACCATCAAATTGATGAGTTTCAACGATCGCTGCAACAGGCACTGCATTGCTGCGCTGGGTGCGTATTGATGGACTCGTCAGCTACTCGAGTATATTTATATTGATGAGATTCCCATTGTTTTTCACAGCTTTAGCAGTACGCTGCATTTGGTATGTTTGCTCAAGCCTTCTTATAGATGACAAATTTGTATACGTATAGAATTCTCATCTAGCTCAGTGTCTACACAAATGAGGAGCGCACGCGCACCTTTCTGGCCGTGCAGCTCGATGCTGCCTTTACGAGTAAAATGTCGTCACTTTTGCGGCCCGTGGATTTGGTTATGCGTGATTATCGCTTGCCTCAGTTCTATGAGAAGCCCTCGTTTCATGTTAGCCTGCTGTGGTGCGTTGGCGATCATCAGACCTTGCTGCAGGATAAGCTGAAGGAACTGCAGCAATTGCTCGATGATCATGAGACCCTCCAATTGGCTGTCAATGAAGTGAACTGCAAATGCGGCAATAAGGATTTTACTTATAAGTTGAAATAGCTACGAAAATGATTGATATTTATAGTTTAAGTGGATTTTTTTTTCTAAAATTAAGACTAATTTAAGCCTTTCTTTTTGTTGCCATTGCCCTGCTTGGCCTGCTGTGCCTGCTCCTCAAGCAGCCGCTCCTCTTCCAGTTCCAAAAAGCGTTGGCGACGCCGACCCAATGGAGTTTTCGACCACCACGATTCGAATGCCTCCTCCTCCTCGCGATAGACAGGATCTCGTGCACTGCGCAAAGTACACACAGATTAGCATAGAATTTGGATGGATTAATGCCTTTTTATACCCACCAGAGCACATTGATGAGCTCTGCATTTGTGAGCGGCTGGGAGCGCAGTTGAAGCTTGCGCTTACAAGTCATCACCTCGCGTAGACAGGCATCAACTGCTCCAATGGTATAGCCATCTGATATTTTAGCCATGGCACTGGTGTCCAAGTTGGACAAGCCACCAGAGTACTCACTGTAAATGATATAGTGCAAAGATTAGATATACAAATGGAATATCAACTTAATTATTTTCGGAAAACAAACAATTTTTCATATTAGAACTTATCTTTCAATCAATAATCTAATCATTTAATCAAATACCCACTGCAACAAAGTTTTCCAGGCATGCGACATGGCGCCGTAATCTGGGCGTGGAATGTATATGAAACGATTGTAGACGGACTGCAACAGCTTTTGATCTGCCTCCCAGGGTAAGTTGGAGGTGCCAACGAAAATGACCCGATCCTCGGGCGCAATATTTTTAATGAGCTTGGGCAAATCCTTTTTCAAGCGCTTGGGATCTGTGCGATCCGTTTTGGGTATTTTCTTCATAAACGGACGCTCGGCATCGCCCATATAAATAATTGCCGGCTGTAACAGCCGGGATACCTTAAGGACCAAGTGTATGAGCATGATTAGACCAGATTTTCCGGGATATTTGCCCACAATATTGGCTGGAGTGAGATCAAAGAGAACGGCGCCAACTTCTGTGCAAATCGCATGGAGCAGCGCCTTTTTACCGGATCCCTTGGGACCAGCTAGCAGAACAGAGCGTATTAGTGGCGTACAATTGTGTATGGCCTCCGAGCCGAGGGGCAGGATGCAATATTCGGTGAGCACTTGGCGTATGTCACCTGGCGATGGATTTGTTCCATTGCGCGCAGTTAGCGCCTTATCGCCCAGAAATTGTTTGAGCTTCAGTTCGGGATATTTGCGTATAATCCCATTGGTAACCAACTCCTCGTACAGTGACTCTGTGGTGCGGTCGGGCGTCAGATCCTTTTCCTTCTTCTTTTTGCTCTTCTTGCCGGAGCGACGGGTCTTCTTGTTGCTCTTCTTCACCTTCTTGCCCACCATCGTCTGGAGTAGCTCCAATTCCTGACGCATCACATCGTCGACGGCGCGTCGAAACTCCAGCTCCACTTCTTGGTACTTCTCCGTATAGATCATATCCTCGTTGGCCGCCTGACTGAGCACGCCAGTTTCGTCCTTGTCGCGCCAGGTGTCATTGAAACTGCAGGTAATTATCAGAATAATCGTAGCTTAAATTTTAACAACATTTTGGTTTAAGTAGAAAATAATTCTAATCTTTGAATTACGCAAATTTTGATGAAATATTAATAAAAATAGAATTGAATTCTTAAAGAATTAATACAAACTGAATATAAAAGGAATACTTTTATTAGATTGAGCATAAATTGAATTTATCTTAATTTAATTGTATTTTTAGCTTGAATTCAACTTCAATCGAAAGACTTTACTCACTATTCAATTTCAGCGCGTATATCGGGCAGACAAACCGACGGAGCCGGCTGAAAGTTGATATCCTCTTCCTGATTTTCGTTAACATTTAAATCGCCGCTGCGCGCCGGGGATTTGGATTTATCCTTGGTCTTGCGCGACTCCTTGGAGGAACGCGCCGAGGAGCGACTGTGCTCGCTCTCTGTGCCCGGCCGACTGAAAATGTGCAGCGAGCCTCCCTGATCCTCTGAGGGAAAGTCGGGCAGCTTGCCCGTCTTGTCGTAGCAATCCTTGATCCAGGCGCGTATCTCATCGGCAATGTCCTCCTTCATGGTGGGGCCATGCTTCAGCCGGATCTCCTCCAGTATGGTCACCTGGCGAGCCTCAAATTGGGCTGCGTACGTCTGTTGCGCCACATGTCGCCGCCTGACGTCGTGCTCGCTGTGCTTCTCCAGCTTCTCGGCACGCTCCTTAAGCACCGCAGCCGGTGGCGGCACCATGCCAATCAATATCATCTCATCCATCTTGCGGCGTCGTGTAATGCGACGTGCCGTGTGACCACGCCACATTTTTTGTATCTTCATGGCGGCCATGAGACCGGAGTCGCTGCGCTCTTTATCGCTGCGTTCCTCCGATTTGCCCTTTTCCTTGCGTATCTCCTTCATAAAGTGCGCCCGGAGACGTCCTTGCCGAGCACGCTCGTGCATCTGCAACAGCCGTATGGCCTCAATCTCGGTGAGCGGCTCCTCCAGAGCATGCTCTTCCAGCCAGCCCAGCTTGATCAGAATCTCGTGCATTGTGCGCTTACGGAATTCCAGCTCCTGTTCGCGTTCACGCAGAAAATAGCGAGGAATACGCAGCTCCGTCTCAATGGGTGTAAGTCGGAGTCGTTCCACGACATCATCATTATAGCTAAACTCCATCAGATCAATGTTGACCAGATCATGCTTTAGCTCCACCACACGACCAAGGCAGGCATCCAGCAGCTTGCGCACCAATTCACGCTTCTGCGGCTGTATCATCTGAGGGAATGGGAGTGAAAAAGCGATTACTAGAATTAAATTAAAATAAATAACTTGATATATTGTTATTAATAATTGCAAATCTGAAGTTGACGGATAGTTTAGAGGATAAATGTATTTAAATATATGAAGATTATTTATCAATTATTGAATTACAGAATATCCGGCTTGTGACAAAGCTAATCCTTATAAATTATTTGACTAATAATAATACTTGTATTTTCTGGGTACTTGCAGTTCTCATCCAGAGCAATCTCGGATTGGCAAACGATAGAGCACTTACAATTTAAATAGCTCAAGATATCATCATTAATAATTATTATAATTGAAGTAGAGAACTAATTGAGAGGATAAATATATTTACAAATCTGAAGTATTAGTTATCAATAAATGAATTTCTTAATTGAATTGGTGGAATATCTAGTTAGGGATAAAAAAAACTAAAGCTATTCCATTTATTTATATTCCCTTTAGTTATAATAGATCTGATTAATAATAATACTAGCATTGTCTAGTTTCACTCATCAATAATTGAAATTCTTGACGGAATTAAGGAAAAAACTAAAGCTACTCCTTATGTATATTTATTTAAAATATAACTGAGTGAAAATAAGTAGTAGTATTTTCGGGATACTTGCATTGTCGTAGACCTCCTCCAGTCGATTGCTTAGACATATATAACGCAGATAGAACTCATATAGACTGGCCTGCAGCAGAGCCTTGGCATCGGCAGCGGCTGCCACCGAGCTTGAAACGACGCCAGTGACGCCGCTAATGGTGGCCACAGTGGTGTCCACATTCTGATTTTGTCGCTCATAGTCAATGATGGCCAGTTGTTCGCATTCATGCTGCGACTGATGCCAGATATCGTTGAAATATGTGCTGGACATGACAAAATCACTTTTCACAATGATTGTTAATCCAAAAACTTGCGCTTGGTTACCACTTAAACCAGCGTTGCCAACGGTGATGCATGAGACATCTCCAAGGAGGAAGTTAACCATTTGTTTAGTTGTAACAAACATTTCTAATTCTTTCCATAATTTTATGTTGGTTCTCATGGCGAATTAATCTCAAAAAATATTCAGATAAGTTTATGTATTTAGAAAACATGATACATACAAATATGACACATAACAATGTTAAGCGAAGATTTAATTATAGGATATTTGGTTAGAATTACACATAAATAGTTAACAATAATAATATGTATAGCTATATTTTTAATAGGGAATGCGTCGGCGGACCCTTATAGGTTGTCTGGGGAGCAATACTTAATCATGGATTTGGTATGTTTGAATTGTGTGCCGTTTGTGGCCGCCAGCACTTCATTGATGAAGCTCTGGGAATTGTGTATGGTGGTGCCACCGAGGATGATCCGATAGCCAGCATTATTCAGTTGATGTACCGTCAATGCCTCCTCATAGGTAGCGCCGCCAATGATGAAGACAACCACTTCCTGTGGCGGACGTCGGAATGGCACCAGCTCTGAATTAATAGCTGGATAGAGTGGATCTAGTTCGCGACCCTTGAAAACATCCTCTAGCGTTTCCTTCAGCAGCGGCGTGTGCTGTGTGAAAACGTTCTCCACACCCTTGAGGCCTTTGATTAGGATACGGGTTAGCTTCACGGCATCTGTGATTCGCACCATATTGAACAGATCGCCTTGGCGCACATGCGTGCCCGCATACTCAATCAAAGCGGGCACAATTTGTGTATTCCCACCGCGACTCTTGATTATCTGCAGCAGACCTGATGTATCGCAATTTGCATGTCGCTCATAGCGCAGAGCGTAGAGTGCCACCAGTTTGATAGCATCATCAATGCTAACTCGTTCGTCTGCAATCAGTTTCTTGATGCGTTGCAGCTGAGCAGAGTGCTCCGCCTTGCACGCAATCTCTTGCTCCAGTTCGGATACCTCGAATAGATTACGCTTATTCGTAATGCTCGACAGTTCACCCATGATGCACAAGTGTTTCTGCACGGTGCCGGACATCTTCTTGAACTGCGGATAGGATTCAATGAAGTTCTTCATATCGGCAATACTCTCGACTTTCTTATGATCGTTCGCCTTGCGCTGAAACTCTTCCATTAGCTGTTTTATGGTGCTGCCAATTTCACCATAATTCGCGTACATATTGTTGCCATAGAAGTCGTCCTGATCGCCGGATAGCACCAGCTCCTTGAACTCCTTGGGCACACTGGGCCGTTCGGATAGATCAACACGATTGTTCCGTATTTGCAACAGCTCATGCACCATGGCCTGATATGACCATTGGTGCAGCAGTGAAGTAACTGGATCATCACGACGATCCAGAAGCAACAACAAAGGCGGCGCAGCGCCATCCGCATTGCCGCGAAAGTCAAACAGTGAGGATTCCTTCGTAATCTGATCGTAGATTAGCTTGGCCAGCAATTGAGCCACTTGCGAACCGGCCCTATATCGTATGACCGGATTTAGTTTAAGGGATAGCAGCACAGCTGTTATGCCCTGCACGCTGCGTTTCAGCGCGTCCGGCAGCCAGTTCAGATTTGTCATACAGTTGGGCAGGTTGAGTGAAAATAAATTGGGATTCACGCACAAATAGTCCGCATACAATTCCTTTACCTCCCGCACCGACTCTGACTCATCGCATTCGGCCAGGTACTTGATATCAGTGCGTGGTATAATGTTGCTGAAATCTGTTAAAAGAGCATAACAACATAATCTTTGACAGCTGTTAAGAACACACTTACAAATAAAATATGCACTATATTTGGGATTGCGCAGTTCGTTGGCCAGCAGCTGAATGTTCTGCTTTGTGGGGCGTATGAAAACAATGCACTTCAGATACTTTAACCGTTCATTGGATCGTCCAGAGTCGAGGCGCTCGAACAAATACACCTCTCGTTGCAGCATATCCGACTGGCTAAATGCCATGGATATAATACTGGTCTAAAATATTATACAAAATTTAAGAAAATTTTTGCCATTTAAATGATCCTAATTTTCGCTAATTCCTACCGTCTCCTTGTCCAGCAATATGATTTTCATGCCTGGTCCGGACTCTGTGCACATCTTTTCAATGTACAATTTAATGCCGCTTATTAAATTCATTGTTATTTACAGATTTTACTAAGAGAAAATAAAGTTGCAAAATGTAATGTGTCGAACCAGCTGTTGGCAGCGATGTGTAGAAAAATTACCCCTCCTCAGGCTATATTAATCGATTGCTATCGATACTTATCGGCGGACATTGCGCGATTGTGCATAATTTAAAAGCTCATTTAATTTACAATACTTTCTACAGTTTAGACTAAAGAATGTTTGTTTATTTTTCTTCGCTTTTTTTTGTTGACGACAAAATCACAAAAGTCTATTAATGCTACGTGTAATTAAAACATACGCGAAGCCTCCAACATTTACAACTTAAGCAATACGAATCACGTTTTGTAAGGCAACAGTTCACCACTCAAATAGAGCAAAATGGTCAGTCGCTTAAACTAAAATAACACAATTTAAACTAAAACGCAATGTGGTTTGATATGCGTCTGCTGGGTTGTTGGGTTGCCCATCCAAGGATTGGGCATTGTGCATTGTACATGGTGCAGTTGCTCATTGCGTCACCGCTGGCTTCTCTTCCTGTTTCTTCTTCAGCTTCTCCTGATCCAAATAATAGTTGTAAGCACGGCCCAGTTGCACTAATTGTGTCAAGCCCACAAATAGATTAACGGCGAACAAACTGTAATTCTTGGGTATAATGACAAGAGAGTAACGAGACCAAATTATGCCCGTCGCTGCTAATGCACTGCAGCTCGACATGGAAATTGTGTCCGCCGGACGCGCCAAATCACTGAGTCCAGCTGCGACGAGACCCTAAAAATAAACAATGTATATCAAGTTGTAAATTTCTGTTGATTAGTTAACATTAGCAGAATTTGCAATCGTTAATTGTAAAAACACAATCTCAACACGCACACACACACACAGGGGCATATATGTGTATATATGTATATACGTATATATAAGTGCGCAGGTATTGACGCTGACGCTCTCAACGAGTTTATTGTACGCAAATAAACCAGCAATCATAAAAAGCAATCTGAGCAGACGGCGACACTCTCTCGGATTTCTGTTTATAATTCTTCATTAAAATATTGTCTATCAGTCGTAGACAGTGATAATGCAAATTAGCGAAGGTCATGCAGTCCAAATTATGTAACTGGCTGATAGATTATCCGTCCATCTGTCTGTCCGTCAGCTTACCCATTTGAAGATAGGTGCCCAGAAGAAAATCGTTTTGGGACCTAAAAACAAAGCGGAACAGCATTAAAAACCAAGCGACACGTGTACTTTTTGTGGTAAACATTTTTTTATTTACCTGCTGGATGCATCCAAAGCGGTCTCATCTTGGCGGGCACAAATTTGTCACAAGCTCCAATCATGCCATTGTAGAGCTTCGTATGGATGCCCTTCCCAGCGGCAGCAGCAGCTGATGAAGGTGGTGGCGGTGGTGGTACTGGTGGTGGTGGCTGAACGGCTGTCGACATTTTGTTTGTGCGAAATTTAACGGGATATCACAGCGCAGCAACAAAAAATCAAATTCCAGGTAAAATCAAGCGCTGACTAGTGTACGGACAGACAGCTTCTATCGTACTGAGTGAATGGATTTGGCGTGAATAACAAAAGCGTCGAGTGGATGAAAAAAAGCGTCGGCGCGCTGAGTTCTCTCTTTCTCGTTCTCTGTGTGTGTGAATGTAGCGTGAGCGCCCTGCAGCGAACTAGTGAATGACCTGTCATTACGGAATGCATTCGATATGCATACAATGTAATTAATTAAATAGTAATATGTATGTTGCTGGACCTTCTAATTCAATCACAAATTTGACTTTGTGAAAGTTTCAGCTGTGCACGCCTGTATATTATTGTATATTATGTAAGTTTTTACATATTTCGTGTATTATTTTTTTATCCAATATGCAATTTATTTACAGAAATTTATAATATATTTATGTTTATTATTAAAATCGTCGGGCCATGCTTAACGCAAATTAATATGGGTTGGAAGCAACACCGAATACAAAGTAAAGATTACGAATCTAATTCGTAATGTGATATTTTCGCTGCTGGGTACGGCCGCAATTTAACACACATTTCAAATACAGCTGAGAGTGCAGTTACACGAGTTTGACGTTTTAAACAAATACAAACGAGCAATTAACCTGTTTATCGAATAGAATTCGCAAATTGTACAGTTTTCAATTAGCTCTCACTCACATGCAACGTCCTTGGCCTTGACAGACAACCACACAACACACGCAACATTTGTCCGACATTGCCATTCGCTTAATGCCTGCGCCAATTTCCGCAGCGCAATGTTGACGGAAGCATTTACATTCACATGCATATGTATAAATGCAGTGCAAAATGCATTCGCGATGCACTCGTCTAAAAATAAACATCAGCTGTGTCTGCTCCGACTGCATCACGAGATATTTCGATCTTCACAAAGTCACTGCTTGTTGTATGCCAACAGGTCCTCAAAATCATGTGACAAAAATAGCGATTTAAAACTAAATTTCATTTATATAAAAAATAAAACTGATTTCATGTTTTAATAAAAGTCTAGAGATTTAAAAAATAAACACTCTAGCTATTAAATTGCATTGCGCCATTGCCAATATCTTGCTGTATATAAATTCTTAAAAAAAAAAAAATGTCAAGATTTGCTGCTCGCTAGTAAGGCAACGCATAAGACTTCAAATAAGTCGATATAATTTTGCTATCGATAGTTACTCAATGCTGATTAATGAACTACTCAACACTAAACTGGAATCTAGGCGGTTACACGTGAGGTCCACTTTAATATATATGTATATAATGCGTGCACATCTCACTCTATCTGTACAAACGTATACACACTGTGTGATTCTCACAAGTGAATCAACTCTCAGCACAGTGTGACCAAACATATATACATATATAATTTAAATTTGAACAGACTATTGCGCATCAACGCAAAAACGTATATTGTTATAACGATGACAGACTTACATATTTGTGTATATGTAAATATCTGTATCAGTAACATGCTTAGTTAGTTGCCACACCTTAAAACTAGGGCGCCATAATTTAATTTTTTACATACAGATGTAAACAAATATTTTCTATTTTCCATCAGAATGAACGTTTATATCTCACCTGTAAATGGAAATAAAAGCGCAGAATATGCTGTGTTCTTATCGTTTTTCATGTTAGAAATGTTTATGTAATTTAAATTACAAATCAAAGGCGTACATTTCAATAAAATTATTCATTACAAATCAAATAGTTCTACAATTTTTATCTTTTCCTGTGTGTTTTTGTTGTATTTGTTGTTGTTTGCTGTGTTTAGCACATTTTTGTTTGTTGCAGTTGCAATATTTCGCTTGCGCCTTTGTAGCCCGTTTAGTGAAATATATAAATATATATATATGGAAGATATCTACTATGAAATTTGGAACAAACTGAATTGTTGGAAAACATAAATAACTAAAATAAAGGATTTTACTATTGCAACATGCATCAGACAAAAGTTCAACAAATTAATTATTTCCATCGAATTGTTATATATATATATATATTTACATACATTATTTATGTATGCACGTATAAATGTTAACACAGAAGTTGAAAAGGGTCGATTGCTGCAACGATTTTACGTTTATCTGTAGTTAATGTGTATGTATGTTGTTATTGTATATATAACCAAGCTGTCATATAGAATGTGCATATTTTCCTTTTTGCTGTCAGAGCTGGTGTTGTTTTAGTTATTTTTGTTGTTGTTGGTGTTGAATGGGCACAGAGTATCGCTCGAAATCTTATTGCTATATGCTATCATCAATGGAGTATACACAGATTGGTTGTGTATTTGTTTTTCTTTGCTCGTCCGTGGAGTTAAAAGTTGAACGAGTTCATTGGTAGTTTCTCTGTATTCGGATCAAAGTTGTATTCTGTGCCATCGGAGGTCGGTGCCAGGTTAGATTGCTCGCCCTGTAAACGGAATGGACACAAAGGTGTTAATCAAATTGTTGCAACTAATGAATAAATAGTTAATAATTCTTTTATCTGGATAATTGTATTTATGGGAAGTTGATGGGGTTTTTCAAGCTTTGATCGCTTTTGGTATTTACCTCGGTAAAGTATTTTTCGATAATTTCGTATGCCAGCTTGTAAATTTCAACGTTCTCATGGTTCTGGAGGCGCTCAATTTTGGCTAGACCCTCGCACTCCTCAATCAAATTGGCCACCTCCTCGACATGTGATGCGGCCACTTTGAGCATATTATTGAGACCATCGAGCACAACCTACAAAAATAAGGTTGGAATAAAAGCAATAGTTGGAATTAAAATATTTTAAAAATTAGCTTATTTGTGGCTTACATTGATCACTTGTGTATCCTGGCACGAGAGCAGATCGCAGAAAGGCGGAATGACGCCCTCCTTTATTAATGTGAACACCTGTTCGGGTCTGCCGCTAATGGTTAGATTACTTATAGCCCAGGCGGCTTCCTTCTGCGTTTGGAATTCGCCCTTGCTCAGGTTGTCAATGATTTTCGGCAGCAGGCCGACGTTGATGACAGCCTGTACCTGTGACTCGTTGCCAGCGGTGATGTTGGAGAGGAACCACACAGCCTCTTTGCGTATCTTCTCCTTTGGATGCGACAGCAGTGCTGGGAAATACGACAATGCCTCGAAATTGAGCACCACCTGTGTCTGTTCATCCGAACCGGTGACAATGTTGCCCACAGCCCGCAATGCTGCCGTCTGCACCTTCACTTCGCTGTTGCCCAGCAGCGGTATCAGCTTGGGCACAACGCCGCTATCGATAACCATTTGAATTTGATCGTTTCCCCCGTCGGTCAAATAGCTAATGGCCCAGACCGTATCGACGAGGATGTTTGTATCAGTGTGATGGATCAGCACATTGAGTGCGGGCAGGATTTCGTGTATTGTCGCTGCTGGTGGCGGCGGATCCTTGTTTCGGCACAAATTCACAATCACCCAGGTGACATTGCGCAAGAAAGATATGGGTATATCCGGTTTAATGAACGACAACAGCGGCTGCACAACGCCATGCTTAATGACATAGTCGCGCAACATGGGACCATCACCAATGATATTGCCCAGTGCCCATACGGCTTGTTCGCAGACATTCGGTGCGGGTGAATTCAGCAATTGAAGAAAGAGCGGCACGGCTCCAGCTGCAACCACCTGCAAGCGAAACGATATGATTCAGATGCGATTAGTTGGAATTTCCAGCAGCTTTCAGCTGTGATTCATTTTAAGGCTTGATAATTGTTTTATAAATATGTATATATATAGCTTAGTACAGTTCTGATGGATTAGGCTAGTGCTCACCTGATTGGTTTGATCGGAAGTGCCTGATGCAATGTTGGTCAATGCCCATGCGGCTTCAAATTGGAGCATTGTGTGATTATGTTGCTTCAGGCAATCAACTAGAATGGGCAATATATCGCTATTGATTAAATCATTGATGGGTGGATTCTTGTCGGATGATAACAATTTGCGTGCCGCTTGAACGGCGGCCAACTGTTGCTCCGGCTTCGAAAGATCAGCGGCGGCCATGGCAAGCTTTTTCAAATTTATGGTGTTGGGCAACTGTTCATCCTCATCTGTGTTCGAGTCCAGGTTGGGCACATTGCGACGCTTCAAAATTGTCTCGTCGCGCTTATTTTTGCGCAGCTCAACAGTCACCTCATTGCGGCGACGTCGCATCTCCTAAAATTGTTAATTGATTATTTGTTATTTTTCATATTCAGTTTTTATTGTACACTGTAAATGTTTGCTTACATCTTGATCCTTTCCTTTGTTTTTAAAGTTTTGCAAGCGATTTTGATCCAGCGATGTCATTTTTACTGTGTTTTGATGTGTCTGTTGTAGTAGTAATTGTTAGCTTTGTTGTCTGCCAAAAACCTCTAATCAAAATTGAAATGCTTGTTATGCTGCTTGTTATTTCTGCTAAATAAATTTATGGGAATTTCTCTTCGTTGTCCTCCGTTGCTTAAATATTTCAATTATACTCGCAACGAAAATTTCTACACACACGCACACAGATGCAGACAGCGAGACACAAACAAAAGAAGAGCAGAAGCAACACGGGGCATGGAAGAAGCATAGATGTCCGTCCGTACGTCCGTTCGTTAGTTCCAACAAAATCGAAATCGAGAGAACCAACACAGTTGCATGGCAGCACGCAGCACGATGACAATGACAGTCGTAGAAGAGGAGGGCAGAGCCACCAGGCGACGAAGAAGAAAAAGAAAATGAAAAAAAAAAGAAATGGCGATTACAAATGTTGTCAATTCGCAGCCAAACGCCTGTTTTGGCACTGTGAAAACGAGTTGTCTCCGCTTCTACTTACATTTCCAGCTAAATTGGCCCGTATTTATAACTTGGCTGACACTTTACAGGCCTCCCAAACAGTGATTAAACCTTTTTTTTTGATATATAAAAATTGCAATTCGTGACAGCGACGTAACTAAAGTTGGCTGCGCTTCGCGACGACAATGGGCTGCCAACTCATTTGCATAGCGCTAAGTAAATTTATCGGAATGACTCACATCACCATTAGGTATGAGCAAAATTTATATTATTTTGACCAGCTAAATCTATCGATTTAAATAGCCAAGGCGTGCAAAAAAAAAATAATATAAAAATCTGAACAATTTGTGTATATATAAAATAGAATGCAATTGAATGCTTACTGCCAACCAACGTGGCAATGACTGAAAAGACGGACAGTGCCAACACTCTCGAGCAGCATCCACAGCAGGCCGTAGATGAACCGTTGCGTGTCCAGGTAAAAAGCGAGAAGATTGACGCCGAGGTTGAGGCGAAGCTGCGGGCCATCAAATCGGAAGGTTCGCCGCCCTCGACGGGCACACTGACCGAGAGCGATAGTAACGATTCCCTGCTGGAGGATAAGAAACAAATAGTGCCTGTGAAATCATCGAATGAGATCCTCGCCGAGCTTTTTGGCGTCTTCAATGCGGCACCACCCGAGGCGCTGCTGGATGACAAGAACCTGCTAAGGAAACACAAGAGATCCAAGAAGGAGAAAAAGAAAAAATCGCGCGGCAAACATGATAAATCCGATGGCGAATGCTCCGACACAGATGTGGCGTCCGCCAAACACAAAAATAAGCGGAAGAAACACAAGCATAAGCACAAGGATGGTAGAGATAAGCACAAGGACAAGGATCGTGAAAAGTCCAAGGAGAGGCGAATAGGCACAATCAAACACGAGGAGAAGTCGGAAACGACAAGGAAACGCCATGCGACGGCGACTGAGGCGGACAAGGCACCAGTGCTGGCCAAGAAGGAGGCGAATTCCATTGCCGAAAGGGAACGCGAAAGGGAGCGCGAAAGTGAAAAGGAGAAGGATCGGGAACGGGAACGAGAGCGGGAAAAAGAACGGGAACGGGAAAAAGAACGGGAGCGGACACGTGGCCATAATAGCTTCTATAATGGCTACCACGATGGAAAGCGTCCTCGCTCCAAGGAGAAGAATATTAGATCCACAAAGGCCAAGCTGGAGCGCCGGCAATCCGATGAGATCTCGCTCTCCGATGAGGAGACCTATCTGCGCGAGAAGGCAAACGGGCGCAACAATTTCTATGGCAACTCCTCCAAGCCGGATCCCAGCGAGAGTAAGCGTCACATTAACTCCTCCGCACGTCACACAAATAGCTCCAGCGCTAGGCAGCGCTCCCGATCCCGCTCACGCTCACGTTCACGGGATTTGGGCATCGATAAGAAGCGGCTTTTGGAGATTGCCCGGCGCAATGCGATCAGCATGTTCAAGCGGGGCAATATGGCTGGCGTGGCCGAGATGACGCCGGAGGTGAAGGATAAGGTGCTGCTGAAGATGCGCTACGGCGGACGCAGCGTGCAGGACTTGACGGACTTTTGCAAGAAGATATCCAACGGCGAAATGCTGTCCGATCTCAGTTCCGATGAGGATTCCGATGTGGATAAGAACGGCAACACCAAGGCCTTTCATCATCCCTTCCAGCTCAAGGAGCGCGAACCGATTGTCATGCACATACGGAACGCAACCCCCATTGTGCCGGCCACTCGACGCGAGGAGCAAACGAAGGCGATAACGATGCAGTTTCCCGTCTCATCTGGGCAGGTGCATCGCATGTCCGAGGTGTGGGTGCCTGTGGATGCACTGGCGCCACTGCCTGCCCTGCCGCCCGCCAAGCAGGCCACCAATATGTTCAAGGATGTGCAGAGGAATGTCTTTGCCAAGTCGCTGCCACAGCAGGAGATGCAGGAGCCTGCCTTTAAGCCGGCCCCCAATCTGTCTGAAGCCGACGGCACAAATGATCCTGATGGCTGTGTTGCGACAAGTGCGTCCACGACACTGCCTCCGCTTCCTCCTTTACCGGTGCAAGCTCCTGCAGCGGCAGCTCCTGCTCCAATTCCTCCGCCTCCCAAGCCGCCAGCGCCTTTTGTGCCATTTGTACCAGAGGTGCCCATACCATCGACAGCGGCCCGAACTACGCCGGCGCCAAGGGTCTCCATTTTTCCCGAAGCTCTGGCGCCCAGCAAGGATGTGTCCAGCATAATTACACAGCGTTTAAGTGCTATAAGGAGATTACAGGTAAGCAGCTGAAAGCTTTAATATGTATACCCTGTATTCTGTTAATGGGGTTTATTCGAAAGGAGTGAATCTTAGAAATAGACATCTTAGGTCTCGTATAGAATACATGGATCATATTTTATATCTCCTAAGAGAAAAACAAATATATATATAAATATATTTATTTGTATTTATATATTTATCGAGGAGCAATTTCACGTGATTGTTTTAAAAGCTGTCTTCTTTAACATCAAAACATATATCACGAAAATATAGTAAATATAATATATTAATAATCTTTAAATCCGGAATAAAATACTGCTCATAAAATATGTGTTAACTCATCACTTCTATTATTTTATTTTTGAACTATATAATATAAAATAGACAATTGAATTAATGTGATTCCCTCTTAATCAGGATAACCCCGCCGATTCAGAGGCGCTAAAAATGATGTACAACGCGCAGCGGGACATGACCTCGTGGGCCTCATCAAAGTATCTGCCCGGCCAGTTTACGGGCAGCACGGGTGCCCAGGTGATGAAGGTGCACGAGCTGAGCAGCGGGCCGCAGTTGTGGGCGCGCAAGGATCAGTTGACCTCCACCAAGCCCGTCACGGGCGGCATGGGCATGACACTGTTGCAGAAGATGGGCTGGAAACCGGGGGAGGGTCTCGGCCGTAGCAAGACGGGCTCGCTGCAGCCACTTCAGCTAACTGTAAAGCTGGACAAGCGTGGTCTGATCTCTCGCGAGGATATCAAACAACAGCCGGCACGTGCAACGGGTGCACGTGCATCATCCAAGAACACAAATGCATCAAATATCGCACAGGTTGCGCTCACCGCCCAGGACAAGCATCCGGTTTGTGTGCTCAACGAACTGACATCGAAGAATCGGTGGACGCCACCGCAATATACGCTAAGAGGCGATTCGGGGCCATCGCATAGTCGCATGTTCCTCTTCTCCGTGGAGATCAATGGACAGTCGTACACGCCCGCCCAGAGTTGCAATAACAAAAAGGAGGCCAAGATGAATGCGGCCAAATTGTGTTTACGAGCTTTGGGCATTTTGCCACCCAGTTAACGAGAAATCTCGGATTTCTCTGGGGGGCGCCTCAAATGCTGCCTAATGTAAGTATAGTTAGAAACCTGTATATGTATATGTCTGTGTATATAATTATCAATAAACTATTAATAGTTAACTGTAAGGGCCTCTTGCAATGAAATAATAAAGAGCGAGGCAAATATTGTCCTTGCTGAAATGCGCCAGATTTTCAATAAAAATATGAATTAATACAAGAAAGGCTATTTTAGGCACGCCGCAGATAACTTACCCTTGCGGGGCCAGGCGACACTTGAATTCAAATACATAGATCAATCAGATATCGATCGATTTTTGTTGTGAAAGCTATATGATATAGTAGTCCGATATTGATAATTTAAATTCAAAATCTGTAGTTAGTTTGGAGCTGGTATCCGTATGTAAAAAACAGACGGACGGTCGGATATGTCTATATCGACTTGGTTAGTGATGATGATCACGAGCATATATGTTTATATATAAACATATACGAGTACAAGCCTCCTTGAACGCGATGCAAACTTCGCAACAAAATGTCTACTGTGCATACAATTCAAGAAATGTGAATTGTTTAATATTGTTATGTTGAAATGATTTTGTGGGCTCATTGAATTTATTGTTAATAAGTTACTACCAATGTGTTTTAATAACCGTTGTAAGGGTATCAAAATGTTTCAAAATAACTTTTCTGCACCAAATATCGCAACACACTTAAAAGCTTTTATCGAGTCCAAAAGCTTTTCGCTCTCTTCGCTCAGCCAGGCGAATTGAGCAGCGCACAGTGGGACAGATTTGTTGTAAAGGTAGTCAGTCGCCCGTGAAATAAATCAAATAAAGAAACGAAGAACAAACACGCAGTAAGAAAAATAAAATATATTCTCGGAATATACTTATTATGGCTAGATTTGAATGCAAGTTCTGTTTGCTGCCGACGAACAAAGCTCTTGTTTGTTTTGCAAAAATTGTCGCGCTTTTGGTTTTGCGCAAGTACACAAACAAAACGAAAACAGCTGAGTGCACAAAGCTGCTGGGAAGGGACAACCCCGGACACATGCGCCTCGTTGCTGCAGTTACATACATATGTATGTATGTGTGTGTGCGTGTGTGTATGTGTGCAGATGTGAGTGAGTCGGTGTGCGTGGGAATTCAATCTCTCCACCGTGGCTTAAACAAACAATGAAGGTCAGTTCACGCGGGAGTGTGCTACAGACAACATCTCGCACTCGCCCAGGATGTGGCTACAGCATCCAATTTGCTGTTGCTGCTGCTCCTCCTCCTCCTTCAATTTGGTGTACAGGCACAAAAGTTTTTCGAGTGGCCCAGGTTCCATGGCACATAGCGGCAGCATCTCAATTGTGTTAACTTTTGCAATTGGAACAGATGTTTGCAAACAACTCCAGCTGTAAAATTGGTATACAATTTCTATGTGTGTGTGTGCGTTATTTCTGAAGTTGCATAACTTTGGACTTACATACTTCATATGCATACACATGTATGCATATTTGTATGTTTGCCTGCTAACAATTGCAATTCGGAGTTGGGCGTCACGGATTGATGTTGACGGTTCAGTTTGTTGATTGCTGCAGCCATGGAAACGTGTCGCACTTGTGCTAGGTGCGATTTCGAAAATGGCAACAACAACTATTGGTTGGACTTGTTCCATCCAACGAGTTGGCAGAACGAAATGGCGCATATACGCCTCGAGTTTGCCAACTGGAAGTTACAGGTAAGTCGAACGCTAGAAATAAAACAGCAAATGCAATTGGTGAAAGTTTGTGTGTTGCATTTTAATGAAGCTTTTGATCGTGCAACGGTGGCTATACGGCATCGATAACGATTAACGTACGTTATTTATCGCTTTTCGCAAATGTTCAACTGCAGCGCTTTGCGAAAGTTTGTGCGTTGCATTTTAATTAGGCGCTTGAACACGTTTGAGGTATCGACATCGATAGTTTATTTTTTATTACCTATAATTATAATCTTAACTATGTTGGAAGTGTACTTTGTACTAAGTTTGGTTAACGAGCATACTGCATATATATATATATATTTTAGATCTCACCTAACGATGGACTGCCACAAAAAATATGTAGCGATTGTTTTACAAAATTCTGCTCCATTTACACGTTTCGCATGGCTTGCCAGGATGCGCAATTGAAGCTCTCGAATATTTTTGATAAAATCGATGCCCATATGCTGTATGACAAAAACGACGAAGCGGAGCCCATTGCAGATGATGCAGATGAAATAGAAACGTCAACAGAAATAGAAGCAATAACAACGACAAAAGCAACACAAGACACTGCCATTGTTGAGGCCACATCGCCAACACCCATAGAAATATATGTGGAAACGATAAACATCAACGAAGTAGAAGATATATCCCCACAGCCAGTAGTAGACGAGCAAACCGATTTGGCTTCAGACTACAGCACATTGAAAATTAGCTATGCTTGCAAATTTTGTTACAAGCCACAGGCGAGCTATGAACTGCAGCATGTGCTTCTAGAGCACATTAGTAGCGCACATGATCCGGATCAGCCCTACAACTGTCCGCATTGCACAGAATGCTTCCAGGACGCTGCCTCCCGCACCGTGCACATGAAGAGCGCCCATGTCATCAAGCACTACGCGTGCGAGGTGTGCGGCAAAAAGTATGGAGATCGTCATAATCTTCAGCATCACATCGAGAAATATCATTCAGAAACGGATTTCGAGTGCAGCATGTGTGAGAAGCGTTTCTTTACACGCAAAAGCCTTCACTACCACATGAACTGGCACAAGCCAGAGAGGCAGCTGAGGTGTCGCCACAGTGGCTGCGACAGGCTCTTCATCAATCAACGACATCTCAAATGCCATGAGGCAACTCACACAGCCGGCTCTCGCAAGAGTGAATACTGCGGTTTCTGTGGCAAAGGTGGGTGGTCTGGCCAAGTACGTATAATACATATTATTAATATCTAACATCTGCTTACAGCTTTCACACATGTTAAAACACTACGATGGCATATCTATAGACAGCATGGCGGTGAGAAGCCCTTCAAATGTGCCATTTGCACTGAGGGTAAGTTAAATCTGGACAGCTTTATGCACTTTAGCCAAATTTAGACTATCAATCAGAACGCTCAAAATAAAGTGTGAGAATAAAATGAAATAGTGATGAGCTAAATCCACATAAATCATAATCAATTTATATAATTTTATATCTTAAATAATATTAAAGAAAATTTGATTAGAATGTTATCGAAATTATTGGCGAATGTGATTACTTTGAATTAAATATTAATTTTTATGAGTATTAAAAAGTTTTTAAGATTTAAAGTTACAAATCAATCAGTAGACTACAAAACGAAAATTTTTTATTTCGTATATCCGTAATCCGAAACCATTTTTATACAATTCATTTTCTATAATTTTAAATATATGTTGTTTTTTTTTTAACATAGCTAGAAAAAAATATTTAAATGCTTCTGAAGGATGTCTAATAGGCTAAAGTGCTGAACAATTGCTTTTGTTTTGTGAGTTTTGATCTTTTTAAGTCAAGTGATCGTTTGACAATTGAAAAAGTAAAGCTCACATAACGAAAGATGCCTTTTAAATTATAAGGACTCATTAATGATAACCATCTGTCACATCATCAAAACATTCATCGCAAACGCTTTAAGATTTGCCATACACCTCTGAAGAAGCCAATCTGCTGCTTTTTGTTGTGTGTTAGTCAAGTTATTTCTATATGCGCTATATGCAATCCAACGGTAAACATGGCTCAGCTCTTTTTTATACACCTAATAGCCAAAAAAACAAGCATGTCAACAAACTTCATACATAACGTTAACACTTTTGTAATTTCTTTATAACTTAGATACCATTTTAACCAGTTTGTTAATCAACCACCTTGCATAACCAATAAAGTCCACTGTACGACACCCTCCCTCGCAGCGCAGCATGCAAGCAAACTACAGTGGTCTCTCGAAAATAAATACAATTAATGACAAAAAAAAAAAAACACATATTATAAAAAGCACATTTTTAAATTCAAAAAATAATCTTACTGAAAAATGTGAGTTGCGACTCAATTTTTTTTGCCATTTTTAATTTGTAAAGATACTAATTAACGAGAGATCACTGAATAAATCAATTACCGTTTCATGACACCCCTAAGTATATTAATTAATTAGAAACAGTTTCTGCTCTTGTATTAAATGTTCATTTGTTTTTTTCAAAAGTTTTTGACTCGTATGCTGAAAAGCGTATTCACATGCTCGAGTTGCACACGGAAAATCTGACGCATCAGGAGCGCAGTGAGTGCATGTTCCAATCCTGTCGCCAGGAATTTGACACCGAACAGGAGCTCATCCAGCACATGACCGCCGAGCATCTGCAACGCGAACCGTCAGCTCCAGTGATATCGAACAATAAGCGAGTGCTCCAGCGGAAACGGGAGCGCCAATATACGGGTCTCTTCCAATGCGGCAGCTGTTCGCAACGGTTCAACATGAAGTCCGCACTGGAGCGGCACATGGCTGTGCACTCGGCAGATCGACTGCATGCCTGCAGTCACTGTTCCAAGCGCTATAAGCGTGCCCAGGATTTGAAGTGGCATATGAAGACGCATGCCAATGAGAAGCCCAATGTTTGTGATGTTTGCGGTAAATCATTCGCCCTGAAATATGTACTTACTCAGCATATGCGCAGTCATGAGGGTAAGCAATAATTTAGTGTTTTCAACAATGTTTGCAATCATCATTATTTTCATTTCAGTTCTTGAGAAGAACTTCAAGTGTGACACTTGCGGACGTTCTTATCTATTTGAGAAGTCTCTGCGTCTCCATCAACGTGTTCACACTGGCAACACTTACTACAAATGCGATTTGTGTCAGGAGCGTTTTGTGACTCACATCAAATTGAAAAGTATGTACAAATTGTATTTTGGATATATAATAAAATGCTAACATTGCAGAATTTTCTTATGCTTTTTACAGCTCATATGAAAAAGGCACATGATACAAACCAGTCGCATGCCAAAGATTCGCTGGATAATTTGATCAACATTGTGATTTCCTAAAAGTACCAATGAAAATAATCCAAGTGGAACAGCAAAAAACTAATATTGAGATAGCATAGCATCAAAACTACCCTAATTAATACTATATAAAAGGTGAACGCTTTAAAAAAGCCAAGCCTAACATTGAATTTTAAAATCGTAGACCCTCCACTTGCTCCACTCATTAGACTAATTCTCACTTTTCAAATAGTTAGGTACATAAATGCAGAAATGGATCAGGATTTATACTCTCTAGACAGATTTCATAAAGGTTAAATCTTTTCCGCTTTCTTGACGCAATCAACTCCCGCAGCTTTCCGCTCTCACACTCAGAGATCATATTTGATGATCCATCCAGATCTTAATCAATATACATACATATTTACATACTTCTATGCCCCCCACGTAAGGCACAATACATGACCATTTTAGTGATAAGTATGAAAATGTTATAAAACGTATTTAAGCTAAATGGCAAAGCAACATTTTAATGCTCAAAAAGATATTGCATTTATTTAAAGAGTAAAAACACTTATTTACAATAACATTATGAGAAAACCATATTGTAAGAAATATCAATATCTATAGTATACTTTATATATTAGTTGTGGTAGTGCAATATACATATGTATATTTACCAAAATTCGAGTTCCATATACATTAAATTGATCAATTGTTATTTAATTAGAACTATGAAATGAAACCAAGTTGAGGCATTTAAATAAATAAAAAAAACCGCGATATATATCGACAGCACAGTAAAACAAACCTGTTCTGTATGGCGCTGCCAGATGCTATAATGTCATATGCCGCTCCACTGTCTGGCAACGCCATTTTTGTGGCCTCTTGTAGCTCGCATAACACGTCAGTGTTTAGGTTTTTAAGCCGCAAGTTCTACCAAAATCTGTGGTAAACGTATTGCTGAAATGCAATAACGAGTCGGCTACCGATCGAAATGGACACAAAGCAACAAATTGCGTAGTACTCTATTCAAGTGTAACAAAGCAACGGACAAGGCCGTTTTGATTTTTGTTTTATTTTTTCCTTAAACGGACACGAAATTCTACGGCAATCAGCAACGCGGCCAACAACAACAAACATCACCTCGTAGGCAGGTGCAACGATAAAGATAAGCAGCTGTGATAGAAGCAGACAGAAAGTTTTTTCTGTTAGCCAAAAGTGTGACGTGTGCATGCTAAATTTTATTTTGATCATACACACTCGCAACTGGCTAAGACGCCCACAAATACGCACACGCCCACGCACACACACACACACACACACACACACATACGCTTAGTTGGACAGGTAGCATAATGGCTCTGCCATTGAGTGATCTGCTGCCATTTGGCAACGGCGAAAGGAAATTGGCAGCCTGTGTCCTGCTGTTGCTTCTCGAACTCTTCATGGACGGTAAGTGACGACGAATTCTCAAGGAAATTAATAACTTACTTATCATATTTAAATACACGTCATTTTATGCAGGCGCCGATGCAGTCTCTACAAATCAAGCGGATATCGACAATCATCTGGAGATGGGCAAAGACTTTCTGGCACGCGGACAGCTGTCGGATGCACTGACACACTACCACGCAGCTGTAGGTAAGTCAAAGTCTATGCGAAAAGGAGTCAATACTTTGTTACTACATTTTGAAATTATCCATTTTGCAGAGGGCGATCCCAACAATTATTTGACTCTGTTCAAGCGCGGCACCGTCTATCTGGCGCTGGGCAAGGCACGCTTTGCCATCCAGGACTTTAGTCGTGTGCTGGAGCTAAAGCCGGACTTTACAGCGGCGCGCATCCAACGGGGCGTTGTGCATATGAAGACCGGCGACTATGATCTGGCCATGGTCGATTTTGAGGTTGTGCTGCGCGAGGACCCACAGAATGGCGTCGTGCACGACCATTATTCACGACTGCGTCCGGCCAAGGATCAGTGGCAGCTGGTACAGCATCTGATGGATAACAATGATGAGCAGAATGCCATTGGCATGCTGACCCAGCTGCTGGAGTTCTCACCGTGGTGCCTCGCCTTCAGACAGGCGCGCTCCGATGCATATCTGAAAGTTAATGATGCACTCTCAGCCATTGCGGATTTGCGGCAGGTCAATCGCTTGTCGCAGGACAGCACCGAGGGCCATTACAATATAGCACAGTTGCTCTATAGGATTGGACATTGCACCAATGCACTGAAGGAAATCCGCGAGTGCCTCAAATACGATCCCGAGCACAAACTCTGTTTTCCCTTCTACAAGAAAGTGCGGAAAGTGGAAAAGCAGCTGGTGACAGCGGAAACGGCGCGTGAGGAGAAACAGGCGCCCGAATGCATTGTCGCCGCCGAGGCTGTACTTAAGCATGAGCCCGAGGAGACAATGATACGCTACGAGGCTCACAAGCTGCTCTGTTCCTGCTACACCAGCGATGAGCAATACGGCAAGGCATTGTCGCAATGCAAACAGGCGTTGGACATTCTCAAAGATGCCCAGCTGTACTGTGATCGCGCTGAGGCGTTGCTGGGCAGCGAAATGTATGATGATGCCATACACGATTTCCAATCTGCGCTGGAGATGGATGAGAACAATTCGCGGGCCAAGGAAGGCATACAAAAGGCGAAGAAGCTGCAGAAGCAGGCGGAGCGACGGGATTATTATAAGATCCTGGGCGTTAAACGCAGCGCCACCAAGCAGGAAATTGTGAAGGCGTATCGCAAGGCGGCCCAGAAATGGCATCCCGACAATTTCAAGGACGATGAGAAAAAGTTGGCTGAGAAGAAGTTTATTGATATTGCCGCCGCGAAAGAGGTGCTCACAGATCCCGAGAAGCGGCGCCAGTTCGACAATGGCGAGGATCCCTTGGATCCCGAAGGCAATCAGCATGGCTTCCGCGGCGCAGATCCATTCGCGCACTTCCAGCACGGTTCGCCGTTCCAATTTAAGTTCCATTTCAATTAAATGGAGCCAACGCTGCCATTGTTGAGCATGTTTTCTTTTTGTGATTTTACCCTTGTTGAGTCAGTCATGTTAACAATATATCCTCACTTCCTTTCCACTCTTTTCTCCCCACTTCCCCTCTTCCCAACTTCCTCTTTAATTGTTCACGCCCAACAACTATTGCATTTTGCCCACGCCCCTACGATTTTACACATATTTGTGCTGCAACTTTTCAAAAGCGTGTAAATATTAGCCTAGAGACTATGTCCGTTAACTAAAACGCAAGCCACAAAAACAATATAAAAACAAAAAAACAATCACTGAAAACATTTAAATTTAATTAGTTTATTTAATAAAATAATTGTAATGTAGTACACTTTTCTAATTATATATTAAAAAAAGAACGATTAAGCGAAAATGAAAATACAAAACTAAATCTATTCAAAGCAGTGAAGGGTTGAGTGGGGAGTGTTTATCATAATAAAATACGTGGCCCTCCCGCAATGGTAACTGACAACAATTCAGATTAAATATATTCCAATATATATCAGTACATATACCTCCGAACCGTATGAAATCTTAAATAGTTAAGATTAAATTTTGAATCGCCACTCCAGTGTGGTGTGAAAGAAAAGAGAATTCATTGGTTGTCACCAGATTTTTATTCAACATTTAAAATGCAACAATTACTAATAGGTTATAATTAGTATATTTAAAGTCCGAGAAAGGCATTCCGATTTGCGAAAATCAAACCGAAATAGATATTTTGAGTGTTATGATCCCTGATCTATTGCGTCCATCACCTAAACACGATTTAAATAAATCGAAAACAGATTTGCCGCTTAGGAGAGATTTAACTATAAATGATCTGTATATATGATTAGTACAGATTTTAGATATTATACATTGTTTTAAGCCATAACCAAGTGAAAAGATTTCTCAACGGCTTTAGGGTGTGACAATCACGTACACAAATGTGGCAAACAAAACGCACAATGTGAGATAGAAGTAAAACTTCAGATGATATTGCTGATCCAGTCTTCTCATGAGTTCTCGAAATTGCTGCATTGGACCATTTGGATCGCTTTGCTTAATATGGGAACGGATTTGTGGTCTGGCCAGGGGTGATGAACGCTTGCGTGCATCCAGCTGACGCGAAAATTGGCTCACATACGGGGATTCAATGGTGTTGCCGCCTGGCGATCGACGCTGATGGGTATGAATCTCCTGCTCCGATTCGCTGTCCGTGTCCACGTCCATTGGCTGTGGTCTACTGTCGGGCTGATCATAGAAATCATTGAGCTGTGGATATAGTGTGTTCACTTGGTAAGTGGGCTGTAGAAGGCGTCCTCTGGCCACTCCGCTGTCTCCAACGGTCTGGCGCTGTCTCATCGCGAATGTGGGTGCAGCATTAAAATGAAATGGCGCCGCTGAGCCGCTGTACGTGTTGCGTGGCGACTCATGTGCCGGTTGCTCATTGATGGCGTTGGAATAGCTGGTTGAGTTCAGCTGTGTTTGGGTCAGACTTTGCCTTGACAAGCCTGGGGCATAGGAGCGTTCAATATGTGGCTGATACACGGGCAGCGTCTGCATTGACGGCGATGCCACCTGTGGCCGATGATATGTATAACTTTGGGGTAGATCTACTTCCTCCTCCTCTTCCTCATATTGTGGCTGATGCGGCTGCTGCACTTCGCGCACATAAGAAGTAGTCACCACACCGGATTTGGTCAACGAAACCGAGCGACGCAGACGCGGATCATCACGTTTGACGCTGGCCGTACTGTACCCTTTACTGTACTGATGGTAATCATCATCCTCTGACTGTGAGCCCACATCCGAAACAGTTGTTGTTGTTTCAATGGAGCGCATCGACGCGTTATCCAGGGGATAGTATTCGCTGGGCGTATCAGCAATTGTGCGACGACTGTTGTTGTTGTTATTATTATAGTTGCTGTTGTTGTAGCTTGGAGTTTTAGCTGCTGCAATTGTATTCCTCTTCTTGCTTGCCTCAGCAGATGGTGTCGGCTTACTGTTCTGTACTATTGTGGGCTCAACATGTTTAGGTGCCTTCTTTGTTGCAGCTGCACTTTTTTTTTTGTTCAATGGAACGCCTGAAATTGCAGCGTGCAAGCGACGCAAAATAACCCGGCGACTCGAGTCAGTTACTGGTATATTGGGCAGACCATATTCCAGGCATTTCACATGCAGCTCCCTGTTTGTAAGCATCTCCAGATAGGATAGTTCCGACATGTTTGCGTCCACTTGCGAAATTTGTTTTGGTGTATAAAAATAGCGATGTCGTCACCGTTGGAAATGTGAATGACCTTCGTTGTTACACAAAACAAATAGTTAGTATTCAAATATACACGTCACTTATTTATTGCAATTACTCACAAGGATTAATTATTGGAATTAATTTTATGATTTTCACAATAAAATGACGCTTTCGCTTGAAAACAACTTTTCATCTGCCTGTTCAAAAACATACTAATCGCCGAGTGACAAATAATACTCGATATTGAGCTGGCATTTCAATAATTATCGATAAAGTTGCAGCGTTTTGCCATCCCTGGTTACGTGCCTTTCTATCGACCCAAAAATCACCACAACAAAACAATTGTAACTTTGTTTTTTCGCCAAATTAATTCGTGTGCCGTAAACATGTCGCTAACAATGCGAATTTTCACAGCATCGCGCCATGGTTAGTGTCTAATTATCGTATGCATCCAATTAAATTAAACAATATTAACAATTGTTAATTTTATGAGGTTATGTAACCTTATGTCATAGTAAAGTAAAGCAAAAATTGCCACTGCTCGGATAATTCTTGATGTGCCGGATACAATATAATGATAGAAATATGATTTGTATGCAGGTCAGCGCATGTTCGGCACTACAGGCGCACGTATGCTGGCTGCCCAGAAAGCCGAACCCAAAGACATCGTTGCCGTTCCCAAGGGCTACATATATGTGAACAACAAGGAGCTGAGCATGGAATTTGAGGATATCACAGATCGTGCGGCAACCACAATGTTCTTTGGCGAGCTCTTTCGCGGTTTTGCCGTTACGCTGGCGCACATCTTCAAGGAGCCGGCGACGATTAATTACCCCTTCGAAAAGGGGCCACTGAGTCCGCGCTTCCGTGGTGAGCACGCCCTTCGTCGCTATCCCAGCGGCGAGGAACGTTGCATTGCCTGCAAGCTGTGCGAGGCCATTTGTCCCGCCCAGGCAATCACCATTGAGGCCGAGGAGCGAGCCGATGGCAGCAGGCGCACTACACGATACGATATTGACATGACCAAGTGCATCTACTGCGGTTTTTGTCAGGTAATCTATTATTCTATATGTCCAGCAAGAAATTTAACAATTTTAATTATGTTCCACATTTAAATGTTGCAGGAGGCCTGTCCCGTCGATGCGATTGTTGAGGGCCCCAACTTTGAGTTCTCGACAGAGACACACGAGGAGTTGCTCTACAACAAGGAGAAGCTGCTGTGCAATGGCGATAAATGGGAATCGGAAATTGCCTCCAATCTGCAGGCCGACCATTTGTATCGTTAACTTTTATTGTACATATTAGAATTTTTGTTTAGGATGATTTTCCAATTAAAGATCGTCGTTGCCCCGTCTTCATTAACAACGTAAATATCGTTATCTTCTGTGTTTTTATATATTATTTGTTGTATTATCTTTATCTTTATGCTCGGAGAGTTTGGATAGTTTTTAGTGGGCGGCTAAGCGAATAACACTGTACTTGTATATTAATAAAAAAAACATCGCCGTAACTAAACAATTCAATTCGATATTGGAAGAAAGCACTTGTAAATTCTTTACTAATTTCATATTTGTTTATTGGCCCGGGCCGGCCAGGCTCTTCTCCATGAACTTCTTCTTGGCAAAGCAAGTCCACCACTTGTTTGGTCTGCCATCTTCTGTGCTGAAGACTTTCTCCACAACACGATTGCCGGTTTCGTGGCGCAGCTGCAACAGATACTGACGCATCAGATCGGCATCCTGTGCGGTTTGTGGCTTGGCGTACACAGAGTTCAATGGGAAACCAGCGTCGCCTGGTATATCGAACTTGGAAATGGCCAAACTGTACATCTCCTGCTGGCCCTGAGCCTTGCTGGTGATGCGTGTCAGTCGCTTCAGGCATTCAGTTATATAAAGCGTAATATAGATGAGCACTCGATCCACTTCCGACTGTATATGTATTAAAAAAATATATATTAATGATGCATTTGTAAGAACAAACTTCCACCTGAATCTGGAGCTGACCTTCACTTCGTAGGTGCGAAAGAATACATTTGCTTTGAAGAAATAAAGTGACTCATCAATAATGTCGCTGTCCACATTGGCACTTGGGGCTGGTCCGCGTACCTGGGTACGCAATGGCAGTATAGCCATGTTGCCCACCTGTTGGCGAAAGTCCTTGATCTGTGAGTGGTACGCCTAGAAATGGGTAAACAGATTTAATCAATTTCAGTGCGTGAGGTCCGGTCTTCAAATAAAAAACTAAGCACATTGTCACGAAGCGCCCGAGTCACTTATTCACAAATAAGGGAAACAAGCTAAAAAAAAACTCACCGGCATTTTGAGATTTTTATAGTTAGCTTTCTTTAATTGAAATTGTTTATGTTTTCAGTAAAAGATATATATATATATCGCCAAGCCCCCACTAGAAATAATACTCAGTATGAACGCGCTCCACCCATTCACAAATACCAAAACTAAAAAATACCAAAAACTACTAGTAAAATGATAAATCGATAACATATGAATTGGTATTTTCATTTGTAAGAAAATCGATCAGAGTGAGAAGAGGAAGCAGACCGCGAAATTAGTCCATCGATGTGCGCAAGTTTAAAAGTTGTGCCCTTTGTGAAATTCGAATGAATCCTCCAGCAGCTGGACGTGGAAAATCTAGGTTTGTGCGCGGCAGAGCACGTGGCGGCGGTGGCTATCGTCCATATTTTTATTTTCGACGCAATGGCCAGGTTATACCTGCAGGCGGCAATCGGCCAGACTCGGCTGAAAGAGGTGCAGCTACTCAACCCAGAGGCTGGAATCGATCCCGCGTCGATGGCGATTCACGGCGCAAACGTCGCCCAAATGTTGCCTTGGATTGCAGTTATTTGCGTCCTGAAAACTACGTGGCTCCCGAGGATGCGCTGCAGGTGCGCAGCCTGCTCGTGGACAATCCCAGGAGTTGTCCTGGATGGCGGCTGTACTTTCTACGCGAGCAGTATGTCGCGGACAGTGAGTTGGACAAGCGCATTGTGGCCGTGGAGGCGCACTACCAGCGCAATCCCCAAAAATATGATCTGGTCCTGATACGCCAACGTGGCTGCTTTCACCTGCCGGCCGCAAGCATTGTGCACGACGAGCAGCTGAAGGCAGTGTGGCCAACACTAGTCCAGGACTTGCAGCAGCAACCACTGCGCACGTTGTCCACGCTTGCGCTCGCAATGCACACGGTCGTCGTTAACAATTGCCTGGATATTGCCGAAGAGGCGGCAGATAGCATCTTCCCATTGGTATCCACCAAAGATACATATGTGCCACGCACTGGACGCACACGTAAGATCTACGTCCGGCCCGACGACTTTGTGCCTGTCGAGCTGATCAGCCAGATAACTCACGCCCGGGTGGACAGTCTGTTTGCGGTGCGCGGCATTGTGAGCAGTGTGGGTGAGCCCACATACAGTCTGGCCTGGCACGCCTTTCGCTGCACCCGCTGCCAGACGGAGCAGTCACTGCGACAGCGTGGCAACTTTACGCCCCGTCCCTATCACTGCCTGAAGACACAGTGCAGCGCCAAGGATAATTTTCTAGCGCTGCGCAACTCACCTTATACGCGGATGGGCGTGCGTCAGATTATTAGGCTGGAGGAGTCCAGTCTATCGCTGCTTACGGACTATGATAACACGTTGCCCGGCCAATTGGACATTGAGCTGCGACACGAGCTGGTCGATGCCGTTCATGTGGGTCAGGAGATAATTGTGACAGGCGTGCTGAAGCTGCGCTCCCTGTGCGATACCAGCGAAGAGTACACGACTGCCACTGCTGGTGGTGATTTGCAGTCGTACCTGCGGGCGTGCAGTGTGCAGCAGGCGAGGCACGTGAAGCGTGAGTTTAACGAACGGGATCTGGAGGCCATTTCCATGATCAACGCGGATACGAATAGCTTTAAGCTATTGGTGCAATCGCTGGCGCCGGAACTGCACGGCCACGAAATGTCGAAGGCTGCCTGCCTGCTCTCCCTACTGGGTGGCAACATAAATGTGCTGCTTGTCGGTGATCCGGGCATTGGCAAGTCGCAGCTGCTGCAAAACTGTGCACAAATCACCGAACGTGGCGGCCACATCAGTGGCAAGCGTGCTGCCCAAACTGCCAATCAATTGGGCATCACGTTTAGCGGTCGCAACAAGCGAATTATGGACGCTGGTGCTCTGATCTCGGCCAGCAGTGCGGGTCACTGTCTGGTCGATGGCGTCGATAAGTTGGCCTCCAAACAGCAACTGTTGCTGCAGTGCATGCAGTCGGGACAACTTAATATACCGCTGCCGGGCGCCTTTGCAGCCTTCACGGCGCAACCCTCGATTATTGCCTGCGCCAATCCTCAGCGTGGTCAATACGATCAGTCACGCTATTTGCTGCAGAATATACGCATCACAGCTGCCCTGCTCAAGGAGTTCCATTTGGTTTACGTGCTGCTGGACAGACCCTCGACCACACGCGACATTTCTCTCACGGAGCATGTGCGTGCCCTTCATGCTGGCTCCAAGAAACGCTCACAGATCGCCGCACGCTATGCGCTCAAGCCAAAATTGAGTGAATCCATGTGCCAGAGCAGCTTCTATGATGCGCCTGTGGAGCTAGCGGATAACCAGGATAGCATCTTGCAGCAGGACTACGATTTGGATAAGCGTCTGGAATACAATGTAGTAGAGGATGCGGAATTGGATCTGTTGCCGCTCATTCTGATCAAGAAATTCATTGCCTATGCGCGTCAGAGTGTGAAACCGGTGCTCAACGATGCGGCTGCCAGTGCCATCAAGAGGCACTTCCTCGAGTTGTGTCGTCGGAGCGAAGCGGAGCACGACCAGAGCCAAATTGGCATGGGGTGAGTGAAGAATATATACCATGTATATATATATACATTAACTTGAAGGAAGATGTCCAATGGCGACAATGTCACAGTTTCAAATCCCAAAAATAAAGTCATTAAGCAAAGTAATTTTGAGGCTGTTAATTATAAGTATAAATTGATCATAGTTTTAATCATATTTATTGTCCCTTTTGGCTTTATTTAAGTTAATTTACTTAGGTTTACGAACTTACAATAAGAGATTTTTAGCATAAGTTATGAGTTTAGTTTATCAACGATGACAATTGCTTAAAGTCGACAAGAAAACAGTAGGTTAAAACAATTCAATTCAAACTTTTCAGACTTCTCCAGTGTAAGAAAGCTTTTGATTTATATTCTACCAAGTTGCTTTTTGAAGCTTTAAATACTTTCACTAGTTTGCAACTGTTTTTGTAGCACAACTCTGAAAGCTTCTGCAAATGGAAATCTTGACAAGCTTTAAATCCTAAAGCTGTTTTCCGTGTCAATTTGAAAGAAATGTCATCGTCATATTAGTTTACAAAGATTTAGCTAAGATTAGCGCATCAGCTTAAGACACGATGATACAGGTAACTCTACAAATATCGCCAGCACCAGAGAACTCAGATACGAGCCGCACAATACATAGAAAATGTAAGCAAACTGAAAATAAATGCGTAAATAATAATTAGTTGATTAAGTCGGGGACAGTTGAGAAACATTAACTTACCATTGTACCCGTTCCAAAGAAAATGGGCTCACGTACAGTGGCAAGTGCCACACGTGCCACAAGCAGGTGCACCATGAAGGCGCCATAGGTGAGGCGACCCAATACACGGAAAATGGGCAGGCTGGCAAATTTGCGGAAAATCCCTGGAAATAAGCCATAGAAATGGTAAACAATAAAATGTATTTCGAATAAATCAGTAATTGCAATTACAAACAAGTAATTGCTGGTAATTAAAGTAATATGAACTGATAGAAGCACAAGAAATGTAATTAATTAAATAAAACTAAATTACTTAAAAGTACTCTAGAGGTAAAAGTTTGGATTATATTTGTATTTCATTAAAGCTGTACTTACATCCAACCTTTGCGGCCATGCCCACAAAGAATATGCTGAGTCCAAAGGACCAAAAGTTGCGCTGCACGGTCGCATAGATAGCGCCCCAAAATCGAGGCGTCTCCGTATAGTAATGCTGATACAACGGATGCGCCGTGAAAAGCCACAAGACACCAACTGGGATCAATGCGAACCAGAGGATTTGAAAACTGCGCAACTCTCTCAACTTATACTGCTTCAAGGACAACTGATCGTAGACAAGGGCAGCGAGGACACCACAGAAATAGGAGCCAAAGTTCATTTGAAAGGATGTGTAAAACTCGGTGAACTGACGATTCCCAATAAACGAATCCTTTTGTGTTCTATTAACGAATCACAAATGAAAATTGTGGACACTATTGCTCGAACTGTTCAGCCACTTACTGCGGCGAGGCCAGAAAAATGGGATAATAGTCCAGGGCATAGGTCAGCACACCGGGCAGAAGCATAAAAGTGCCCAGCACGATGCCATAGATCTGCTTGCTCCAGCGTCCGAAACGATGTCCCAGCATCAGCACCAGCAAACTCACGGCAAATGATTGCGTATCCGATGCCAGATACCAGCCCTGAAGCAGGCACTGCAAATTGATAAACGTAAGGATTTAAGCCATATGAAATCCCAGCTAATTCCGTAGCTTTACTTACCCGCTCATCGGTGCCGACAAAATTGTTTATATACAGCAAATTGGTCCACCAGTTCTTGCGGCAGGCCAACTGTTCCCGCTCGAAAATGTGCCGCCAGAGCGGTCCGGCGGCATTCTCAAAGTAAACGCCGCTCAGCAGCAGGACGAAGGCATAAAGCACAGTCAGGCGTATATAGCGAAACACATTGATCTGGACAAAGAGTACAACATAATTGGCCAAGCGCCACTTCTCCGGCTTGCGATCCTCTACGGCGCGAGTCACCGCCAGCCAACTGACGGTCAGCAATAAACCACTGGACACAAAGAAAGTGACCGTAATTAGTGAGCCAGAGATGAGCAGCGTTCCAGCTGCCGTATGCAGCATACGCTCAGGATCCTGGGGATTGCTAATGGCGCCCTCATAGATTACCCAATTGGTGTGCGCAAAGATGACCAGAAACATGGAAAAGAACTTGAAGCAATCGAGAAAACGCAACTCGCGTCCAATCTTGCCATTTGGCTCCTGATTCAATCGATACCAATTCCTAGCTATGCTGAACGTGAGCAAAACCCGGGTAACCAGACTACGTGGTGGGGTCTTGTAATGATCGCGCTCCTTCAGCATTTTGTCGTGACGGTGACGCTTCAAATGCAAGTCGATGAGACTGCTCACGCAGGACAACAGGATTAGAGCACAAATCACAACATATACAGTCAGATTCCAGGGATCATCTATAAAGGAGACATTTAAGAAGCGGAAGAGAGGGAGTGACTAAAGTGAGATAGAGAGAGATAGCGAGAGAGAGAGAGAGAGGAAGTGCTACTTACTACTAAATCTATTCATATCTATTCCAGTATATTTCTCTAAACATAAAAAGTCTAAACCAATCTTTTAACTATCATGTTTATAATTTGAGTTTTTCTGAAACGTAATAATTATTTCTCTTAGTTCCTTTGAAAACATTCGGATTAATTTTGAATTCGTGTAAGCTTTCCGAAATATCTTTAGTAAATTCCGAAATTATTGGCTTTATTAAGCTTTTAAGAGTTGCTTAAATTTTCTCAAGTTTGGTCAACTATATCACATTTATATTATTGTCGGTCGATCGGTTAAAAATGTTATCTTTATAATGAGTGTTCAATATCATAAATATATCAGTTATGTGACATGTGTTTGCTTTGGCACTGCAAACCTTTTCATATTATTTTGATTAATATCAGACGGCATTTTCATGCCACACGCTGGCTGCATAACTTACCTTCTTCGATGACCTTGCCGGCTGTGGCTGTCGTATCACAATACTCGATCACACTCTTGGCTTGGACTCCAAAGTTGAGCTGCTGCAAGCGCCAGTTGATGCAGGCGTTGGTCAGCTCATTAAAACGTGCTCGATTGCCTGCCTCGGTGGCAAACAGTTCCAGATACACATTCACCTGCAGCGACAAATGAAAACAGCACATAAAACATGTATCATCGAGTTGCCATCAAATTGGCCATTAAATAAGTCAGAGTCTTAGAAATGAAAGGAATGCATCTGCTACCACCACTTCCAGCTCACATTTTGTGTAACCTAAAAATGTAAAACTGCATTTCCAAGTTTGGCTACTGCAGCTCGATCGTATCATTTATGTGGGCTGTGGATTTACCCAATTGCTGCCAAAGATCATAACAGCTTCGCATTGATCTTAGGCCTTTAAAATAATTAAACAGAATCGTTTCAAATACTAAGTAGCCCTACAAATTGAAATAAAATCTGTGCTAAAATGTGTTGAAGTCAAGATGGTCCATAATATTTGTTCAAGTATTTTCTACAAATTGTTGTTTTCATAAATTCATCACTCCCTTTGGTTAAGCGTAGGTTTGAGTTGAATAAACTGTGGGTCTGTTAATAACTGCGCGTTTCTCGTTTTTATTTCATTGCAATGGGGTATTTGGACTTTATTAAACAGTTTGCTGCATATTGTTAAAGGAATGGGGATATTAATTCTATGTATAAATAAACCATAATCGATTTTAAATTTTTATACCAATATATTTGTAAAGTTAAGTAAGTTATCTTATAAACCCGCTTTTGTTTAACACATCTAATATCGAAAATTGAAATTGAATTAAGAAAAGAGAATCGACTCTCAAAACTACAAAAGCGTAAAAATAATCCGAGCTGTCCAAAAACTTTGTCTTTCTCAGTTTGTTTATTTTTTTTTAATTGTGATATTTCCCTTACGCATTTGCTTTTATTGTTGTAAGTTTGAACGGATTTATTTTTCATTCAAAACTTTGTTTTCGTTCGTTTGGTTTTTTGGTTTAGCTTTGTTTGTTTTGTTACTTTTTAAATGGAAGCTGTGAGAGATTTTGAAATCTTTGTTTTTCTTTTGGGTGCAACTGGCGGCAGTTAGGCAAAGGCGAAAAATTAAATTGAATTAAATTGCTTGCAATCGTAAAATGCATTGAAAACCGATTTTCAGTATACAAAAAAAAATTTAATGGTGTATTTTGAATAAATTTTCATAGGGTTGTGTTAATTAATTGAATCCAAACAAAGAGGCTGGTAAATTATCATTGAACCATCGAAATAGACAGAAGCTGTTAATTTGTATGTTGTTATTAATTACCAGAAATTGTTGAGGATGCTTCATTGCCAATGAGTCATAAGCCTATTGGCAATGAAATTGAGTTTTCTATCGAAATAGAACACATTTCTGATATGCTCACCTTGGCATTGTCTGTGAGTAGACCCGCCTGTAGCTGCTTCATGGCATTTGCATCCAACGAAACCAGTTGCTCTTCGCATTTGTGCAAACAGAGTCCGAAGTTGAGCTGGCGATGATCGAAGTGATGCCGGTCATACTTGGAGATTTCCTCGATGGCACGCCACGCCGCTGACGAGTTGTTCGGCTGGACCTCGGCGCGCACGAAGCAATAGGTGGCTGGGTTGCCTCCGCCTTCGGCACCGCTGCCCTTTCCGAACTCGTGCAGGCAGCGATCGTAGTCATCAAAGTCGTATAGCTGTGGCATCTGGTAGTATTGAGTCACTGTTTATATGGATGTGGATGGGTATGAGTGCACATCATTAAGGAAGCCAAACCAAAAACTAGTTCTGATGCAATAAAATCCTCGCATATTAACCGAGAACATTTAACTTTAACTAGCTTTTTCTTCTCGTCTGATTGGCCAAGTGAAAGGAAACTTGTTTGCCGACCAGGAAACTGGAACTGCGATTTGGGGTCCTTAACCTTTGCGTAAGAGAAAATTCTAGAAGTTGCCACACACGCGTACTGAAAACTCTTCAGACACTTGAACTTGAAATTTAATTAAGCTATTGATGTGAATTTCAAGCACAACTAAACTATTTAACACGGAAGTTCGACTTAATTTGGAAATAAAATGACTTAGGACACGAATTTGAAGCTATAATTACTTTAACATTCATCATTTAATATTAAAGTATTTACATATTATTTATTTATTCTTCCATTCGATAAGACCTTGAACTTGAAATTAAACACTTGAATATTTGTTGTTATGTTATGCTCTTTAGCAAAGACATTTTTTCGCATTTACAAACAGAACAGAGGACTTAGGACAAACTTGATCTTGAATTTGAAGTCCTTGACCTTAACCGGATTTAATGGTCATTGAAGAGAAATTTGTTGAATTCGCGCTTGAACGCCAAACAGCATTCCTAAGTACTTCAAATTTTTGCAAAATAATTTCGCAAATTTGTTTACTTTGCGATGTTCAAATTCAATATGTAAATAGTGCCAAGTCATCATCATGTTGCTGTCTCGAGTAGAATGGTTCGGAACATTTTGCTTCTTTCATTGCGATGTGTGTGGGTTACTTTGTGTTCTGACATCGTAGTAAATGAATCATATATTATAATTACTGCATTTGGGAAACTTTTAATAAAGCATGTTGTGCAAAATAAATGGCATAAAGCATGTCGCCTACTTTGAGGTGTGATTTTTTGATTAGAACCCAAAATGTGTCGTAGGCCGTCAGTCATTTCGCGCAATAAACAATTTTTAAATGGAATGTTTTTCTTGATTGTTAGCTTAAGCTTTTAAGACAATTAAGATGCAAATCGCTTTGATATTTCTAGTGCGGATCTGTCAAATCATCGTTGGTCGTCATAAATCTTTCATTGTCACTGTTTTTAAGTAATGAAAGCAATTGAAGATGAATTATGATTGTGTGCATCATGGGACACTTTTTTAATTGCATTTCTTTCCATACCCTTCTAGAAGGTATTCAAATTTTTGTCGTCAAATATTCTTGATCACCATTACTAGTCGAGGCGATATAGCCATGTCCTTTTCCTTTAATCTGCTGTTTCAGTACACATTTCGTAGCCAGTAACCGATCGGTTCACTATATCATATAACTGCCAATAGGTCGAAAGATATTTTCTTGTATTAACAAATTTTTGTGTTTACCAAAAAATCTAATATTATCCTTTCATTGTATCTATAGGTGACATTTGACTCCTGTCTACAAGGTTATGTTTACATTGGCGTTTCTAAGAAAGGCTTTATTTCTTCTTGATGTAGGGATTGTATATTTTCTTTAGATGCTTTTACATCTATGGTCAGTCATCATCATTTATGCAAATTGGTAAAAAGGTGATGTGTTCTTCATATTATTTATGCCTATAGAACCGTAAACAAAATTAGTAGTGGTGTAAATCCCAGTTTATCCAAAAACGAAAACCAATTAAGGGCCAGCTATTAAAACCTGTAAATTTTACCTACGAAATGCGTCTGTTCTCTGACATCTACTGACATTTAAAATGGCTTAATTAATTATACACCTAAACTAATCATTTGCTTACGCATTACAAACCGTAAAAGTAAATCGTATTTTCCCTTCAAAACTGACAACGTTTTCACGATCGTATTAATGTCCCGACAATAGTCTTAAGTAATTGAAAACAAAACTGTTGAAATAAAGTGTGAATCTTGAATGCTGATTTGCATATAATCTTATTATATCACTAGTGAATACGGAATTCAAAACAACACAAATGAGAATGTGAACTTACTGAGAATCATTTGATGGATTACATTTAAATTCGATGACTTGGCGCGCGAATTGTCGCGTGCAGCCACAAAACGAAATGCAGTTTAGTGAATGACAGCAAAATACAATAGAAAAACAAAAACAATTTCCTGCTTAATACTTATAATTAAGACCAACTGATAAATAGCACATTTAAACGGATTACTTACTGTTCATCTCGAAGCATTGCACGGCTGCCAGGAGGACGCTCAGCGAGATAACTAGCTTTAGTGTCGACATGATCTGGTGCATATCTTTTGCCTTACACCCAACAACAATTCAAATTGTTTTTGCTGCAGTTTTTCGAATATTTGGTGAGATACTCTTTAGACTTGCGACACCCGAACAAAAATCTCTGTTGCCGCTGGCCAACTTAATATTTCGACAACGACAACCTGAGCATTAAACAAAAGCCGCTTCAATGCCAACTGTTTGGAAATTGCGCTCAGCTTTCAATGCGCTTTTCCACAAATCGAAACCGTAAATATAAAACGAAACTGCACCGCACCGAACCCAATCGAACCGTGCACGTCAACGTGCGAGCCGAGAATGAAAATACGAAATTTATAAATTCAAATGAAAGGTGCGTGCAAGCGCTGTGCGCTGTTTGGGATCGATTTGAGCACTGTCTCCCTCGCCAAGCAGCCAAGCCGCCAAGCTGCCAACCAACAACCCGACTGGCCAGTCCAGCATCTGTGTAATATTAATGCTTTTACGTCTTGTGTTGATCATGTTTCAAAACTCTTTAGCTGCCATCCATTGGAACATGTTCGATGTTCGCCCACATGCAACTGATTTATTTATTAACTATTATTATTACAACGAATTAAACTGCGGACACGTAACCATAAATGGTGTAAGCCAGTAGGGCTCATCAGAAGTTCTAACATCCAAATATGTTTACAGATTGCCAAATAAAATTAGCATAGCACGCAAATATTCTGGGAAAAAACATTTAGATATTTGCAGACTCATGTAAAATACAAAAAAACAAGTTGTTTTTCATTTGGTTCTAATATCATCATCATTCAGCCTTAAGCTGCAAGAATCAAAAGCTGAAGCAAAATTATAAATAATTGATATATGTAAATGGCACTTGTCCACATCCTAATGGAAGAAAATTGTACAAAATCAAACTACTACTTACTATATATACTATTTACTTTTTCTAAAATTCTTCGTTTTGTTTTTTGTTTTTGTTTTGTAGACAGCTGCTTGGGCTGATCAGTCTCGCGGAGGCACGTGCCCGGTTGGATCTGTCCGAGGTTGTGACGCCGCTGCACGTGCGCGATGTGATTGCTGTGCTGACGGAGAGCATGGCCCAGACACGCTTGGGTGCGGGTCAAACGGATGCACCTGTGAGCAGCTCCGGCAAAAGTTCACAGTTGCAGAGTTTCGTGCGCATGATGCAGTTGAAGTCGGCGGCGTTGGGGCGGCGCATCTTTGAGTTCGAGGAGCTGAAGGAGATGGGCACGCGAGCGGGCATCATGACGGGCATTACGAAGCTGGTGGAGATTGCAAACATTGGCGGCTATTTGCTCAAGAAGGGTGCAAACATGTATGAAGTTGTGCCCGACTAAACAAATTGGTATGAAAATATTTACACAATGTACGTTGTTAAACTAATAATGCATTAAACTTTGTTCTCTGCTTGTTTTCGTTTCTTTTGTTTTCAATTTTCTAGAACCAAATCTTGATGGAAGTACCTTATTTAATTTCAATCAGTTCGCTTAATAAATATTTACTTAACATACACTTATGCGATAATCATTCTTATGTAATTTAATTTGTTTGCACAATCTGGGCGTGCCGTATTAATACCCAATAAAATAAAACCAAACAACATTCTAGTTGAGTTTTATTTATTTATTTATTATTATTTGTTTTATTTATTATTAACACAGTCAGATGCACAAATTGTTGGTAATTGGATGTTGCTCTTAGCGACAAAATTAAAATTACAGCAGTCATTCGACTGTAATCGAAAATTGTTGCATTCCTGTTAAGTAATTAAAAAATGTGTGGCATATTTTAGGGCTTTGCAAAAAGGAAATTTTAAAAATCGATTTTCCGTTGATAATAATTTTAATTTCACAATGCTTTTATAATTTTATACGGTTTTTATTTTAGATTTTGTAGCACACGTTTAGGATGAGTACTAATAACGATTACAAATCTTGCATACTTTTAGGATAACTAAACTTTTCTGCTGTTAGTATGCTTTTAGGCATAATGTAATAAATATCAGTATTGGAATTAGGGTGAACAATACATTATGTATTATATATTGTCTGTTTAGTCATTCTATGTTGGAAACTATATTCAGAAAATCAATTTTATGTTTTAAAAAATGATTTTATTTCCCTTAATTAAAGGATGTTTGTCTTTTTATTGTTTTATACAAATTACAAGGCCAATAACTATTTGTAGTTTAAGGATACGCCGATAGTGCTTGAAATGGCAAACGCAGTTTTTTTTTCTTATTTTTTGTAACCCTCTTAAGGAAATGGCTCGATTATTACTGAAAGAAAGGTGAACAAAACAGCCGTTAACTGTAGTTAGAAATGCAAATATCCCCTTTGAATTGAATGTAAAACAATTTTTTGTATCTATGCAGTTGGTTTGAATTAATACTTTATTCATTTTGTATTCATAAAATTACATAGAATGTGTCATGCTAATTTTTCAATACATTATCAAATATAAATATATTTATCAATATGCTTAGTGTTTAATATCAAACTCATAAAATGTCTACGTACTTTTGTATGATTTTGTCTGGTTTGAATGCATTTTTGTTTTCGGTACATGTGAGGCTTTACATTTAGTAACTATGGTATTTTTTGTATAAGTTTTGTATAACAAAGATTCGTTTATGTTTATGAAGTACAATACACTACAGGTAATGGCTTAGCCTAAATGGGTTAGTTTTGATTTCGTATTAGAGCTATCTTTTACCGTGCCTTTGAGAACTATGTACAAAACCGAAGCGAACAGGCGCCTTAAGATTACATGCTAATGTGTCTAAAGTGTATTGGGTTTAGGGTAAGTATAAATGTACTTCAATATTTGGCTTAACTTTTTTTTTGCTATCCAACACGTCTGTTAAAAATCTTATAATCTAAGTGTCTTTCATTAATTGAGATATTATTCATAATGTTTATGTCAATTTGCTAAATAAGCATACATTAATTGCTGTTTTGCTAAAATTTTAGGCTAGTCAGTCTAAATAAATTAAATAGAAGGCAACACAAATTCAATATTTTTAGCTACAACGAAACAATTTTTTCGCCAAAGCGCTGGATAAATATTTGCTGCTAAATATTTATGTGCTATAAGTATAATTTAGCTAAGTTTAAACAGGCAGATGATCAAAAATAAATATATAATAATAATTTATATAAATTATAAACGGTTTAGTTGCTGCCTGTTGTTCTTAAGCAAAACTAAATATATTCGAGAAAAAAAGAAATATCCCTCATAAAATGTTGAAACTATTTCAGTTAACAAAAAGTTGAATCTGCTTAAGTTTAGGAATTTGATATATAAAATATTGCACAATATTTGGAACGAAGTAATTAATAGTGTTGCTGTGGTTGTGTGTGACAGGTGCTTTAGCGGAATGCTGATAGGCAGTAAAATGGGCTAACGCATATACATCAGATATATGCTTTAGGTATATGATCTGAATATACAAACTATGCTATTTGTTTTGTACTTTAAAATGTGTAAGACGCGGAAAACATAAATAGAAAGAGAGAGAGAGAGAGAAGGGAGAAGAGAGAGTTGTGTGTAAATAAAGCTAAATAACATTCACTTTTTCGTACTTAAAATTAAAACAGAAATAAATACAATAAATACATGTCTGCTATCGATTTAGTTACAAATGAGATACAACGCGAACTTAAAGGCTACTACTACTAGCTGGCTGCCCGGCGGGATTTACAGTTCACCGCTAAAGGTGAGATTAAAGGTGCGCAGCTCCATTGGCTCCAGCGTGATCTGTGCCAGTGATCGCAGGCTCTGCGGCTGCATATGCTTTGGCAGTCCCGTCAAACTGGTCGCCTCAATGCTCTGCAGGCGCAGCTCACCAAAGCGTACGGCGCCGAGGCCATTGCCCGTCAGCGGACAGAGACTGCTCATGTCCAGCTGCTGTGAGCTGACGCTGCAGTCGTAGCCCTGGCGATGCAGCACCAGCAGTGCCGATGCGGACGGGAACAGCTGCAGCTGGGGTTCGGAGAGAGTGCGGAGCGTCGTCAAATGCACATCGCAGGGCAGTGCTCCGTGGGGCAGAAGGCGGACGAGCGGCTTTAACGGCGCTTGTGGCTGCTCAAAGTTGCTCAAGAAGTAGAGATTCGGCGGGTAGCGCAGCCCGTTGGCCAGTTGTTGTGCCTGCAAGCTGAGCACCTTATAGCTGGGCGGATTCTCCACCTGCTGGCCTGGTGGCATGTCCTCCACCAGCAGCCAGAACTTGTGACGGGTCAGGCGGCTGTCGACAACGCCTTCGCCCATGCCGCGATAATCATCGTATAAGGTGCGACGATCCAACATCACCTCCAGCTGGCCGGGCTCATAGCTGGCGGCGCCCTGCGCGTGCGTCGTCAGCAGTGTCAGGCGCAGGCGCGCATCCTGCAGGAATGCGGCCGATGTAATCGGAAAATAGTTGCCCTCAATGCCAATGGCGGGCACCTTGATGCGTCTGTTTTGAAAGAGAAAATAGAGTTAAGATATATGTAATCCTTTGATTTAGTTATCGACAAGAATTCATTTATCAAAGATAATACTTGATCTAAATAATGTGAACAATAGATCACTTACTGTTGAAATTGAAAACCGTTCTGATCGCTATAGAAAACGGGCAATTCGGGCACAATCGTATCAGTTGGCTCCTTGAGCGGATCATGCTGTAGCGGCGCAGGCGCAATATTATCAATGTTCGTTACCAGTCGCATAAAGAGCTCCGTTTCCCGGTTCTTTGGCGGTGGCTCAAAGTCAATGTCATTCTCTATATAGATGGCGGCATCCAAATGGCTGCGCGTATTGAAAATACGCACAGTGTGCGCCATGAAGGGTCCGTAGATAACAGTCACATCGCTGGCAATGGGACCGGAGGTAATTATAATTCGCACATCCTCATACTGTTCGAGCACATCCCGTTCTGCCTCGCTCTGCTCGGGATCTGTTTTGAAGAGGTAAGCACCGGAATGGAACTGCGCACTGCGATAGGCGGCAAATTTGATAGCGCACTGCATCGGTTGGAGCAGCTTCTGTTGCTTGTTCTTGCGCGTGATGGTCTTGAGGAAGCCGCTCTTCTCATCAAACAGCAGCCGCATGCTGGGATTCTCCAATTGAATGTCACCTGAATTGAGATGAGACAATTAACGTGACAAATAAATAAATGATAATTCAAACTCTCAGCTTACCCGCTGGCTTCGCCTTTGCCTCAAACACCACCTCATTGGGTGCAACTGGAGTGGCAGAGCCCGCAACCGGATTGGCCTTTTCCGTGCAGTCATCACAGTAGATGGTGGCAATATTGCGCTTGTAGTTGAACTCATCCACCTGGACGCGATAGGTGGTCAGCGAGAGTGGCTCCAGTTCAGCAACAAACATGACTTCATATTGTCGCGTGGAGGTTCGAATGCGTCCAGCACTGCCGCTGTTCGACTGTGGCAGGGCATTGAATCCCTGCTCATAGACATCGGTAATGTTCCACACGGGATTGATCTGGATGTGTTTGAGTTCCACACCACGATCGTTGTAGATGCGCAAATTGGGCTGCTGGACACGTAGCGTAACAATCTCGATCCGTTTCTGAGTGAGTGCATTGAAGAGCACAAAGCTTGCTTCGGCATTTTTGGACAATAGCACAGTGGAGTCCTCTTCCCCGTCAGCAGTGAGCGTGGTGCTGGTTTCATCGCTGCTACCCGAAGTTGGATTCGCTAGCTGTATGGGCATTTTGCGTGGCAGCTTACTATAATTGTCCCGTTCGAATTCGCTGAGCAGAAAACCGTGCTCGTGTGAGCTGCCATTCTTGAGCAGCAGCTCTATGCACGACTCCTGCATTTTGACCATGTTCTGGGTGCTGTCGAACAGTCGCATTGCATAGTCACGCATCACAGCCGCCTTGGAGGTGCCCGTGATGGCATCGTGATGCTGAAATAGTCCCAGATTGCGTCTCGCGTGTATTATCTGCTCATAGTTCTTCTCATAGATCTTGATGGCATCCTCGTGCCGAGCCTGACGCGCCGTATTATAGGCAATCGTAAAGAGTATCTCGGCAGCGCGTAAATTATGCTCCAGCTCGGCGCTGAGCAGCTTATAGAAAGGCCGGGTGCTAAAGTATCCCGACCAGTAGGCGGGTCTGCCCTCTGAGAAGATGTCCGAGTAGACAAAGAAATCTCCCTTGAAGGTGGGAAATGACTTCTCCCCCATGCGTTCCCTTATCGCTGCAAAGTAATCGCTTGGCGTTCCAAATTTAATGTCCACATTGTACAGACGCTTGTTGGCCATTATGTGACTGATGAGTTTCTTGTAGTTTGTATACTGCTGATCCACCTCACGTTCCTTGTTGTATCGGAAATCATCGCCCACTGGGATTAGCGCCACATTGTGGGGAAAGAGCGAAGCGGTCCGTGCATATTGATCCAACAGTAATTGCGCCTTCTCCTCCACATTCTCGTCGGTAACGAATTGTGCCTTCAGCGAGTACTCCGTATATTCACCGGGAATTTTGCGAAAATCGAAATTTAGGCAAATGGAGGGATGTGGTCCACAAGAACCCTTTATGGAGTATATATCGAAGGGCATGTTGTGTGTGAGCAATTTTCCCTGACCCTTTGGGGAGCGCCAGTAGGGTGTCCATATGAAATCACCATTCTGTTGGCGCGCAAACCACTCCTTCCAGGCGTAGTGAATGCGTTGTATAATGGCGCCCTCGAATTGAGCACCGGACAGCAAATAGGGCACGGTGCTGCCATGTCCAAAGGGATCGATAGACCAGCCCACCTTGGGTGTGACATTTAAATTGTTTTTTAGCCACTGATGGCCCTCGATGAGCTGATCCAGCATCGGATAAATGTGTACATTCGCCTCATCTGTCATAACCCAACCGCCAGTTGTGATCTCAATGCGTCCGGAATTCACTAGACGTTTCAGTGCACGCTGCTTGGTGGGATGTGCCTGATCCCACCAGAGCTGTAGAAAACTAATCTCCGACCAGATAAATGTCATATCTTTATACTCCTGCATTTTGGTCACCAAAAGATTGAGTATCTGTCTAGAATCCGACTGGAAGTAGTTGAAGAACGTCTTTAGCCAACCGGGATCGTTGTGCGAGTGAGGCACCACAATGACCTTCAACGGTGGACGCTGTTTATCCTTGCGCTGTATTTCGTAGCGCTCCTCAAAGCCTCGATCCCAATACTCCTTGGATCGCATCCATTCAGGCTGGGCGGATAACAAAGAAATAGTCAATTTTAAATGGAGGAAATGAAAATCTTTAAGGCAGTAACTTGTATATTTGGTGAATCGAGGGTAATTACATAAATAATCAGTGAATTGCTTACCTGAAAATCAAATTTGCTGTGCTCCTCTGTAGCTGTTATGTTTGTTCTGCTCTGGAGGAGTATGTAACACTTGTCGCCCCAGTGGACATTTCGGAGCGTTTCTGTGTCCAGTTGATCCTGCTGCTCCAGCTGCGTACTGGAACGTGATGATTTTCGTGGTAAATGTTGCATCTGTTGCTGGTGCTGATGGGAGGCGCTGCCGTCGTCCATACTTAAGCTGTTGAGGGCAGCCGCAGATGGCGTCTGACTGCGACTCATGGAGACGGACAGACCCACAGCACTGGCATCTGTTATGTGTGCCGGATTGGGCTGGCCAATCGAGATGTAGTACAGACAAAGCAGAATTGTTACAAAGGCTGACAGGAGGCCAATGCAGCGGGCCGAGCCCCGTCGAAAGACCTTAAAGGACATGTTCTCCTACTCCGCCACCTGCTCCTCCTACTGCTGCGGTTGAGTTCGGTTGTCGTTGTGCCTGTTTTAGTGTCTCCTCCTCTGCCCCTGCTGCTATGTTCCTTGCGTATCTCTCACTTGCTACCTTTGGGGACTGCTTTGTGTGTGTGTGTAAGTGTGTGTGGTTCCAAACTCAGCACTACATCTGCAATACAACATCATCACGATAATCATCATTAGTCAAATGCGCCACAAAGACTTAATGTGGGTTTCAATTGTATTTGCCACAGACAGCAGTTGTGTTGCTCGACTTTGAAATACTTGATGCTAATTGGTGTTAAAGGTTTAATCACATCGGCGACATATTATATAATTAAGCGTTAATGTATTAAACTCAGCAGCAAATTTCATTTTGAGGGCGAGTGCAAGAGAGGCGAGTTGTAAAAAAAAAGTATTAGGGAAAAATACAGCAGAAAAGGATATGGTAATAAAATACCTGTTACTATCTCTTATAGACATAAGATTGTCTCCAATCTCTTTGCATTACTATATTTAGATAACATTAAATCTTAATTGTGGAAATACCCAGTCCACTGTTAATAAACACACAGCAATAATCATTTGCAAAATATTATTTAAATATTTTACATTTGGAATATTCCGTAGTGATGCAGGCACTTTGTCGATGATAATTTAAATAGTTTATTATTGTAAAATATATTGTGATTTATTAGCATACAATGTGTATTAATTAGTGTGATATATATCAAATCATAAATGAACCAATTTCGTGCGTTCCTCAAATCCTAAAGGCGAAACCAAATTAAGAACGGTTTCAAATGTTAGAGTGGAAACAAAGATATCCTTATAAGGTTTCAGGCGTCCCTTTTTGGATATTTACAGCTGTATTGAAACCAAATACTATCAGATGCTTGTATAATTCTTGAAACAAAAGCGACGTCAGGCTGTTGTTCATAAATTTAAGATGTTACCACGCCACTCCCTCCGCCGCCAACCAACACCCCCCGTGTCCACCACTGTTACCGTAGGCTTCAGCTCGAATTCAAGTGATGTAATATTTCACAACACATTGGAATACTTCATACTTCATACACACAATAGCCGAACGAGAAATGACGAACCAGGGAGGAGATGGCGCGATGAAAGTAGAGCACAAGAAAATTTAATTAATACACAACCCAAAAATGCCTTGGATTGCTGCCTTGTATATTGCATATATATGTGGCACATACATAAAATATATATATATATTTTGTTAGCTTATAGATAGGCGGGTCCTCCGGCTTATTCAGGCCGTCATGTTTTTGGAAGGTAAATAAACTTAACAATTTGTAATGCTTTAAATTCCATAATTCCACACAAAATTCTAATTGAAATTTAAATGCAAATACATTAGAAATAGCTAAAGGCCATTGTGGGTAATTGCCTAATTATTGGAAATTCCGGTTTGTCTAATATGTTAATAGCGGTCGACTGGAAGTGGGAAGAGAAAAACCCAGGCTTAAATTTCAATAAACTAACGCATTTAAATATGCACTGTGTGCGGCTAGGCTATTTAGCATTTTAGCTGGAAATAACTATATCGTTGTGCAATTGATTTGTTATTTCTTTTTTTTGATTTGTTGAATTTATTATGTATTTTTATCTCTGCTTTGTGATTTTATTATTTTACTTTCGTGTTTTTCTGTGTTCTCACCAAAATGTTGCGCATTGCGATGCTCTTTAATTTCCCGATTTAAATTTAAATTTTAAGATTTATTAAAAGTTTCATAAGTTTTTAAAGCCACGTCAATGTTAAGGATAATTTACGTATCAGCTTTATGTGTGCACAGCTCTTAATATATCATACTAATTCAAATTTAATTCATAATTATGAAAATACTTTGTGCACACACTGGAATTTCTGCACTTGTCAGTACTAAAAAGTGCAGCAAATTGTAAAGTTCAAAAGTCAAACAAGCAATTTACTTTATCCTCGTAAAAACTAACGAACCAAATCAACGAAAATAGAAATATTCACATATTCGCATATTCAAAACTCAAAACTCAATCAAAAACTCTTCACACAGACAAACACACTCAAAAAGTTTTGTAAAAACTTTGCATGGCTTTATGCGAGTGTGCACACAGTGCGTATGCGTTATGCATATGGATATGCTGCAAGGGAAGCAATTTTTAAATCATACCTTAATTGGCAAGCAACGAAAAATAGGCAGAAAATGTGGGAAAGCTAACGTTTGAATTGCATTTAATTTAATCTAAGCTAAAGTGTCAGCACAGCACCAACTGCAGCACCTGAAACTGCAATTGCAATTGCTGCCCCACCTCCCCCTTTGACCAATGTTTCAATTAGTTGCCTCTCGCACACAAATCACACACACACACACACAGTCAGAGCAGTCACTCGCATGCTAATCAGTGGCCATTAAGTGACATTTGCCATACCACCGCCGGGCAGCACCTGCCACATGGCATGGCAACATGTAAGTGTGTGCTTCCTCTCGACACACGTTCTGCAAGTTAACTGCTAAACGTTGCACCACTAGAACTGGATGTCACAATGTGTGAAGCATTTAAAAAAAGAACAACAAAAAATGTGTGTAAAACTTGCTTAAGCTCATTATGCTGAACGACTCTGGACTGCAGGGAAATACCTGAAACTGGAACTAAAACTGCGCGTGCTGTTCTCCAGTTGCTGATTTTGTACTCTTTCTGCACAATTTCTTGTGGCATCTTAACGCTTAAGGACAGGCTTCGTTAAGAGACGCTGCGTCATTAGGCTGAGCGAAAGCATTTGTCAAGTGCGGCTCGAGCGCCGTTCAATTGACATTGAAAAATATCATTCGCATTGCTGTCATAACTTTCTGAAGTTGGTTGAAATCATTTTCAAATATATTTAAGTGGTCTCCCAATTCACAAGAAAACTTGAAAACTTGCAAAAGTTGAAGCATGTATTTTACTGCAGTTGGGATTTATGGTTGGGGTTATAATTGGACTTATATTTTCTTTCTTTTCTCATTTCTTTGAATTCCCTGAACGCATAACAGTTTTAAAGTTTTGCCATTGGATTGCCGAATGTTCTGGGTCTCTTTTGATCACGTTATGCAACAAATATTTATATTTTTAACAACATTCTTTGCTTCTTCTAATATATATATATATCGATTGTTAGAAATGTGTCATGTTTTTAAACAATTTGTGGCAATCTCTAGTTAAAATGAATGTTTTCTTTTGTGACAAAATTAGCAATTATTTTGCATGTCGATAACATGTCGACTTTGATTTATCTTCTACAAATGTTGGCGCCCAACTTTTAGTTATGTGATGAGTTTTTAATTTTCTTAAATTGCCATTGTACTGAAACCTAATCGCTTCCTTCTTAAAATATGCATAAGTTGGGATGATAAGCAAATAATGTTGAGCGGTTGAGTTGCCAGCTCAGTTTCAATTTAAATGTCTGGAAGTTTTGTAAATCGAACTGGCTGCTTGCCTCTGCGGCTGACAGAATTCCGAGCGACTTATTAGTTGCTCGGAAAAGCCAAAACTTTTTTGCCAAATTTGATTTCATCGTAAATTGCTTTGGCCAAAGCCAAGGGACAGACAGTTGCTTTCGGTATACCGTCCGGTTGACGGTCCTTTTGACTTTTTGACATGTTGCCCGTTGAACGTTGCCGTTTGCCAGTTGCCCGCCTTGTTGGTTTTTGGTTTGTCGGCTGCCTTTTTGCACAATATGCGAGTCATACTGGCTGAAAATGGTTTCAGTTCGTTTCGTATATCCTGCAACCATAAAATGGTTGGAAAAAAGGATGCGGCAATACTGGTGAAAATTTGCTGATGCCGCCATTTGCAACAGTATAAAGATAATTAATTATATATTTTGCATAACAAGCACAAAAGATACGTATTGAATTATTTTCAATGTTGATGACTCTCAAAATCGAAGTAAAGGGCAACATTCTAGTCGAGCAAATTCTAACTAAAAAGCAACCAAGTTTTTTTTGTGTTTGTGTTGCAAAAACAGTTTTGCATGCTGCCTACAAAAACAACAACAACAGCAGCAGCATGAAACCCAAGTCAAACGTAGAAGTCGTGAAGTTTTCTCGCCTGACATTGGGTACTGGGTTTTCCCTTTGTTTTCCAGCAACATAGTTATCGTCATCGTACTGCAGTTCAAATTTCCCATATGCAGTTGCCCATGCACAAGCTACAGACAAATAAACTAGAGTTTTACGTACATCCAGTAAAATACATTGATTGCTGTTACTTTTTGTTGCTGGCAACCCCAAAAAAAAAAAGTTACGATTTTGTTTTCGCTTCTTTGTTTTTTGTTTTTTCATCTTTTTTTTATTTTTTTATTGTGGCTTACCAGAAGTTTGGAGAAGCCTTGAATTCAATTTTTAAACTTTGTTGATCAGAGTTTGGTGCATGTTATGCTCTCTAAATTGTTGTTCTTTGTTTGCTAGTAAATTTTTGGGTAATAAATTTAAATTAAGTTGCATTGTTTGTGCTGGAAATTGTTGTTCTATGTCAGCAAATGAAATATTTGTTTTTGCTTTAAGCGATGATATATATGCGATGATCAAAGCCAAATAAGAATGGAGACAGTATGTGTAGGTAAGCATGTTGTCAATAAATTTGATATATTTTATAATAAAAAATAAATAATTGTTGCAGTAGAACGAATAGAAAGCAAATGTAAAAGCTGAATATTTTCTATTTAATTTACAAGTAGTCACAAAAGTTAACCCCAAAGTCGTTTATCACAACGGAAAATTAAAAAATATGGAAAGCATAAAGAAAGGCGAGAAATAACTTAACTATAACAGGAAATTGGCATTAATCAATTGCAACTAGTGCAGTTGAGAGAAAGGTTTGCAGTGTTTCAACAGTTTCCGGTGGAAAATGCCGCAGTAAAAACTTGGAAATCTGTGGCGGTGGGTGAGGAATGTGAATGGTGTGAAGGGCTCTGTTGTTGACACCAACACAAAAGCACTCAGAACTTGTGTAAAGTTCAAGATTTTTAATTAAACAAAGCAGCGCAGCACTGAACATCGACAGAGACAAGCAGCGAAACCGGTAATAGCGCTTAAGATAGTTAGTTGCTTTCCGCTCTTAACTATGACGAGCTTAAAAAACAGCTGAGGTGAGAGCGGTGCAAAGAGTAGGGGGTCTTTTGGGCTTGAC